GAAGACTGTAAGACTGCTTTTTTCTCATTGACTTATAACGAGCGTGCTTTTAATATAAAATCTCATGCTCACCCGAGGGCTTTGCTTTTAATGAAATTTTTCTCTTAACCGGCAAAAATAGTTCGGAAATGTGAGTGTGTGGGAATTTATCGAGCTTTTACTCTTAATGGAGTTGCTCTTAACGAGCTTCCACTGTATTTGTTTTTCTAAATATTTCTCATCGCTGAAGTCTGAGTCTTTAATAATTAATTGAAATAAATTTAAATATTCGACATTAGATGGTGGTTCCTATATGGAGCTGTCATTGATCTGATGATGATGATTTTGAAAAATAGTGTGAATGAACACATCAAGTTTTTATCTGCTAAATCTTCTCAAGGTTAAAATGCGTTGTCTGAAACAAATCTGAATCACAAAGACTTAAGAACTTTTGTCTTAAGATGACAAAGGTTTGACATTTCTACTGAATTAAAGCATCTGAACATTTATGTTAATCAATTATTTGATTAATTGATCTGTTGTGTTACGCAATATAAAACGTTTGTCGACATTATACTGAAAAACTAACCTTTGGTATCCAAGGAAAATAATGTAAAACTCAAATCTGATTTGATTCTTGTATATTATCATCTAGAACCAGTTTACATTATAAACTCAGTGACTTTCATACTCCTTGCATTTTAGCTAAAATATTTTACACGAGCTTGAAGATGAACTTCTTTAATTCTGTTATTAATCGAATTTTAAACGATGATTACTTATCTACTAAGAAATATTATCTGAAATAATATTTTTATGTATGTAATAATTTCATCCCTGAGGCAACAATTTTTATAAATTAGTAAAACAAATTTGGACGAAGAAGAGATGCATCATGTTTACTTTACATCAAATTTTCACCCTACACATTTATTTTAATCAATTTTCAGATAATTTTTCAATAATCTTTCCACCCACGCAAACCCCTAATGTGATGTTTATAATGAAAAATAATGTTTGTAGATATAATAAATTATTTGATAGATCAATGGGAAAGCTTATGAAGAATAAATTTTCTTTTTAAAATAATTGAGGAGCAGAAAGCATTCATCATGGGAAATTGCATGAATGTTAAATGACAATATGAATTAACATCGTGTTTATCTGAATTATAATTTTACTTGACGTGATAATGAATACATTACAGCCTATAAATACATAAAAAAATTAAGAACTACAAATAATTACCTCATTGAATCCTCTTAAAACAAAATCGGATTGACGATGCATCAGTTAATTTTCTTTCCGGAATTGTGGGGTGACAATCATACTCTTGCTTGTGCTTTTTAACTATGCAGATACTCGTCAAGTGGTGACATTTTAGCAAATTGCGCGTTATCTCTTAGTTTTCAACGTTGCCATATTCAAAAACATATAAGTTTGATCTTGAAAATAGTGCCAATGAACAGATCAAGCTTTTATCTGCAAAGACTTGTCTCAAGGTTATGATACGAAGTCTTAGATACTAAAATGTGAAAAGTTAAAAACCTTTTATAAATTATATTTTTATATTTTGAAGAACTTTTTTTGTTGCTCAATCAGACAAGATAAATGAAAACAAAGCGCGTGTTTGACTTTATTTTAAGCCATCTTCAGGGATTAAAGAATTAAAAAATTTCATCAAATTCATAAAATTTAATCAATTAGCATTATACTTATAAAATATTAAACAAAAATTAAGGATAGAATTCAACTCGACAACTTGTTTACAAATACGCGTAGATTCCTTTGCAATCGTATCGGCATGAGTATTGAACTTTTCAGTATAATCTCCGAATCTTCACTTCAAGCATATCCATAAAACTGCACCGTCTTCTTTATCTTCACTTTTTTAAAATCATTTAAATTTAAATTTGATGATCTATCTGTAAATTTTTTTTCTTTCAATCATGCTCGAAGAAGAACGAAAATAAAATTAAAGTTATTTCCTGTCTTTTAATATCACGAACCAGTTTACTTGATAAATAAATATACTGAGGACTTTAATATTAACAGATTTAACAGATCGAACATTTTTGTTTATCTCTGAATGAACTTGAAGAGATTTATTTATTTGCAACTTTCAAATATTAAAAAATGGGAAATACTTTCATTAGACATCTTAAAGATTAACAAAATAAACTTTCATAGACAATGATTGCATTTTACATGAAAATTTTCTATACACATGACCTACATTTGTTTTACCAAATCTTCAAATAAATTTTTTAAATAATTCTCCACCCATGCAAAACTCAACATGATATAATAAAATTTATCTTCAAAATAAGTAAAACGATTAGTCACTGTTAAAGAGATGAATCTAGTCTGTGGTGTTATTAGCGTTTTAGGCACATTTTGAAACTTTTGGCTCTAAATATTTCTACTTATTATATTATTTCCTTTTGATCTTTAAGCCAGATATTATGTACATATATCAGCATAAGATGTTAAACAAAAGTTATTTAAAAATGTTTTAGATTTTTTGATTTATTATTCTTCATTTAATATATTTAAAGATATTTGATTTTTAGGATAGATTTTACATTTCATAACAACTTACAGAAAATTTTAGTTTTCATTTGCAAAAAAGAATTTAATCTTGTAGATAAAAGAATCCATAACAAAATGTACCAATCGAATTTTAAATTCAAATTAACAAAAAACAAATTGAATATCTAACCATCATGTTACAAAAATGCTACAATTAATCGTACTTAAACAAGATGGATTATAAAGCATTAGCAAAATCTCAATGCTTCATCTCTGTTCGCTCACGTATGCTCGTGTGAATGTACGATATGTACATATTTTTTTAATAACGTAATGTCAAGGACGATAGAGATGTTGCTTATATATTTACCAACCGGTTTCTGTTTCTTCGCTCTTTTTTATTCTGAGCGGTCACAATAATTGCACATAAATAAAATAGAATAATTTCTTGGAAGCTTAAAAGACTGTAACTTTAGTTATGATGATGGCTTTATAATTATCAAGTATCCGCTCGTGTGCTTCTACAAATTAATGTGTTTTCAATCAATTTTCTTTTAACGTTTAAGATTCATGTGCATATTCATGATAAAATTAAGCCATTTAAGATGTTCATAATTAATTTCTATTTATTTTTAAAGCTTAGGTAGCTTTTTTCTCTGAACTATTAATAGCCTTAAATAAATATCATGATGTATGATCCAGTAGTCAGATTTTGAAATAACTTTAAACGTTAAAATGTGACACGTACAGAAACATCGTATAATAAAAGTTGTAAAATATTATTATCTACTTTGAAACCTCAATCATTTTAATTGAAAAGCTCTCAAATCGAATGGTCGAATGTCAAAATTTATTTCAATTTTTTCTTCTTGAGTTTCATAACATCATTACATTGCTCAATCATATTACAACCAGTTTATGAAACTCTTCTTTTTAATTTATCACAGACAATCTGATCATGCTGAAGCTGTTTGGTTTACTTCAATCTTCTTCTATCATATTGACCATATCATGCATTCGGGCAATAACGTGATGAAGCTGAATCTCAATTTTACTTGTTGGGCGTGTTCTGTTTCATCTCATAAATAAATTCAAACTTACCTTGAACTTAACTAAATCTCATTCTGAAAAATACGATGCTGTTTCAAATGCACATACATTTCCAATAGTGATGAATTTATATGGCTTCAGAATCTCCGCTTTCAGTGGAAAATATCAACAAGTTCGTATTTATTTTACTATGAAGCAATTGATGCCGTTTCAAGAAACATAATCCAATTTGCATTCAACATATCTAAATAACTGATACGTAGAATGTTTGAATTGTTTAGTTGATCATTTGAAAGAAAAATACTTGATCGAATGAAATGTCTTTAAGGTAGTAACCTCGTAGAAGGTCTAGTAAAACATAAACACGAAAGGGTAGAAAAGAAAAATAATCTGTGGGATATCTACATGCATACTCGCTTTAAGAGTAGGGATGAACTGAAACTGTTAGAATATCAGTTGTCGTTTTATAAAATATTTTAAAAAATGTTATGAAACGAACTTGAATACAATTTGCAAACTTGACCTTACAATTTTTAATTAAAGTCTAATTTCACTTAATTAGCGATATCGTAGGTGAAAATTATTAACAAATCTCTAAATTTAGCATCAAAAGCTTTGATGGTTCAAGGTCATGGATTTAACTTCTTCTTTAAAAAAATGAAATAACTTTATTAAAGAGCAAAAAAATCCGGAACCTGAGAATCGACAAACGTAACAAATATGTTGTGACGTATTTACATGTATTTTATAAATTTCAAACCTCCTATTCGATAGTAATTGAAGAAACACATCGAAAAACGAGTCTTTTGTCTAGGAATGCGACACAACAGCGTAGTAATGAATCGACAGCACACAGATGGAGCTCTACTAGCTTTAAGAAAAAAAATTTCTTCTCTTTTTAATGCCTTCCTTCAGTCGTCAATTCACCATTGGATAATAAGCAGCTTGTAAAGTTGAACGTTTCAAATAATTATTTGTCGGGGAGTTTTGCGAAATAAAAAAGGTTTTAACGTTCAACAAACTTGCAAAGTCAAAGTGGCAGAAGAGAAATAAATTATAAAAGTTAAGGGGTGGACCTTTAGAAAGAGTTAAAATGTTTACAAGATATTATTTTACATTGACTGTGGTAATGTTGATAAACTTATGTGGATGCTACACAGTAACACCGTCAGCAAAAACAACTTCCATAGGTGGTAAAGATTGTAAAGTGTCGATGAAAACTTTTTTCTAAAGCTTCTACTAATCATTAACAAAGAGATTAAGAGAATAATTTCAGTGATATTTTTTGTTGCTTTGAACGAAAATTTCCAATGAACCGGTGGTATTGCAACAACATTTCATATGTAACTTTTTTTCTTTCATTTATTCGAATTTAATTTCACTTTCACTTGTAACGTTTTTTCTCTTTCGTCTGATGTAAATTGACTGTCTTCTCGTCTCTTTTTTATATTTTATTCGCAACTATTTCTCAAACATTGAACTCCTTAAGCTCTCTTGAACATGTAACAATTTAACATTATTTTATTTTTCTTTGTATGTCTGCGCGAATTATTGTGAATATTTCATTTATGATGAATCATGTTGCAATAATTTCTCATGATCAAATTCAATTGAACTTTGCATTTCAAGCCACTTGATTTAAATATTATTAAATCAATGAGATTAAACAAACAATGGTATGCTCAATTCATAATGAAGCGTAAAATTTTTGGCATACATGAGATGTTAGACGTAGGAAAATTTGAATACAATTGAATAGAGAGCAAGATCATTTTGTATCTATTTGTTTAATTTAAAATATGCGGAGTATGTTGAAACCTATGCTTCTATTTAATCCAATAAGAATGATTATCTTGCGTGTTAATGGTTGACACCTTTGAAAATTTCCTGCCTTCTATTTTTAAATATAATAAATAATGCAACACCAAATTTGAATTTGAATTTTTTTTTGTTCAATTTGTGTTGTTAGATTTATGACAATTTGAATAAAATTTGTCTTTTTAACGTTTGTTACGCTGCTGTCCAATAGTTCTTCTAGAAAAAAAGTGCTTTTGAAATGTTTGTTGATTGTTACATACCTACTTATACTTTTTTAAAATTCTTTTACTGCAATCTGAATTTTAAATTATTAATGTTATTTTTTTTTGCCAAATCAGATCCTTATTTAAGTAAATAATACTTGTAAATATATAGAAGCAGAATAATTTCTCATACGTTTTTAATTCTTTTTTCTTCATGACATAAAAATCATTTTGAAGTGACCTAATTCTCTCTTTTAATTTTTCGTAATATCTCAATAAATTGGAAAATTACAACGAAGGTTTGCGTGTTGTGAACGAAGTAATTTCGAATCGTATTAGTTATGAGCTTTGTTGTTTCATCTTCGTTCATGACATATTTGGAATGCTTCATAAAAGCTTTTCTTTTATTTGAGTGGTTCTATCCCTTTATGATTTACTTAAATTTAAAACGAAATTGCTTTTAAAATATTTAAAAATCTTGTCAAATTTGGTGTGATTTCAACTTCCAAATGTTTTCACAACAGTGCCTTATATTTCATTTCGAATCAATAACAAATATTAGAAATTACCATTGGATCATGTCTGTTGTATATAATTTTACACTTCTCTCTATTAAACATTATAATGAATAGCTTCAGATGACTTGCACGACTGGTTGATGATTAAACTAAAAATAATTTTTGGCTATCACTCGGAAAGTCTTTACTTGTATTATAATTAATGATTTCTGAATACTAAAAGTGTTATGCTGGAGGCCGAAACAGGCATATCCCCGTGATGATAATGATGATGATGATCACATAATTAATTTACTTTTTTCTTTGAAACTAAACATACTACTTTAATATTTATCAGCAACTATTGACATGTGAAGAATATTAAGATAACTCTGACAATATTTTATTTTGAATTATCATTTTTTAGATTGTCCCAACTGTGTCGATGAATCTCAGATAAATCCTAACCGATGGACAATGCCTTTACTGAAGCTAGGCGAGAAAAGATATTACTTAGGAATCTTCTTCAAGGTAAACATGTTCTGCTATCAAAATCTAATGGTTACATCATAAATCTTGAATGGCTTCTTTTTTATGTGATAAGAATGAAGTTTTATAATCATAAAAACTTAGTATCAAAAATTGTATCCACAAACTAACAACCGATATAAAATACTAAGAATGTAACGTCGAACCAAAACTTGCATAACAAAATTCAAAACAAAACTATTTCTACGTCTGAGACGAAAATATTTTCACCTCAGACATTTAAATTTGTTGTGGGCCTTTTAAAGACCAGCCGATCTACGGAATTTGTCCGAATAGCAACGGAATGTCGGTGGATGATTTAAGTTTACATTTTGGCAATTTTTCCAAGCAAATTCCGTATGGCAGTACATTATTTGTTTAATTCATGAGTTTTAATGCATTTACGATTACGCGGTAACCGCTGAAAGGTAATATGAATAGTCAAAAGTCATCCAGATGCCTTAATTTGTAAGATTACCTATCAATTTGATTAAATGACAGTCCGATGGACAATTTATCAGCGGCGTTGCCGCTTGGACCATTCGGTTCGGCTTGTTCTTTTTCTTTCTATACTCAATCAAACATTTTTTTTGTTAAAAATTGTTTCGTTCTGAACAAAATATGAAATATTTCCTCGAAGCTTATTAAAAAATATTTATACAAAAATTGGATATTTTTTCTTCTTCGATGCAGGCTAACTGGTTTAGAGCAGCTCAATACTGTCGATTCCATGGTATGCATTTGGCCAGCATATCATCTCAAGAAGAAAACGATAGACTAGAGAAACACATTCGTGATTATGGTAAAAGGAAATTGCGTTTAAATAACTCAATTATTTGAGCCCATAATTTATTCTTCTTAAAGGTCTTGGTAATGAACATTTTTGGACGTCGGGTACTGATTTAGCAGATGAAGGAAATTTCTTTTGGATGGCAAATGGGCGACCTATAACATTTACGAATTGGAATGCTGGCGAACCAAATAACTTCCGATATGAAAATGGCGAGGAAGAGAACTGTCTTGAACTTTGGAATCGTGATGGAAAAGGACTTAAATGGAACGACACTCCATGTTCGTTTGAAACATATTTTGTCTGTGAAGTGCAATAAAAACCAATTTCTCTGTTGTCCGTCCAACCTTCTTCTCGTATTCATAAGTTCTTTCTTATAAAGATGTAAAAAGTAAGCTTTCGTCATTATTTCTTCACTTGATTTCTCCCTATTCTCTATGTTCTTCCTGATATGAAACAAACAAACCATAATTTATGATTTTCTTAATTGACGAAAAAGTTAGTTTTAAAAAAACCTAAAAAATCATATTAGCCGAGATTAAGAAAAAAAACTAAGAGGATCAGGAATATTGTGAAATTCAGAAAAGGCTTGTCAAAGGAAAAGCTTTGGCATTTAATTTACTGCCTAAATATTGGCGAAAGTAGAATTATATTCTTGACCTTATACAACAAGGAAAGCATTAAATATGTATTCACATAAATGAAGCCATTGGAAATCTTATAATAACACTGCCCTATTTTTTTTCATCGAATACTATTTAATGTCTAAGGTTTCAAAGTAGAAAGTTGTAATTATAATTTAAGAAAATATGCGCATACAAAGAAAAATCCATCCATTTACATATAAAATCAATTTTCTAAATAATAGATAATTAATTATTTGGAAATAAAAAAAAATCATAAGAAAATTTTATTTGTATTTTTATTGTGTATCACAACTTGATGATACTGGATACTTTATATGTTTTTGTTATGCTAATAAAATGTCCTGAAATGAAAGACTTTCCTGCCAAAATATGTATTTATGTACATATGTGTCTGTTTATGTATGTTCCATGAAACAGAATCTTCTAATCAATCAATTCTCAATTGAATTGTTTGGATAAAATTGACAACCTTTCATCTTTAGAATAAATTTATATTGATGAAGACAGAATTAATTATTTTTCAGAAAAGTTTTAAAATGCTTTTGTTTTGAACATCAGAAACATAATTTCGGGTAAGACAAATTATTAAAGTCATTCCAATATTTCAGATATGAATTGAAGTAGCACTTAACTGTAATTTTTGATATTTGTGTCAACATTTTTGACAGCTTTCATATTGAGACATATTTTCGTTAGATATGTTACATGTTCCTTTCCCACCCCTTCCATTCAATGCCAACTCTACATTTTTACAGGAAAATATATTTTTTCAACAAATAACATTATAAAAGAATAATTAAAGATTTTAAGTAAAAGTTTTATCATTTATTCACTGAGAATATTTTTTATTTATATCATTTTTACTTCTTAATATTTATTAATAATAATCTGGCGAATTTTAAGGAATTTTAAGAAGTATCGAAACACTTGTAATTCGTTTCGTCAAAGCTTTTCTATTTTTCTAGGTATGATTAACAATGTTTTTCTATTCATTGCATTATATCTTTGTCATTTTGTTATTTTTGCAAACTAAATATCTTAGTTTAATCTAGGGACACGAAAATAATCATATCTAGTGTACAAACAAGTTTTACTATCCAACAACAAACTTTTGGCGCCCTGGCATGAATGATTGTGGGTTAGTCATGCGCACCATTTAATGAATCTCTCCGTAATCTCTTTCGCTCTGACTCTCGAAAATTTTATCATGCTGTACTCTAGCTATCTTCTTATCAAATAGAATGAACGTCAGCTTTTATATGAACCGGGAAAATTCTCACAAAACCTAGCAATCTTCTCGTGGAAAACTCTCTCAATTTTCATTTTGCTCTCAACTTTTAGCTTCACCGCATTGTCTGTACGGCACAACTCGTTCATTATCGGACCGACTTTCGTTGGAAGAGTATAAATCTCCACTCCGCGTCATGTTCACATATTTTTTTCTTTTCGGGTAGTGTCAGAGTTAAAAGAAAAAAATTATGATGAAAATTTACGTCCTCGAAAGTTTTCATATTCATCATGTACGCCTCAAGTAATTGATATGAGTGAAAATTTTAAAAGTTGGAAATGATTTCTTAAACTGCTTGAGTGGGAAGAGCTTTGAAAATATAAAAGTGAAATTCCATTGTGCAGTGTTAAAATTGGCACAAGAAGGGAAAAAGCTATAGAAAAAAGGTGTGCATGTGAATCAAATGAGAAGAAATTTTTGTTGGAATTTTAGCTTAAGGAAGAAAAGTGAGAGAATCAAATAAAGGATAAAGCCAAATATTCACAATAAAAGGAAATAAAACATGAGCCGTCTCACTTTCCTATCCATCTTAGATTTATTATTATTTCAATACTATAGCATAACACTAACTTTCGACATAAAATAATCATAAAATGTTCATCAACATGATTGAATACTTTTTCACTTTACCCTCCTTTAACCTAATAAACACGATGAAATGATTTTCCTTTCTATCTTTACTCTTTCTCGCCTTTAAATTAATCTATGATTATGAAGAAAAGCAATATAAATAATATACACAGCAATAGAAATTTATGCGATGAAATCATGTTTTGATTAGTGGTTTTTCCCATAACAATACAACTACTATTAAAAAAGTATCCTGAATGTATATAAAGGAAAAGCAAAAAAAATATTGATTAATCATATCTCTTCTTGTGAATAATCTCATATTTTATGAGAAAAATTTCTTTCAGTATTGTGTAAGAGAACAAAAGAAAATCACAAACACAAAATATTTTCCCGGCATAATACGATCTTAAAAATACTCCGAAGTGAAATCATATTTACAGAGGATGCTAATGCTTTAATATTCATTTTATTTTCCTAGCACTTTGTCTTGGAAAAGAATTGTTGGTAAGCTAACGCCTAGGTAGAAAGGAAAAAAATAAATATTTATTTGCGATGAAATAACTGAACGTAAATACTGAATTATGAGTGCTAAATTAATAACATTTAAAAACTACATCAAATGATTTAATAGTGAGCATAAAGAAATTGCTTCTTAATTAAATAAATTACTTCTTACATAGAAAAAAAACTTAAAAAAAATTTCTTTAAACTTGAAATGTGATTTCTATTGTCGTGTGACGGTTGCGTGGGTGACAATTGGCATTGACAGCCATTTTTCAGTATTTGTTTTTCTATTTTGAAAGTCGTCCATGAAATCCAAGAAAATCGTAAGAAAAAATGAGAAAAATCGACCTCTTGAAATTATATGAGAAAATATGTTTAGATTTATCCACATAAAATGGTTAGAATAAAGTTATTTGAAAAGAAAGTAATGTGAACTTATAACTCAGTCTATTTTTATAGCAAGCAAACAAAATAAATGTGTGCCAAACGTAGATTAAAGAAAGTATCCTAAGTGAAAATTCATCTAAGCAAAAAATGAATATGATAAAAATTTTAAGTGAGCCCATTTTAATGTATGGATACTAATAAATAACAACACCAAAACATCCCTAAAATGGATTTACAAGCAACAATTGAATTCGCTCTTGAGCTGTACAAATTTTACAATGTAGATTTATTCCAGAGAGGGTAAGTTAATATTTATTTGTGAGCTAAATATATCAGACAGATAGTTTATGATGGATACTCTTTGCATGACTTAAATACTGATAACTTTCATATTGTACGAATGATTTATTTTCTTTACACAAGGATTATAAATGGATTTCTACTTAGACACACATTGAAATTCATATCGTGTTATTTTGAAGCAGGAATTATATTTTCCTTATTCCCTGAAATTCATTTTGTTTTTAAAATTTACTTTTGGAAAATTCCTAAAATGTAACTTGTTACAAGTTGTAAACTTTCTTTCCAATTATGCTTATGAACATGAATGATGATGAAATTTCTTACGGGAAATTAAATAAATCTTCAAAGGAAAAGAAATGAACTTTTCTGCTTGTTTTCTATTTAGTATCGTATTTCGATTGAGATAGAAATAGCGAAAATTTGAACATTGCGAAATGAGAGTAAAATTGAGAATTTTCTTATAATTTTCACTTTGATTTCGCGTTTCTTCTACGCTGTCCTATTTTTTAACATAAATAATTTGTTTCTTTTCTAATCTCGCTTATATCGCTTGTGTCTGTTCTCCTATTTATTCTACTTTTATTATAAATTTATTCAATAGTTTTTTTGCTAGAGTTAGATACAATTCAATGTTCAATTTTCGTAAATAACTGATTAAATTATTCCAAAAAAAATTATCATTGCTGGCGTGTAGGAATCTACTTAATGTTAAAAATGTTCAAATGTTCATTCCAAAGCATTTCGAAAACCATTTAGCTGAATTATCTAAATATGAGTGAAAAGTTTTTTGCTGTTGAGTGAAATAAATGAACAAATTTATCAGAAATCTCATTAGTTTGAACCTACATTTACTGATTCAAAAGACATGTTGCCAGATTTTCTTTCATCTTTATCATGTTGATGAAAATTTTTCCTTAAAGAAAGCTATTCGAATTCAAATTTCTTTCAACATTTATGTAACTTTTTATAGCATACATGAATAACAAATACCTTAAACGAGTATTTCTAGTTTCTCGAAGAAGTGTCCGATTTAAAATATCTTTTCAGAAAAAGCTTAAATTTAAATAAATCTTCACTTATCAGTTTGATAAGCTTTTCTGTTTAGAAGGGAAGTTTGAGGTTGTAACATTCACCTTAAGACTGGTTTTTTCATATCTTCGTTTTTTGACAAACGAATATTTGGGGATAAAGAGGAAATGAAAAATTACACGTTGAAATATAAGATGGATCGATATTAAAACCAGGGTTTGAAGCGCCTTAAATGTGCAGAAGAGAAATTTCCTTCACTCACTAAGAGTAATGAATTCTTTTATGTCAAAACTTTTTAGCTTTCATCCATTCAAAATAATCCCATGTTATTTGAAAAGTGTCAATCAGATGGCAATCAAAGACAGACGACCATATTCTTGACCTAATAAAAGTAACAGTAAAGCAAACCTGGTCATTATCAATTTTTACAATCAGAAATAAAATTTGCTGTCTAAAATGTTCCCAATTTATGGAACCCAAGACAGCATCACACCATTTATTAAATAAGTAAGTACCTACCTATCAAGCATCAAGGATAGAAGAGGGACTGTTGATTAGAAAAGACGTATAATGTGGGTTCTTTGGTTTTTGTTGAGAATAACAAATTTTTCTAAAGTCTAGAGAATTTATTCGCAGAGAGAAATCTACGGTATTTAATGTTCAATCTGCCCTTGAGGCGATTTTCCCAAATATAAAAAGGTAATACGAGTTTTCTCCTGTATATTTAAGAATACCTCACAATAAATACCAAAAGTTTAAATGAGCAGCATGGTTAAAATGAACCTTTATTGTTGTTCAATTGATTTTTTCAGATACGATTGAATAAGCTTTTCATCACCAATCTTTAGTAGTCGAATATTTATCGATCCTACTCAAAGGTGTTATGTGTTAACGATGCTTTTTATTTTCCAAGCTTACACCAAATAAAAACCCAAATTCTCAGAATAAGTATCAGTAGTATGTAACACTAAGAAGTTGCTCAACTTCTCATATGTTTGGTGACAGTGAGGTTTTTATGATTACAAAAATAAATTAGTGTCAAATGTGCCTGATTTAAAAATGAAAAATGTTCTTTAATCTGTTCTTACTGATCCAAACACATTTTCAAAGATTATTGAAGAAAAATTATAAGATTAAACCTAAAAATATAAAGGCATAAGTCGAACGTCTTACATATCTTGCGTTATGCTGAGTCTTCAATTTGCTTAAATGAACGGGAAAAAACAATGTTGGGAAGCAAAAGTTATAATCATTACACAGAAAAGGTCAAAAGTGTTTAAGTTTATTGATTCGATTTACTTTTGAATCAATTTTTTAGTATGGTTGAATCGTTGCAATTTTCTGCTTGTCTCCATTTGAATTTCAATTCATTGAAAACCCATGGAAACTTGGGCTACTGGTTTTTTGTAGATATTATTGGTTTTTACAGGATTTATTTTCTTTTTTGTTAATCAAATAATGTAAAGAAAAACAACGTTTTGCAAGATCTATCTAAAGGACTTGAAGAACGTAAGTTTTTTTTATAAAAATCTAAAGTGATTTTCCTGGTTACCAACACCTCAAATGCTACGTAAATATCTAGAAAACGTAAAAACATTGATTTTAATTTAAGAATGCAGATATCTACAGTCGTTTTCGGTAAATTCTGTTAGGCACATTTTTAAACGTATCAACTTCAATAAAAAAGAGTTAAACATTCCAAAAAAAACTCGAAAACAAAGCTAATAGCCATCAGAAAGAAAATACAGTTCAAACTGAAAAAGGAAACTCTGATAAATTGTGTTTTAGACTGAATCTGATGTAGGTTGGGGGTAGAAACAATACATGAAAATGATGGTAATTTAATGGAAATTTGAGATGTTTGAAGATTCTTCCCTTCTTATTTATGTTTCACCCGACAAAAAGACCTAACATTTATGACGTCATTAACAAAACGGATCCTTATCAATATAAAATTGTTGAATGTTCTTTTTTTTTTCCTTTAAAAATTGATCGAGTCAGGTTAGTCATTGCGACATCTCACTATTGATTTGAAATTTAAAATGTATTGAGGTTTTGAATTCATATATTTAAGTAGATAATAATTTCTGATTAATAATCAATTAAAACAAGCTTCATACACTCGTATGAGTAATTTGATATTCACGATCTAATTTATTGATTCAAAATGACATCTAATTCAGATTTCTCATTATTTTGTCACATTTCAGAATATATCAAGTACGATGCTCACTAAAAGTTTCACCTGGAAAGCTACCTATTCAAATAGAAACATGCATACCCGATCAAAGTTCCAATAATCAATCGAATGGACCTTGTGTTATAAATGGTGCTGGAGCTTCAAAAATTTTCCAGATAATGTATCGCAATGAAGAAATATCACTTCGAGATATTGTCATGTTTCGTGCACATCTTTTAGGTAAGTAAAATCTTAACATAAAGCTAGATTAATCTAGCTAGCGCTAGGATTTATCATCCATAACTTAGAAGCATAATTATTGAATAAAGAGAAAAATAGTTTAATATCATTTTTTATCTTTTTATTCAGTTGACAGCCGTCATTTAAAGGAATGCATTGAACGTGCAGAATTTTCACTGAACTTAGAATTATGGTTTAGTGAGCAACAACAAACTCAGAATCTACAGCCTGATACTACGACAAGCGATTCAAGTGCAAATTTTAGTGACACCAATCTTGTTCTTGCTTCAACACGAACATTACAATTAAATTTTCATCCAGGCCGAGGATTGCATTATCATCTTCCAGTTCTGTTTGACTACTTTCATTTAGCTGCTGTCAGTATAGGAATTCATGCGAGTCTCATTGCTATGCATCAACCCTACATAAAGTAAGTATCATGTGCCTAACAACACTTTCTCATAGACACATGCGAAGAAGATTCTCGAATTGTATTTTGCTGGGAAAAAGAAAACTTTTTGTTCAAGATTTTTCATTCGCAAAAGAAGAATTTTTATTATCTGCATGAGTCATATCACAAGCGACTTATGTTATTTTTAGCGACTTTTTGATTCCAAGACTCATTCTTTCGCAATAATTCCATTATGGACAACAATATTTTTATAAAGATCAATCTTATTTAATTTAAATCAACTTACAAAATCTGAGAAAAATTATTCATGCTTTCGTTTACTTACTGAGTTTATCTTACTGTATTTAATTCTAATTATGGATTTTCATGGGAACGAATTTCATTAAAATTTTCTACACTGATGACAATCTTATAATTTCCATCACTTGTCATTTTGGGTGGAAATTAAAACGTTTCAAGCTTAGCATCTTCATAAATCGCATTTTTCAAGCCCCGTTACACATTTAAACACTGTAGCTTACAATGTCTAGGATTTTAATTAAAAAGATTTTTCATTAACATCCCTCCTTTCAGCTCATCTTCAAACACTTGTGTTGAAATTTTCTATAGGCGTACAAGTAAAAATACTTTTGATGTGTTCTTCCTTTAACTTCAGGCTTTTAACATATCTATTTAGATACATGATTGTGTATAAGAAAATGTATCATTTGATATGAAAATGTTTTAAACTTATTGAAGAAACTTATTTCACAGCAAACATCGAAATAATTTAAAAAAAAAGAACAACATCAATCAAATTCATATCAATCAAATTGAAATAAAATTGAGCAGAAAAAGGAAGATTCGACATTGTATTTGTGCCATCATTATTTTTCCTTTTCGCTGAAAGCACAGCTCCATTTTCATTATTAATTAAATTAAATGTTGTTTACTGTCACGCTTTCAATTTTGTCTTTTTTGACGAGGAGAACTAAATACAAAGTTAAATATCTGTGAATGTGATAAAATGCCAATATTTCTATCTACAAGTTTTATGAAGAACACCTGTCCACTTCGTCATAGACTTTGCTTTAATTTTAGAAGTTTTAAAAACTTTTCTCATTTTAAAAAGAAAAAAAGAAGGAAAAACAAAAACAATCAATAAATAAAGAAGTCAGTAAATGGGACCAGAATTTAAGAACAATAAATTATCTCAATAAATGGTTGAAAAACATCGTTACACATCTCACAGCAAATCAACGATGAAAATGAATAGGAAATAAATCAAAAACATTCTCCGCAATATTTGCCATCTGCAAAATAAATGAGTTGAGGTTGAAACAAAACTTTGCCTTCTTTACTTCTAAAACTTTTATGTTTTCTCTTTTTTTTCAGTGCACCAAAGAGTGGAAAGCCATGGAAAAGTAGTGGAACGTTAAATTGTCGCGGCGCAACTCCTCTTGGTCCTATGGAAGCAGTTTTTTTCGGTCCACACGTCAGTGGAACAGCAAAATGTGGTGGTGGTTCAAGCTCTCGGCTTGCCCACGCTCGACAAATTCATCGCGAAATTTGTGCCTTGTTGTTAGGTGCTTTAGAGTCATTAAAATTAAACTTAGTGGAGTTCTGCACTGTTTTACCGAGTCAATGGGCAACACTCACGGGATCCACACAACCAGTATCTTCAATTGAGACAAATCAAAGACTAGAAAAGATTATTGAAACAGCTAAAGTAATGAAATGTAAAATTTCTGAAGCGTTTCTCAATTTTTATAATTTTTTTCTGTATTTATTAGGCTTTAGATAATGAAGATGACTTCGCTTCAAAAGCAAATTCTGATGTTGCCCAACTTTGCGCAGAATGCATTCTTTACTGGAGACGTACATTGTCAACTGCTAATCAAATATCAGTGCATACATTACTTGCAAAAAAACATCACACTTTACGTGTGAGACGTTTCGCCGAAGGGTTTTTTGTCAGTGATAATCCTCGTCATCTGGCAACTGGCAGTTTAGATTCCAATTACCAACATTATGGAAATATATGTGAATTAGCTCGACGCTCTAAATATTTGAGTTCGTTGCCTCCACTTCCTGTTCATTGTGTTCCACTGGGTATGACATTTTTTACACATCTCTTATGTTTTGATTGAAATTTAATGTATGCTTTAATTTATGTGTATGTTAAACAGATGGTGACTCAACTTCCCTACCATTAATCTTTGAGGACCGATATCAAGATAATGCTGATGGATACCACAGAAAAAGTTGCAGCGACTCTCATATGACAAGTGGAATTTGTGCGAAAAACAAGTCCACATACAACAACAACATCATCAACAATGGTACGAAAACTAAAGAGTGTTCATGTGGAATTAACAACAATTATGTGTTGGAGCCATTACCAAAGTTAAGTGCTGCTAATATGATTGGGGTGATGACACCTCGTTTCGCACTAGGCGGGGATATTCTTCAAGCAAGTCTAACAATCATTCCAGCAGCAGCACAAAATGGCTTACGGGGTAAAACTTTATCAAGACATTCAGTCTCAAATGTTTTAGAGACGGAAACCCAGTGGGAGGGATTTAGAGAGATTTATATTCCTGGTAATGGTGGGACACTTCCAACAAGACATAGCAAATCACTCGATCAACTCGAGACACCACAAAATGTTATTAACAATTCATTGCCGCGTCAAAACACAATGACTCAACAACAGATTAGCTTAATTGCAAAGCCCCAAGCACCAATGATGACATATTTTCAGCAAACCCATCAAAATTCAAGGAAAAATGCTACAGCTGCAGATTTGCTGAAGAACATCAATGAATTTAAAGAAAAATATAAAAATCCTAGTGGCGGCGATTCGGCAAAAACTTTAGCACAGCTTACAAATGATGTTCATCCAAATAAGTTGACAAATGGCCCTATAAGTCAGCAAAATCAAGGGCAATCAACAATTTTTCTAAAACAGATTCATCTAAACTCTAATGCAAACGTGTTGACGTTGAATCGTGTCACACAAAGTTCAAACAATCCCAAAACCGATTACGTGCATGAATTGAAGCAGAACAATAGCTCAAACATGACTGGAGACGATCAAACCTCATGCTATTACAATTCTTTACCAAAACATGCTGGAATGGGAATTCCACAGAGAAATTCTCTTCTACCTATTCGTGGAAAGAAGAGCGGAAAAGGTTCAAATTTTCGGTCTAAATCGCCATCTTCTAAAGCAAAAAACAATGTGAATTCAAATACAATTCCCAGAAGTAATTCATCACAAACATTGCGTCTACAAAATGGCAACGCTGCTAGCCAAAAACTGTCAGAATATTCAAAAAGCAAAAAGATGATAAATTCAAATGGGAAATATTTTAATGGAACTGATTCGAGTAGCACGGATCAAAGTACAACAATTACACCGAAACGAAGGAGCAAAAGGCTGTTATCTAGTCGAAGTGTCCCCTTTAAATTAGAGCTACTTGAAATGGAAACTAATGGGCCTCCAGGGTTCAGTGAGAGTCTCCCAAATCTTGCTCCACCTCCCCCAGCTTTTTCAAATTCCCCTCCCCTTTCAATGAAATCAAGAAACAGAACTAGTAGTGGAGAATCTACATCTTCATTAAGTGAACAAAGTGGTTGGGTTTCAAGTCATCGTAGCAGTTTGCCGTCCTCACCAGAAACATTAAAAAACGAGCAGAGAACATTTAATGGCGCACAGTTAAGAAAAAAATTATTAAAGCTTCTACAAGAACAACCGCAGCGTAAAGGTTCTGTTGACAAAAAAAGATCAAATTCAGGACGTTCAAATGACTTTTCCCAGCATAAAAGATACAGCAGCGGAAATGTTATAGAGCGTAACAAATCTCTAACATTTAATGGAAAATCATCTACAGCATGGGAGACTTTACATAGTGAGTGGGTTGAAATTCCACCCATTGCTGGCTCGCCTGAAGAAAAATATAAACAAAAAGGAGAAAAGGAAAAAGATGAAGATAAAACAATATTGAATTCGAGATCAAAACAAAAGCAAAGAAAATCTTCTGAAAAATCAAAATCTGACTTCGACCTCACGAGCTTACCAATGGATCAGCCATTTGAAGATTTACGTCTTCCACCCCCGCAACAGTGAGTTGAATTATTATCATTCGCTTGTTTTTTCTTTTTGTTTAGTAAACAAGGTAAAGTTGATAAGAAAACTTTTCTTTATTTTCTTTTGATACAAAAAAAGGTTTCGTGACATTGCGCCACTTCCACCAGATGAATTCCGTGATCCGCCATCAATTAATGAAGAATTATCTTTAAAAAACGAAAAAAAGTTATCTCCAATCATAGGAAAACAATTGAAGCAGCATCCGCCACTTATTCAACAACAGTCGAATCCAATTCAAAAGCAAACTATTTTAATGGCACCACAAATGATTGAAGCAATTGATAATCCACTTTATCACATTTATGAAATTAAACGACAGCCAGGTCAACCACGGCCATTTGTCAAGTCCCAGAGTAATAATGAATTGATGGGTATGGTAAGAGCTGCATCGGTGAACGATAAATTGATAAACCAATCACATCGTAATCACTTGAAAAACCTTTCAAAGCCAAGTTCTCCAGGACAAAACTCAGATCGTTCTGATAGTGAAACAAAACGTGAAGCGCCAATGATGCTTATGGAATTTGAGAAATGTCGAGAAGAGTTTCGCAAACAGATAAATTATTCTGGTTCAATATATTCCGACTTTACCAAACTCGCTTCGGAAATGCCATACTTTCATATCAGTGACGAATACCGAACATTCTCTCCAAGTGGTGTTCACCTTATTATCTGTGTTCATGGGCTTGACGGAAATTCAGCTGACTTACGACTAGTCCGAACATACTTGGAGCTTGGATTACCAGGAGCCCATTTGGAATTTCTGTAAGAATATTTTTATTTTGTTCTGCTTTATTTATATAAACAATCATTGTTGCTTTTTCTCCATAATTTTTCCAGCATGTCAGAACGTAATCAAGGAGACACATTTTCAGATTTTGACACAATGACTGATCGATTAGTCGGCGAGATACTTTATCATATTGAATCCTTTGGCATGAATCCAACAAGGATATCATTTGTAGCACATTCGTTAGGGACTATTATTGTTCGATCTGCTTTGTCACGTCCACAAATGAGACCACTGCTGTCACGATTACACACATTTCTTTCGTTATCAGGACCTCATTTGGGAACACTTTATAACTCGAGTGGTTTGGTGAATATGGGTAAGAGAACAATAAATTCGTAAGATTTATAAATGCTTATTAGTCACTATTCACATACAGGAATGTGGTTTATGCAAAAGTGGAAAAAGAGCGGATCATTACTTCAACTTTGTATGCGTGACACAGCTGACATGAGGCAAAGTTTTCTTTATCGTTTAAGTCAACGAAGCACGCTACATCATTTCAAAAATGTTCTTCTCTGTGGTTCATCTCAAGACAGATACGTTCCACCACATTCAGCACGTTTAGAGTTGTGCAAAGCAGCCATTAGAGACCAATCTAATTTAGGCATCGTTTACAGGTAGATAGATCTTTCTTATCACAAATTCTCAACAAAAAGTCAAACTTTCAATAACTTATTCACAGGGAAATGGTTCACAATATAATTGCGCCAATGATTTCAAAGCCTGAATTAACTCTGGCTCGCTATGACGTTCATCATGCATTGCCAAATACTGCAAATACTCTTATAGGTCGAGCGGCTCATATTGCTGTTTTAGACTCAGAATTGTTTATAGAAAAGTTTTTATTAGTTTGTGGCTTAAAGTTCTTCAGCTAGCTGAATAAACTGAAATTTATGAGATGAATTTTGGCAACAGCTAATTGCGAATAATGGAAATGTTAAAAATAAAAAACAAAATCTATATTTTAAGAAATGATATCTTATAATGGAAAGTTAAATTTTTGAAGCTGTATTCTCATCGTCTTTTTAGAATTTTTTTCTCTTGAAATTTAATAGATTGAATTTAGGAAATTAGCAAGCTGTGTTTGAAAGAATTTCGTAATTTTCAAGTCACCTCTTACTTAAAGTTTCATTCGTAAAAAATTGTCAAATATCTAATTAAGGAACATTTTTTAATGAAGAGAAAAAATGGAAACTTTCAAAAACGATTACAAAAGACTTAATTAAATTAGTTTTTTGTATCATGATAGATGATTTTTTAAAACGAAAACCATAGTTTTAAGTAAAATATTTTATGGGATTAAGAAAATCAAAATATATTCTTTAATTAAATATTACGATTTTAGAATTTCAATTTTTCAAAATGAAACGACACCAAATCAAAAATTAATAAAAACAACTGAATTAGGGCTAAATCAAAATTTAAATCTTTTCTTTAAGTAGGTTACTTAAGCAGAATTTCACTTCTGTACTTAATTTCTTATCTCATCTTTTAAAAAACGAGCGTTTTAAAATAAACTTTTGTAAAATGGCAATTAAATAAATAAACATCTTTAACTTTAGTTGTTTAATGGTGACTTCAGAGTAATATAAAGCAGTAGCCAAATATTTTGTCCAAGGAAATGAATATATTATATTTGTAGCAAATCTTTAAAAATGTCTCATGAAACGAGCAATAAATGAGAAGAATCAATTAATATCAATTTGATATTTCAATTTTATTTTGATCATATTTATTGAAACTTTCTTTACACCAATTTCTGTTTTCAGTATTCTTACTTAGAAGAAAGCAAACAAGCTTTGGTATCGCCTTCAAAGATTTTCTTTTTGGGCCCACTCTGTCCAGCTTCCTTTGTAATTCCTTACACTGAAATGAAAATGATTTTAATGTTTTTGTTCTTCACATGATCAATTTTCTTTTTTTACTTGGTAAATCCAAGTGAAGCCGCTTGTTCGGCTCCTTTTTGTGCTCTACCACCAATTTTACAATGAAAAATGATTTCCTGATCCGATGATGGTTTCTCATGTTGATATTTAGCTTTAAACTCTTCAGATGAAGATTTTAAGGCTTGTTCAACTTGAGATACTGAACATCAGAAATATTCCAAATTTTACAAATACCCAACGATGAATATGAAAAATCAAAAAGAAACAAAAAATGATGAAAAGGGTTAGTAAATTTCTATAATAATGAAATCAATAAATATTTATGTACATGCCCTCCTACACAAAGTTAGTTTCACTTTCTGATAAATTAATTCTAAAACTCTTACTTTGTGTAACCTAAGGGTAAAATTTGTTGAATAGCTTGGTTAGATCTATTTCCAGTTCGACAAGTGAATATCAAGTAATCATCTAATTTTGGCTTTTTCACATGATATAAAATTTCAAATTCACGGTCAGACAATTCATCAGAGAACGAACGTCGAACTTGACCCACTTCAAATGTATGGAGTTAAATCATTTTACTCTAGACACTTTTCAAATGTCTACTAAGAAATAAAAATTTGAATCTTACATGGAATGTTTATAGATGTTGGTATAGATCCGGTTTCGCTGATCTCAGTTGGTTCACGGACGTCAATCAACAACTTTTCAGGATGGTTTGGCAAGTCTTTAACTTCCTCGTAAGTTGCAATCTTAATCGAATCCATATTTAAGGCTGAAGTGAAACAAGTTAACCACACAATTGAAACAAAAGTGAAGTGTAATATTTCTCTCAAAGTTTTACTGCTCATGGTCGAAGTTAATAATTCAGGGATAAAAGATAGAACTTAAGCTTTTACTTGTTCAGGTAATCAATTCAAATGAATGAAGTGTTTACGTGTTAAACATCTGACGTTTTAATTTTTCTCTCACCAGGTGGGAAATCTCACGGTAAATTAAATGTCAAGCAAGTAGCCGAAGAGAGAACTTTTATGACGTCACGTTTGATTGATTTTTTTAAACTATTGGACAAGCATAATAAAAAATCGACGTAATGTTTTCAAAACTTTGGAAAAGTGATTATTCTTATGGGTCATGAGAGTTTTTATTGAAAATTTTATGAAATTTCTGTCATAATCTTTAAAACATTCTCACTTACCACTACCAGTACTTATTCCTTTAACGAAACTGTTTATAAATGATCCCAATCGTTGTGAATTGAATCCTTGAATTACTCGACTACAATTTCCAATAGCTGTCATAAACATCAATCTGTTTTTTATTACTTAAAAGTTCACGAAAAGATTGCTTTGAAATTATGTAAAAAAAAGTAAACAAAAAGTGCTAAAAATTTTTTAATCTGCTAAAAATCTAAAAAAAAATCGTTAAAAATTCCAAATTTCTCACTCTTTATCTGCTTTCCTCACATTACTAGACCACCACATAAATTGTAATTATCTATCGCATTCTTTTATATCATTTTCATTCGATAAGTTTTATAGATTAAATGTTTCAGTTGCGTCGTTGAATCTACTTCAATAAAGTCTGTAAAATTTTCACTTGTGAATAATTGAGAACTGAACTCGAAAAAAAATGATAAAAGAGAGTGACAATTTTATAACCATAAGTACAGGTCAAGGAAGAATCAAAGGAATCCATAAAATATCCAATTTAGGACGTTTATACTTGAGCTTTCAAGGGATCCCCTATATGAAAGCTCCGATAGGAAAGCTTCGGTACCGCGACCCTGAACCTGCTGGGAAATGGACAAATGTTTTTGATGCCACTAATGAGCCACCATCTTATTGTTTCTATCACACTGAGACATCTTTCAAAGGTGGACAGGAAGATGCTGGCGTTTTAAATATTTACATTCCTAAAACTTCAAGTTCCACTCTTCTGCCCGTTATGGTTTACATTTATGGTGGAGGTTTCCAAATGGGATCAAGTAGAACTGATTTTTATGGCCCTGATTATTTTATGCAAAAAGATGTTGTGCTTGTAACATTTAACTACAGACAAGGGCCGATTGGATTTCTCAGCTTAAAAGACACTGCTTTAGGAGTTCCAGGAAATGCTGGTTTAAAAGATCAACTTTTGGCATTAAAATGGATTAAAGAAGAAATTGAAGCTTTCGGTGGAGATCCAAACAATGTCACTTTATTTGGGGATAGTGCAGGTGGAGCGATGACACATTTTCATATGATTTCTTATCAGTCAGAAAATCTTTTTCAAAAAGCAATTATAATGTCAGGTTGTGCATTTAACAAAACATGGTCACTTGTTTCACAAAAAGATTTTCCACAAAGACTTGGGAAAAAGTTGGGGTGGGATGGAAATGGGGGAGAGAAAAAGCTTTTGGAACTTCTAGAGCATGCAGATATTTACGAAATCATGAAGAATAGTGCAGCAACACAAATTTTAACTAATGAAGAATTCTCAGAATTTTTATATTTTGCGTTTACACCGGTCATTGAACCGTACATAACAAAAACAACGTTCATTGATAAAGATCCTATTTTAATGGCTCGAGAAGCTTGGTCCAAGAATATTGATTGCATTATTGGTGGAACATCTTTTGAAGGTGCATTTTCAACAATATTCGAAAGAAAATCAAAATTTATAGAGGTTTTTGAGGATGCCAGTTATTTCACTCCTTTGATTGAATTAGGACTTAAAATTATGGACGAAGACACGTTACGATATGGGACTCGAATAAAGAAAATCTATTTCGAATATGCCCATTTAACAAACACAAATTATGAACTTTTTTGTCAATACAGCACAGACCGTCTTTTTTGGCATGGATTGCAAAATTGCGTAAAATCTCGTGTTGCTTCTGATGGAAAAGGAAAAACATTTTTGTATCGTTTTGATGTTGATACAAAATTAAATGTTTTAAAACAATACAACAAATGTGACAACCTAACTGGTGCTATTCACGGTGATACAATATTCTACTTATTTTCTTCCATTTATTTGGATCCACCTGAAATTTCTTCAAAAGAGTACGAAATGATAACTAAGATGATATCGCTTTGGACAAACTTTGCAACAACTGGCAACCCAAATAACCCGAATAATCCAAAAGAACAAGATTGGGTACACATTTCAAATGTAAAATATCCTTTGAATTGTTTAAATATTTCAGGAAAACAAATAGAAATGATATCACTACCTGAAAGTGATCGGTTAATGATTTGGGATACAATTTATAAAGATGCGAAGGTTCAAATGTTTTAATTTGCATTCAATAAATACAGAAATAATTTTATAATAAAAATAATTTTATTTATTTCACCAGTTTTCTTTTCCAACTGAACAAAGGCACTTTAAGTTCATTTCTAACTCTCATCGGTCACTAATCAACAAGCATGTTTAATGATAAAATTGCCTTCAAAACTTAATTGCTTAGAATTCTTTTTATGGCACAATTAGAAAGTATCTATTTTATTACTTCATCTTTCGTTTTATGTTTTTAAAACATCGTCCAACTTGTTTTCAAATTGTCAACAATCTTTTAATTTATGTTTCAACAATGTTATGCGCATAAAAGAGTTTTATCTATGGCATACTAAAGAGAGATTTACTAAAGTGATTCTGGTGGTTTACAAACTTTGTGAGAAATTGTTTACGATAAGTTTTAAATTCTTGGTTATATTTATATGTAGATAACTCTTCAGTCTTGCTAACTAATATTTTAACTCTCCTAAGTCTTCCATACATTATAATTTTAAAAATGGAGAAAATAGAATCGATCATTTATTAAGTGAATTATGAATTAAATAAAATAAGTGAATCAATGATCATTGATTCAGTTACTTGCTCTGTTGAACTTAAACCTTAGTACAGCCACTCAAACATTGTTTTACTGTATCAAAAATATTTCATTCTTCATTAGTACAGACATACATGCTTACCATGAATATTTAAATACAAATCTACTTAGTTCGCTTTCGTTTCAATAGTTCCTAATCGATATCAATGATATAATTCGTATGATATTTGTTAATAAATTTGTTGTCGTCGGAAAGTTAAATTATAAAAAATTAATCCTATTGAGATAAACCAAAGAGCTTAAGTGCGTTGAAAGCTGTTGAGAGCGCAATATCTTCAGGTTTCTTTTGCATGAATGCAGCTATTAATTCAACAAGTGCGGGAAGACAACAAGGTTCATTTCTTTGAAATGTGCAATATCTTAAAGGAAAAAAAAGTTGAAATAATTTAAAAAAAATTAATAAAGAAGTCAAACTTACCGATGCAAGAACATCAATGAGCGTTCAGTTAAACCTGACTTTACAGTTGCTGATAGTTTTGAAGCACGAGTATTTGGATACATGAATGGTGCATCACTTTCAACCAACAAACGATCAAGAGGTATGAGATTTGATTCTAAAAGTTTTCTTACAGAATTTTCAGATTTATCCTGAATTAAGAAATGTTAATTAAGTTTAGTAGATATTTAAAAAAAAGAATTTGCATTGCCAAACATACTTTACATAAGAATCCTGTGAGTCCTAAGTAAAATCCACTCTCTAAATAAAGATTTGCTTCTTCAATCGTACCCATAAAGCTTCTGATAATTTTAGGCGGAGTATTCGGAAAACTAATAAAATTTTTTTTTAAATAAATTTTCATCATTCAAAAGCTGCCAACAAACCTCGAGATTATTTCCATAACATCTTCTTGTGCCGATCTTTCATGAACCAGAATGGGTTTTTGTAAATCACATGCGAGTTTGATTTGACGTCGAAACATTTCTTTTTGTTGGTCACTGTCAGATACATCCCGATGATAGTCTAAACCACAAGGGCCTATGGCAACAACTTCTGGTTGTTGAGCAATTTCTTCAAATTCGATCCAACTACTTGGCTCTTCTATGACATTCTTTGAATCCATTGGATGTATTCCACATGATGAATAAATAATTCCTGGATAGATTCTTGTTAATCTTAGAGCTTCTTTACAACTTTTAACGTTGCTTCCGTGAACCAAAATTTTTTGAACTCCTGTGAAGACAACGATAAAAGATTGATGAGTTATTGTAAATAATGCGTTTCAAATTTTCTGCGAATTATCTATTTTTAACCTGTAGAAGCACCACAGATTTTGTATTTTTAAATAAACATCAAAAAAAGTGTAGCAAGGTCGTTTTAAAAGTTATTAAGTCTTTGTCGAAAAACAGTTTTTGATTTTCTTACCAGAATCTTTTGAACGCTTCAAGACCAAATCAAGATCACGAAAGAATTTTTTGTTTGTAAGATTCGCCCCACAATCTACAAGTGAAAAACAGATGACTAAATATTTGTGGAATGTCACCTACATACAGATAACAAATCATCTTACCAATCACAATAAGATTCTCATATAGTTCGCTCAAATTATTTTCTGTAACATTTTCAGCAGCCATATCGTTAAAAGTCAATTCAGCAATGTATTCTTTAACTTAAAATGTTTTTAAAACCTATAGAACTTATAATTAAATTATAATTAAAACTAGGAGATTATTTAAAGAAATTGTAAAGAAATGTACTGATATGGAGACAAGAAAAAACTACAAAACTCTAATCATAAATTGAGCTAGTAGGTAAAAGTTTATTATGAAAAATAGAGAAATATTTGTAATTAAGTATTTCCTACATTATTTAATTAGCTCAATAATTTTTTGTAACAAAATCATGTTGGTTGCTTCTTCTTTAATAAATTAAACAACATTGTCACACATCACTGACAAAAGTCGGTCACAAAAGAGTGTTTAGTAAAATCTCCACAGAAAAATTCAAAATAAAATACAAAAAGAAAGATTTTAGTTTTCTTTAAGGCATTCTGTTAAATTAATTTTATTGTCATGTATCATTACATTTTTAGTGACAGATTGGACAAACTTTTAATGTGAAAAATGTTTCGTGAAACTAAGAAATTTGAAGAGTTAAAGAAAAATTGATATTTTCTGTAAAAAAAACTCGAAACTTCTTTTAATTATTCTCATCAGACTTGATTTAAGTTAAGACAGAACTTATGATATGAAAATTGCAATTCTCCTTATTTTCATTGGTGTGAAGAAGAGAACTAAATAGTGAAAGAAGTAATAAATTGGCAGTGAAAAAAAAGGATTTATTTAGACAATCGATAAAAATATTAAAAACAATATTTGGAACAAAATATTTCAGTAGAATTGCATAATTCTTTCAGTGACCTTTATTGTAGTGTTGAACTCTCTATGAATGAAGCGATAATATAGTGAAAATAAATATCAGTAAAATAAAATGGGCAATTCAGTGTTTCGACCTGGTGGGCTCTTGTTAAGCGTTAACCGAGACAACGCAAAACTTTCAGAGTCAACTGCATCCAAAATCGAAACGCTGTTTGATGTTCTGAGAGCAAATCCAAAAATATCAATTCAAAGATTAGAGGCACTTCTACTCCAAATACCTAAGGCAAGATTAACATCAAATTAACTTAATTTTCAGTTCTTTATCAACTCGATGTTTGTTTATGCTTTTAGCACGAAAACATCTTAACAATTCATGATAATCTCGGGTATAATTTACTTCAAAAAAGTGTTGGACTTAATCACATCGAACTTGTTAAATGGATTCTAGCTCGACCACATACTGATGTCAATCGTTTTCCTTGTTCACTTCCACTTCACATAGCTTGTGTTAAAGGCAACATTGAATGTGTTGAGTTGTTGTTAAAACACGGTGCAAGATTAGACACAGAGGCACGAATGTGCTTTCCCTGTTTGCATTCACATAATTGTGAAGAAGTTGGGAAATATAAAGGTGAACCCGATAGTGTCGTCTGTGATCGACCAACAACAAAACTTCAAAACTGCGTCAGTTATGCTATCGATGGTGATCAAATAAATGTTCTGAATATTTTATCGCAAAAGATGGAAGAGCCATGGGGCGTGTTATTTCGAGGTAGAAAACCATTACTGCATTTAGCTTGTGAACGGGGTGCATGGAAATGCGTTCAACAATTAGTTACCACTCGATCCGATGAAATAAATCTCATGAAAGATGAATTCTACCCAATTCATCAAGCAGTTTTACACGATGGAAAGTTTCTTGAGTTACTTATTCAACATGAAGCTATTACAACGGTTAGAACGTCAACACAACAAATGACACTTCTTCATGTTGTCATTCTTACAGCAAGAAAATCAGCTGACGATACGCTTAATACTATTAGAATCTTATTGGAACGTGGCTGTAAAGACTTAATTAATGAACCTGATTACTTGGGCAACACTCCACTCCACGCTGTTATTGTGAGATATGCGCTTGAAGAAGCTCGTTATGGATACGATAAATGGAGTAAATATGACATCCTTAATTTAGTCAGATTCATTCTTCAAAATGGAGCAAAGCAAAGTATCAATCAACCAGGGAATAGCGCATTGGCTTGCGTTTTTCGTCATATTCGTGATTGGGAAGTTTGCTATGAGCTTGTGAATATGCTGATTAAAGAAGATGGAGATCCTAATATTGTTGGTAGAGATGGTTCAGTTCCTTTGATGGTGTGTTTAGTTCCATTAATTAACAAAGATCCGCTTCATTCTTTTACTCATACAATGAAGGTTTGTTAATTTAATTAATTTGCCATTACTTTAAAAATATTAATTTGGAAATCTTTTATAGGTATTTTATCTTAATTGTATTCGGATTCTGTTACAACATGGCGCAAATCCAAACTGTTCCTATCGTTCCAATTTGACGCCTCTTCATGTTCTCATATTTACAGTTAGTGAAAATTTCACTGTCAGTGTTAATTGTGATATTCAAAAGCGTGCAAATTTTGACTTTATTAAAAATATTCTACTTCTTCTTTTACAACACGGATTGGATTGTAATCTGACATCACAACACATTTTACAATCAATCATGGAAATGGTTCAAAATGTTCGAACTGTTTCAACTGATATTCTTTGTATTTATGAATTAACTCTTACAATCCTACAATATGGAGCTGATCCAAATGTGATTTTAAATAGCAAGCAAGTATCTGGATCGATGACAGCTGTAAGTGAAGCATTAGCTAGTAGCAGTAGTCAAATGCGACATTTAGCAGCACCAGAGAACAACCTCAACAACGATAATATGAGAAATTCGTTCCGAAATAATGCAAGAAATTATATTCTATTTTACTATATCATGCTCATTACCAGAAAAGAATTTATTCTTACTCAACCTGATCGTCATTATACGAAAATTATTTATCTTTTCTACTACACCATGCGCCATGAAGTGCTCTATAGTTGTCTCAAAAGTCTTCATAATCTTTTCATTGTCCAAGTACCAAACAAATCCACAGAACATTTATTTAATTTAATATCGCAGCTCTATCGTAAGCCGCGAAGTCTTAAAGAAATATGTCGTGTGACAATTTATGAGAGCTTAAATCGAAAACTAGCCAACAATATCAATCGCTTAAATATGCCATTACCAATTAAAGATTATGTCTTGAATTTTGAACAGTGAGAAATGTCTAGAAAATTGAAAATTTAGGAATCTTTTCAAATAAATCCCAGTGGAGCTGATTTTTATTTTCTTTTAAGTGAATTCGACTAAATTTTACATAGATGCAATCTTCTATTAAGTTAACAATAATTAATTGAATGTTTCTTGTTACATGGCAATTGATAATCAAACCTAAATAGATGAAATGTTGCTCCCACCTCAAATTAAAAATTTATTTGCTCAAGTTGTTTATCATTTGTGATTATTGGCTTCGAAAAGATTCTAAATTTGAGCGGAAAATCTCATAAATATTAAATTAGGTATTTGTAGAAGAAAAAAGGTGAAAAGATAAATGCATAGAAATTTAAGGTAAATCAGATTGGTGGAATTTTTGTTAAATAAATTATTTAAAGGATTTCAAATAAAGATTATTATATGAAGAAAAATAATTGGATTTGCTTTTTTAATCTTTGGAAACCTTTCAGGCATTTATTTATTTAATTATTTTTAATTACAAAAACCAAATGAATTTTTTTTCAAGTTTTACTCCTTTCCCAACTGCCTCAGTTACATTTTTATATCCATTGTTAACAAGAAGTTCGTGGAGTTCTCTTTTAATTTTATTTACAACCGGTGGGCCTTGGTACATGAAACTCGTGTATATTTGAACTGCTGAAGCTCCAGCAAGAATTTTTTCATAAGCATCTTGACCATTGAAAATTCCTCCCGAGCCTATAATTGCCACTTTTCCTGAGGTCAATTTATAAACATCTTCAATCATTTTCGTGGACTTTTCACGCAAAATTTGTCCACTTAAGCCTCTATCTTCATTTTTATTTGTACTTTTCAAAGAGTATCTGTTTTTGGTAGCGTCTGAAATAATAAACCCGTCAACTTTGTACTTGTTTTTCTTCGTCACATTTATGATTTCTTTTAATTCTTCATAGTTCAAATCTGGTGATAATTTGATAAATATTGGACGTTGCTTTTCAATATCAAATAACAATCGCGCTTTGCGAACTTCTTCAGTGTATTCTTCTAAATGACTTCTTTGTTCTATATTTATGACTAGATAATTTGCTGTAGGACTAAATACTTTCACACCCATAGAATAGTCATGGATAGGATCCGACCATTTATTTCTTCCCATATTAACGCCTATTATTCCTTCGTATTCTATCTTCCTTCTAAGATATCGCATATTCGGAACAACATACTCGTGACCTTGAAATGTTTAAGTTGTTAAGAGAAATCTATGAAAAAATCATGATAATTAAACCTTTGCTGGCGTAAACGTGTCTATGTATAATGGTTTTGTCTTCGTCAAGGTTGAATACGCTTGGTTTAGAACTCCCTGATTGCTCTTCAGGACAAACACTTCCAATTTCAACAAATCCAAATCCTAAATTGTGTAAGCTTTTAATGGCTTCCCCATCTTTATCAAACCCTGCAGCCAAACCCAAAGGATTTTTCAACTTTATACCACAAATTTGTGTATTCTGAAAAGTTCAAATGTTATCAATTAAAACTTTTAAATACTTAGAATAAAAAGTCTCACCAACATTTCGGGATCTTCATATTTATTTGGCGGCAATAAATTCCATTTGCATGCAAACATAACTATTTTGTGTGATGTTTCTGCATCTGCAAACTTTCTTGTGATTGGCATTGCGATATTTTCAAAAAACTTCTCGTCATTTCTGTAATAAAATACGCTTCCGAATATGACAGCACTTGAACTGGTTACTGTGAGTAATGATTTCAATTTTTGAATAAATTTAGTGCTTGTCATTATCACTTTTGCCTTAGTTTAGGCTTTATTTAAATATTTTAAAGTTTTTTCTTAAGTCTTAAGCTTTGTTTACGAATTTTTTCTTCATAACTTCGAGGGGATTCCGAAGAAGATTTTCAATGGAAAAAAATTGACCTACTTGAATACCCTGTAAACGATCAGATGTTCGCGAGAACAGCATTTCTGTATGTCGCGTGTGTGAAACAGTATGATCAAGCTTTGTGCATTATAAACTTTAAAATAAGATTTCTTGACTGCAACAAGTTGATTTAAAATTATAAACTTTATTTTTAATGACTTATTTGTGACTTTGTTTCTTAATTTTTATTGAAGAATAAGAAATGGGCAACTTCTTGTCTTTGCCGACAAGATTTCAATCTCTCCTTAATTTAACAAATATTGTATCACGGAAAAGAAAACTATCATCAACAACAAATTCTTCCAGAGATCCTTATTCACCAGAAGTCAAGAGGTTTGTTGATATCATTATTAAAAATTTTAACAAGAATTTTTTAAAGAATAAAATTTCTTATTTTGGTTTTCAAGGTTTCGTTTTGATAATAATTTGAAGCAAAGATCAACTGACTTTAAAGCTGATGTTGTCATTAATGCTTTCGACCGGAAATGGCCATGTAATAGAGAAATTTTATGTCAAAGCAATTTCTTTAAAACATTACTAAATGGATCGTTCAAAGAATCAAAACTCCAAGAGATTGATCTTTATATGACGGATGATTTGATAAATGAAATATCGTTTCAAAAACTACTAAACATACTTTACCATCAAGAATCGTTTATATCCTCAGACATCATATTTAATGTAACTGTTACAGCGCAATACTTCCAAATCGATTCTCTTGTTGACTTTTGTGAGGATCAAATCACTGAAATGATAAAAAGTTCAAATGCCATCGAAATTTATCATTTCTCGGATCGCTATTATCTTAAAAAGATAAAAGACAAAGTGTTCGATTGGATGCTTCTTCGATTATTTCCAGTAACATGTTGGGATCAGTTGAGTTGTCTCTCGTTGGAATTAGCAACAAAACTCATCTCACATCCTAGGTTAGTTACATTAAATGAAATGTACTTGTACTTGGTATTGAAAATGTTAATTCAAATCGATTTAAACGGAACATATGTAGAAAATCATGACGAATTTTATAGTAATATTAAAGAGAACATGGTTCCATTTTTACTGACTGAAAAAGGATTAAAATTTCGTACAGCTTTTGAAGCTCTAAAGTTAGGAAATATTCTGGTTAGAAAAGAAAACGTCGAAATGATAATGCAAGATAATATCATTCCACGATCCATGATTTATGCTTCAATTTATAAAAATTGGATGTCTTTAATTTCAATTGAATCGCATAAAAATTATGGCCCATCAAAAGAATTAATCACAGAAAATGATTTTGATAATCATGCAATGAGATTCGCTAAAGTGATCCATCAACCTGATTTTCATTGTTGGAAATTTGCTGGATTTTGTTTTGCTTTTGATTTGGCATTGTTTTTTGATGGAAGAACTTTAATTATCAAACGTGTTCATCAATTCAATAACGAACAAAGAGTTTCACATACGCATTTATTGCGAAGCATCATGTTACGTGTTGATATTGTTGAAGTTCACAGCACAGACACTAATCGACAAAATGATATTCAAACATACAAAATGACACTAAACGAAGAGATTTCCTTAAAAAAGCTAAACAGAGAACCAAAATATCCTTGTAGGATAAGCCTTGAGATTCTATTCCATATTCCTTATGTCAACAATTTAGGATTAGAGCAAATTTAGTAACTAAGTAAAAGAAATTTTGTACTTTTCATTGACATATTCGTAAATATCTAGATTTGTAGGTTTTTTTTTCAGATGTGCAAATAAGCAAGTTTGATTGAATAAAAATTAATCATCAAAGTGCAAAGATTAAATATGTACACATTAATGTTATTCATAATTAGATAAGCAAGTTTGACCTATTCAAGATGTGTTGAAAATGTTAAACAAAAGGAAATAAATCAATAATTTGACGTTTTTTACTATTTAATTGTCTATCATAAAGTGTATCAAGGGAAACAGTAAAATAGCAATAAACAAAAAGTTCAACTCAAACTTTTTCCCGCAATTGCACGGAATTTTTCCAGCCTTGGATTCACATACGCAAACTTCAATCTCGTGACCATTTTTCATTTGTTTGTAGCATCCTTGGCTGACTGCAGTCTCATTTTCTATGTTAACTTTTGTGCACAAGTATGTGATATTTTCGACTAAAACAAATAATGAAATTCCAATAAGAAAAAGAAAACCTCAAACTAAATTAAAAGTCAAATAAGATTCTTTGTTTCATAAAATTATTTAAAACTTACTTGCGCCATTAAATTTGTAAGAAAATTTGGCACAAACTTCGCCTCTAACTAATCGGCATGCAACTTGGATGGGCTTGTTTTGGTATTTATTCCAGATGTAATCTGTGTCTGGTATGTTACTATTGTCTAAATGTTTGAGAAAGAATTCATAAGTATCAAAATTATTGTCTCTATTGCTTCAGTTAAGAAAATCACTCAACTTGTTACGACCAATGGATGAGTACAGGGAACAGTTTTGTCTTTAACAATATCACTACATGTTGCATTTCTAAATTTACTATCTTCGTTATACTTTGGTCCTAGCCAGGTGAATCTGAAGCAAAATGCTTTATCAACGGTTGTTTTATTGTCATTATCAATAGCTAGGATTTCACATGATACTAAATAAGACAATGATAACATCGATATGAATTTTAATATTCTCTGAACATGGAGCATGACTTATGTTATTAATTTCACTCTTTATATGAGAAAACTTTTTCTTTGTTCCTAACTTTACAGTATAAAATTTTAAACTAGCATCAATTCAAGCAATACAAGTAATAGAATTTCGATTTTTACTATCTTATCTATGGAAAAAAATGCGATTGATGAAAACAAGCTTTCAAAAGCAAATAAAAACACGACAAACACAACAGAGTAAGATTTCAGGAAAATGTAAATTCATGAGGGCGATGAAGTCATCACAAAAGCAATTAAGTATCCAATACCCAAATTAAATGTATTATAATTTATAAATCAAACATAATATCCAGGAACAATTGAAGAATAATTTGTTTACAAACTTGGTTCATTCATTTGGAACTCATTCATCTAGTTCATTGTAGATTATTTTTTATTTTGTGTTACTTGGGAAATCAAAAACATAAAAGTTTTAATCGAATAGATAATTCTTAAGTCTAGGTAGGACATTTTTCCTACCTTTAAAGAACAAGGAAAACATTTGTAATTATCAAGAATTTAAAGCTTCGGAGCGAAGCTTTTATTTGTACACCGAATGAGCATAAACAATAAAATAAATAAATAAATAAAATAAATAAACAATTGAACTTCTACAAAAAAAAGATTCTGAATAATTATTCAAGATGTTTGAAATCTTTCAGTAAAAGGAGACATGGTTATTAAAAATCTGAAGTTGCACCTCTCTCTTATCGAGAAACCAAATGGAATTACCAACCAACGTGCCTTTTCTCAGATATTCGCGTCTTCTCTTTACATTACATTCGCTCAAGTCTCTTTCAAACGAGTTGAGTATTGAAGTAAGAAATCAAGTAGAAATCTCTTCTCACTGACCAATTTCAAAAAGTTAAACTGGTATAAAGCTAAACCTCCAATGAGCAACGACTTAGTCGAGTTTGCACTTCTGCATAAGTCGGGTGTTTTGCTGCCGTGTCTTTGTAATTTATCAAGATTTTGAGAGTGTAAATTGCAAAGAAAACTTGCAAGCAAAAATTAAACTCGTGTTCTAGATTTCAAGTTTTAAATGTCGTTTTGAAGCTGTAAACATTTAAAAACAAAACAGTGCAAAAATTTACTGTCTTGACTTTGAAAAGCAGTATTGTTGTTTCTGTCAAAAATATAAAAGATATTTATACGAAAAAAAGTTAGAGAAATATCTAAAATAAAATATTAACAAAAATTGACCAGGAAATTAATTTATTTAAAAAAAATCTCTGTTAATTGAAGTGTATAAAAAATTATAAGGAAATCTAGAAAATCTCAACATCAAAATGACTCCCAAGCCAGAAAATACTCAAAGTTATACTTTGGACAAAGAAAATAAAGCAAGCTACACAAATAAAGGCTTTGTGAACAGCGAAAAACCTGTAATTCCTCAAATTGTGATAACTGATGAAGTGAAACTTCAACCGGCCGCTCAACCAACACAAAAAGTGATCGATTTCGATGATCTTCTGCCACATATTGGCGAGTTTGGACGATATCAGAAAATACTTTTCCTTCTCATGATACCATTTGCATTCTTTGTTGCTTTCGTGTATTTCTCACAAATATTTATAACCCTCGTACCTGATGAACATTGGTGTTTTGTGCCCGAGCTAGCAAATTTACCAGTTGAACAAAGGTGATTTATACGCACTAATTTTTGTGAAAAAAAAAGTTATTCTTAAAAAAATTACTAACTTTTAATGGATGTGCTTAAAAATGGCGTACATAATGATCATGTTTGTCAGGATTTGACCACATAATGAGTACATCGATTTTACAATGTCAAAGTTAGCAAATATTTATTAAAAAAAGTAATTTACACTCCAAGGAAGACTCAAGTTTTTTTTTTGGATAATAATCTTTTACACTTATGTTCGTTTCCGAATCATTAAGAAGTAACTTTGAATATCAAGCATATAACCATGAAGATTCAACACTCAGACGTACATTTTCAAGTAGATATGCGTCTGCATAATTACAGTAATTAATTAGAAAAAAATATTCTAGTTTAACATGTTTTCGTATCGCATTCACCACGAGTTGATAAGACACAAGATTTCTAAGTATCTAGGATAAAAATACTTTTTCAATCTTTTCTTCAATAACCAACAAGTTGTCAAGATTTTTCTCATTTAATGTTATGAATTTCATAATAAAAAATGAAGTAGATACACATTTTGCATATTTTGAAGGGCAGACAAGGCGGAAACAAAATAGGAAAAGAAATTACTGAAAATTAATTTTAATTTGGTAACAAATGACCTAAAAGCCTTTTTGTTTCACTTAACTTTAATTGTTTTCAGCACTTTAAAGATTCGAAATAATTCTTAATGGTTCAATGATCAATTGATTTTAATTTTCGCACTCTTAATCGGTTAACGAATGAATTTAAGTTGAACTAATCATTCTAAAGAACATAAACACAAAGTAATAGGAATCGTTTATAGTGCGGAACCATGTTAAAATCGATATAAAAGATAATTCAATAAGATTCTTATTTGAAAAGGCTTTAAATAATTACAAAATAGAATCAAGTTATCCGCAAAAAAGTTTTTGTTATGCGAGACTTTAAATACGTTTAAACTTGTTTGCTTGAATCGTCATCAATATGTGAGCATGTATTGCTCGATAAACTTGAGAGATTATCATCACATTTGAGACGCAAATAAGAAGCCTCAAGAGTGTCATCAAATTTGCATACTTTTGTATTCTTTTTGGAAATTCCATTCTTGCAATAAAATCATAACTCAGCTATCAGATTATTATGTTAATTGAATGTTTTCAGTTTTCCTTCTTGATGATTCACCATCAGGAATATTATTTGTAATGCTTGCGAAATTAAAATAACATTTGAAAAATTTTAAAATTCATTCAAAAGTCTCCTACCGATGACAAATCACAAACCAAGAATTGAAGATTGTCGTTTCAGAATCGTACTAAAGTAACAAATTTTCTTCTTCTTATCTAAGATATTTAATGTAAATGAAATTTCAAATCACTAAAAATATGAACACATTAATCAAAATTTTGTCAAAAGGAAAATAATTGAAATAATCCAACTTATAATTTAATTGCCTAAGAATTTGTGGTTTTGATTATTAAGTTAGCTTTTAAATTATAAATTTAAGTATAACTAGATAAATATGTCAGCCCTAATAACGCATTTGACGCTATAACGGCGTGTTCGCCATGCATGTGTTTACAAACAACATGACATTATCTCAGTTATTACATTATTATATTTAGCCGACATATTATTTTCTGGGTGTAAAAATAATTGTCTATCTCCGTGATCTAACCAACAATGAGATGCATCTATGAGCATCAAACTGACACGAGATTGATAGAACTTTTTTCGCATTATTTTTACTTAAACTTGACCCAAATGAAAGCCTGATTACTTACAGTTTTTTCATGAACATGTGTGCTTACAACTTAATTGAGTTATTTTTAACATATGCACCGGATTTTAATGTGATTATAAAATGTTGAACTTGAAAAAGTTAGATAATAATTTTCAAAAAGGTGATTTAAATATCTTTTATTATGTAGTACATCAAACAACAACTAAAACAGGAAAGAATGAATAATTATATTAACTTAATACTTTCCTGTTATGACAATTTATTGTGCATAACAATCATAAGAAAATACTGAATGGCGAAAATATTTTATTAAATGAAATGACACTTGTAAAAGTTTAACATTTTTATTAAATTAATGGACATTTTTAGTCATCTAAATAAAGGGTGGCTTGGCACACCTGTTTAGAGTGCATACAACGAATTAATAAATAAAATGTTGAACTCTGTCTAATTAAATTTCCAATATTTATTTTTTAATTGATCACATAAGTTGGTAGTGAAATTTCAATAGATGCAAAAACGAAACACATTTTCGTTAATGGATACTAAATCAAAGTATTCAGATAATTAATAATTGCGATCATGGTTAACAGTATTTCTAGACTTTACTGGGATTTTCCAAGCCACACTTGAGCTTTTTTTATTTATTTAACGAGAATGAGTCAACTGACATAAAATTGTTCGCTACCACTTCACGTCTCTTAAATATTAATCAAAAATGTTTCATGTAAAGCGATTAGTTTTCATTAAAATTGCAATACTGCAAAATTATTTGTTTCCTTTCTTCAAATTGATCATTGTTTAAAGCGACTAAAAACCTGTTGAACTTGAAATAATTTTTTTTCCTCTCTAGAATGTATTTCCTAACAATTTCTAACTGTTCAAGAAACATTTGTTCACGCCGAAGAATTGCAGCGGAAATTTTTACTTCTCTCAACACTTAACGTTGAAAATTACGAGATTATTGTAAATTCTTGTTCTGTTGCTAAGATTTATTTCTCAGCACTACAAAGTCATAATGACAAAAACATTATTTGACCTCTGTTGAGTGGAACTGTTAAAGATCACTTGCTTTATTGATGTTATTAACTATGCTTGATATATTTCTAAAGAGCAATTACAAAAGTGTCTTTGTGAATAAATTTTATCTTTAATTCTTTTGTTTTAGACTCGCGTTAGCAATACCACGTGATAAAGATGGGTATGTCAAATGTTCAATGTATGCTGTGAATTATACAGAGATACTTCAAAAAGGAATAATTAAATCTGACTCTTCATGGCCGACCCAGCGATGTAAATATGGATGGGAATATAATTTCACAGAAATTCCTTACAGCACAATAGCCACAGAGGTTTGAGAATGTTTAATATCACTGTTGACATTTTATTAAATTCATTTTATCCGAATTCAGCTTGATTGGGTGTGTGATAACGATCACTTGCCAACACTTTCTCAATCAATTTTCTTCCTTGGTTCAATTGTTGGAGGTCTTCTCTTTGGATGGATAGCTGACCGTTACGGACGAATTCCAGCTCTGGCTGGCTGCAATTTAATGGGTTTTATAGCAGGTAAATTTTATTTAATGTAAATTAGTTTTTCATTAATTGAAATGACATATTAACAGGTGTAGCGACAGCATTCGCCTCAAACTTTTGGCAATTTAGTCTCTGTCGCTTTTTTGTTGGATTTGCATTTGACAACTGCTTCACGATGATGTACATTTTAGGTAAGACAAATTTTGTTGTCATAGGTCATAATAAGAACAATTTGCTATTTTGTTACGGCTTTCATTGTGAATATAAATGAAATGAATGAATCACGTTTCTATTGTTTTAATTCACGAGAAGAAAATTCGCATGAATTGTTCAAGGTTGTTGGCCTCACGATCGTATTTTACTTATATTCTTATGTGGTTATTAAATGTTCGCGGTAGGAAATTAATAAAACAAGATTTATGTATTAAATTTCAATTTACATGCACATTTCCCGAAGTCATTGATTCATGTTTGATTGTGGCTACTATAAATATAACAATTCAATTAATTCAGAATCAATCACATACCTAATTGTTGAAAGTTTTTTTTGCTTAAATTTTTTGACCATGGCCAGTCTATTAAATTTATGCTATTGATTTACTAATTTTAAATGGAATGAATTGGAAGTTGTACACATGCAAAAAAATTGTACAGAAATTGTAATTTAAAGAAGTGTTTGGGCCATTAACCTGAAGACTTAACAAGGAAATACGAAACATATTCTAGAAGTGATGTCTTGAAAGATTCTTTGTAACTTCTATCGTTCATTAATTCTACTGGCATTGACACTTACCATGCACTTGATAATCTCATCAGCTGGTATTAAAGTCTTTGGTTTGCTATTAAAGCTAAATCTGTTTAATGACATTGAAGAAATCACTTGATGAATTAGCCTGACAGCAGATTGCTACCCTGGCAATAAGATTAATGAAATGAAACATGAAAGTTTTATGTTTTCAATTCATCTTGTGAAGTTATCAATAGTTGAAGTACTGCTGTTGTATTTATTAATTACATTTATATAATTATGATGTCAAGATCAAGCGAATTTAATCTGTGGACATTTACTTATGCGACATTTTAATACTTATTTAAGTTCAATCGACAAGTTCAATACCATGACCACAAACCAAATGCTTATTAAAGTATTATTCTTATTTTATGAAGTTAATTAATTGTACACATTTTATGAACATTGTTGAGTTCATTAAAACATAGTCATAAATTTGTTTAGACATATTGAGGAAAGCGATTGTTCTATTTTTTATTCATTTATGTAAAATCGGCAAAAAATTTAGCACAAATTTGTAGCAAATAATTAATTTTTTAAAGAAACAGCAAGGAAGTATCTAAGAATATACAAAGTTTTAAGTTTGTTTAAAGTCTGACATGAGTTATAGATATTTAGTATTTTTAGATAATTAATCGTAAATTTAAAAAGCTCTTAATGAAACTAAATAAACTAATAGTTAAAATTGCACCTTTTGCAAAGAATTTTTTCAAACTCGACACCTAACTAACTACGTAGGTTTATATCTGTAGATAATAATTGCAAAAATAATTGACTACTAGAAAAATCAGGAGTCGTGTAGCAGATGACAAATGTAAAAATAATATCTTAGTCACGATTTTGTTACTGTTTCCTATTGAGAAATCGAAATAATTTAATTAAAAAATTTACATTAGTGGCAATAAACAATTTCTTCATTGGATCATCGAAACTTTTTCTATCCTGATTATGATTCATAAGCTATTAGAACAGATTTATGTAACAGTCTTTATAACGCTTTAATCCGGATATCCCTGAATCAATGACAACCATTCATTTATTGACATCAAGTTGTTTAAATTATTCATCTTTTCTGACATGTGATGTACATTCATACATTCATACTTATTAAATAAATTTATAGTCCTTTATGTAAATGAAGTTTTCTCAGGTAATTATCTTTTTTATTGTCAGAATTTTGGTTTGAAACTTCAATTTGTATGTACCTGCAAAATAAATTTGTAAACGTGTTGACGTAAGCGTCTGAAAGATAAATAATGAGTTGAACTATTTCAAATAGCACGTGTTCTAAATGTTGATAATCAAATTTTTATTCGTTTTGATGTTCGCCTTCAACAATTTAGTTCAGCTTTGCCAGATGTTACTAGATATGTATTACATATTATTAAGTGTCTACTTATCCGTCGAAATATTTATGAACAACTAATCACATTCTCAAATGTCAATTCGTTATTAATCTTCTGAATTAATTTGTTTAATAGGAAGAATTAAATTTTTATCGTTCTGTAATTCCAGTTCTTGAATATGTGGGACCAAAATGGAGAACATTTGTCGCAAACATGTCAATTGCAATCTTCTTTACCATGGCTTCCTGTGCCCTTCCATGGATAGCTTATTACCTTGCTGATTGGAAACTATTTGCAATTGTCACATCAGCACCTTTGTTTTTAGCGATTTTCACACCTTTTGTTGTACCAGAATCTGCAAGGTGAGTTAAAGTAAAGAACATTTTTTGTCTCTTTAATTCATTGTATTCTCTTTGCATTTAAGGTGGCTTGTGTCGCAAGGTCGCATACCAAAAGCTCTCGGGATTCTTAAGAAGTTTGAAAAAATGAACGGAAAAAATGTTTCACCTCAGATCTATCAAGATTTTTCAGATAGTTGTGCAAAAATGCAAGAAGAAGAAGCAAGCAACTCGAACTACTCTTTGTTGGATCTTTTCAAAACACCAAGACTTAGAAATATCACAATTCTACTTATTATAATTTGGATGGCGATTTCCCTTGTGTTTGATGGTCATGTGCGAAATGTTGGATCACTTGGTTTAGATTTTTTCATAACTTTTACTGTTGCGGCTGCAACTGAGTTGCCAGCTGACACGGTGCTAACATTGACATTGGATCGATGGGGACGAAGATGGTTGGCCTTTGGAACGATGGTTATGAGTGGAGTTTTCAGTTTACTTGCTGTTTGTGTTCCTGTTGGAGTTTATTCAGCTACTTTGGCAATTCTTGGTCGATTCAGTGTCAATATATCGTATAACGTTGGCCTTCAATACGCTGCTGAACTTTTACCGACAGTTGTTCGAGCTCAAGGCGTTGCATTTATTCACATTATGGGATATGTTGCAAGCATTCTCGCACCATTCGTAGTTTACCTTTCACATATTAGCACTGAATTGCCTTTAATTGTCCTCGGGATTTTGGGAATTTTAGGCGGTTTTCTGTCACTTTTCCTTCCCGAAACATTAAATCATGAACTTCCTCAAACGTTAACTGATGGAGAAGAATTTGGAAGAGGTCAAGGAATGTGGGACTTCCCGTGCTGTGCGAAAAAATTGGAAGATGATGATGAAGTAAAGGAGTGCAATCAATTTAAGAGAGCTTCAATCGGTCATGCATCATTGAGAGCATCATCCAGAGGTGAATACAGTTCAAGCATGCTTCAGAGGTCTACTCGCTCTCGTGCTTCTTACAAGTCAATCAACACAAGATTATGATTTGAAATAAATGAGAATCATTGAATGCATGAATAGATATCATCATTCGAATTTTATACTCATCTAGTCAGATCATTGTTGATCAAAGATATGAATTTTTATGATATGACATGATGGAACAAGATTTACTATTAAAATATGTAAATGTGCTCATGTATCTCAACTGTTCCAAAGGATTATCTAAAAATTTCTCTTGTCGACTTTCCTATCGTTTCAACGATTTTTATTTCATATTTAAAAGAAATCAAAATAATAAAATTAAAATGCTTACGACTGTATGATGGAATGTGAATGTAAGACATAAATTCTGAAATGTAGCAATGCATGACTACTTAAGTAATTAAGAATTTTCAAAAGAAGTTCCCTTGCCTTTGATTTTTATTTAAATAATTTTAAAATACTCGCCTTTTCATCCTGTAAATATTTATTTTATACTTTTTCAATAAACACATTTTTACATAAACTTGAAAATTAATGATTATGAAATAAAATCGTCGATACAGAACACAAATATTTTGATTTAATAAACTTTCACTTTCTAAGATTTCCTACAATCATAACTACAATCAGAACTTCATTCTAAAGATATCTAATAAAAAAATAAAACAATTTAAGCTTTCTTCATTCTTGTTGTCAACTTAACTTTATATTTCAATACTTTAAATCAAAATAATTTGAAATTCATCGAATATGCTATTAGAATATAAATTTGACTTTCTTTGACGACAGCAAATCTATTTATGGCGACAGCAGATAAATTTCTTTTGAAAACATGTTACACACACAGCATGCAAAAGCCATCATCTTACTGAGAGATGAAGTGGGAGTCACTTGAAGTTTTAATTTCTTATCGATTCGTTATGAATGTGGTGAAGAAAATATTTTAAACATGAGTTCATAAGTGCTAAATGCATGGTAAAGTTTCCGAAACTGGTATTAACTTCAATCACTTAAAGCTCCAATTAATGTTAATAAGTAAATCGATTTGTGAAAATCCTACATAATCTGCATACTCGATAATGGAACTTGTTTTAAGGTCGTGTAGACAATATTTCAGATAAAGGTGGAAAATCCTATTTGATAGTACCAGTCACGTCTGCGTAATATCACTGGAGTTTTACCAGTAGACGTGACTAATATAACGAAATATGAAAGTTTTTCTGTGATTTTTTATCACTGTCGTCATTTACTACAAACCTGATGTTGTTACTGGGAAAAGGTGACGATGTGGTTTTTATGTTATGTTGACTTGTTATCTTGCGAACAACACATCTGTTGAATGTAAAAACATATTAGACACTCATAAGTAGACACAGGAAATTGTTCTGTCAAAATGTATTTGATCCACAATTTATTTCTCTTGTTTTCTTTTTCAATTTTAATCATAAAAGAAATATTGACGCAAGAGATTTGTTGTCAAGAAAAAAAATCATGTAAATGATTCGCTCTTGTCAACAAGTTGATTCATTTAAGAAACTTTTACTCTCACTTTTCAACCGTAAAAACACCATGTCAACCCACTCACACCCGCCAAAGGAAATGAAAATGGTAAAAGCGTACGTAATATTACAGACTGTGTGCTTAGAGAATAAAATGTATTGAACCAACTGCTCAGATTTATTTTATATCGTCAGTATTCGTTCAACTGCCGATGGTGTTGGTTGATTTTTATTTATTGATTGCTTTGGACATTATAAAGGACCATCTTGGACATATGTAGTAGATTTTAACAAATTGAATTAAGTAATTCAATAAACACACCGACATAAATCGAACCTTCATCCAAATAAGAATTAGTTTTGACGTTAAATTTGAAACTTAAATATTTACATAAATTTTAATTAGACAATCAAAGAGCTTGAAAATAGAAAAAAATGAAAATTTTAATAACCTTGATTGTGCTATGTGTTGTGAACTTTGAGCAGGTAAAACAATAACACACGAGATGTTTCAATATGTGATTTTGTAACATCAATACTTGAATAGGCTTTTGGGTCACTAAGTGAAGAAGATATTCGAGAAATAGCAGATCTCGACGATCAATATCATTACAAAGAGTCGTTGCAGAATATTTTAATCCCACGAGTTGTTGGAACGAAACAATGGAAATCTGTGCAAAATTACATTGTTCAACAATTAAAATTAATGGAGCTAAATGTTGAACTTGATTCGTTTGAAGACAATACACCAATTTTTGGTCGAATGAAATTTGTAAATATTATTGGAAAATTAAATCCATCAGCGGATCATTTCTTGGTTTTATCTGCGCATTATGATTCAAAATATTTCCCAGAAGGAGAATTTCTTGGAGCAACTGGTAAATTTTAATTTAAATTAATCATAAAATAACTTCTAACATATGTGCGGTTGATTTAGATTCTGCTGTGCCTTGTGCAATAATGTTGAATATAGTCAAGACGACTTTACCTTACATCAAACAGTTACTTGAAGGTAAGAATTTGGGCTTAATGCTTATTTTCTTTGATGGTGAAGAAGCCTTCTTGGAGTGGACCGACAGAGATTCTCTTTATGGTTCAAGACATTTGGCACAAAAGTGGGAATTGACACCTTATAAAAATGGAACCGAAATTGATCGAATTGTGAGTTTATTGACATCAATTAAAACTCAAACATCCGACACATTTTTTGTCTCTTTCAGAATGTTTTAGTTTTATTGGATCTAATTGGAAGTAACAACGCAAGATTTGTGTGCACATTTAGAAACACTTGCAATTTAAATACTCGATTAAATGAAATTGAGAAAGTTTTAAAATCGACGTCATCCCTGAAGAGAATTCCCAATGGCCCGGCAAGTATTTTCCTTAAAAGCTATCGACAAACTGGTGTTGCTGATGACCACATACCATTCCTTGTACGAAAAGTTCCTATTCTTCATCTGATTCCACAGTCATTCCCAGTTGTTTGGCATACTAAATATGATGATGCACAACGACTCAATCAACAAGCAATTCTTAATTTCAATAAGATTTTCAGAGTGTTTGTGGTTGAATATCTTTCAGATTGTGCTGCTAATCCAGTGTCAAGAAAATGTAGATTTAAATAATTTTGAAGTGATATTTTTATTTAGTGTATTTATGTAACTTGAATTAAGATTCACAACGACCTCAACATAAAATAATCCAATTATGTATTAAAAACAAAGCAATTTTATCGTCTTTTTCTTCCAGCTCCGCCTTTCTTTGGCTTCCGATTGCCCATTGCACCTTTTGGCTTTTTGCTGCTGAACTTTTTAGCGTGCTTTGATTTACTTCCTGTCCTTTTCTTCTCAATCGGGTTCTTTTCTCGTCTGTATAAGTAAAAAAAGAACATGAAATTTAATATAAAAAATGAAAATTATTAAAAATTACTCTTCTCTGGCTTCTCGTTTTTGAATCTGTACTGCTTTGTCAACATCAATTTTGGGACGTTTGTTGAGAATTCTTTGAACAACTTCAATTTGCTGACTCTTTTCCTGGCTTGGATCAATTGTACGTTTACGTTTAGAACCGGGAATGAGTTCGCGAACGCCAATGCCTCGAGCATCTTTCTCTTTAGGAAGTTTTTCTTGAAACTTGCCTACAGAAGCTGTTGATGATTTGGCAATAGTTGCCGCCACATGAAGATCCTTTGCTGATGCTGATTCTTCACTCACAAATCCAGCACGAGGAACTTGAACTTTTTGTGCTCTTGCAATGTTTTTCATTCTTGCAATTTCATTCTTCGCTACTCGTTCACTCTTCAAGTCTTTCTTTTTCTGGAACATATCTGTCATAGGATCCAAATTTTGTGGAACTTCTAACACCCAATCTTTCTCTTTTTCAGCTTTAAATCGTTGGAATCCATAAGTTGCCACCCACTTTCCAAGTTCTTCATCCCAAACTTTTTTGTCTTTCTGTCGTTTTTTAATACCTTTTGCTTTCGCAAATTGTTCCCATTTTGTTGGAACTTTTGGCTGTGGAAGTTTGCGAGCTCTTGGTAAGGCAAAAGAGGCTTTTGGAAGTTTTGCTACAATATGTTCATCTAAACGTTCTGTTTGCAATTCCCAAATACCATTAACAAGCAATTGAACATTCTCACGAGTTAAATTCAATAAATACTGCTCCACATTATCCCTAAAATGTAAAAAATGTGTTTATGTGAAATGATATGTGGAATATATGTAACAAAACATACCTCAAAGCATTTTCATCAAAATTATTTGGATCGCTGATCATTAAATGTCCTAAATCAACTTTAACTTCTTCGTGCTTCTCTACATTGATGGTCTTATATTTTTCTAAATCTTTTGCTTGTTTGGCAAGCACCTCTTTAACAATATCCATAGTTTAATATCACAACAAATCTTGTTTCTATTGTTGCTTTTAAAAATGTGCTTGAAGCTCAGTGCTGCACTATTTAAGACATACGGTACGCAGGGAAACTAATGAAATTGAACCGTTAGAGTCACCCCTACGGTTCAAAAATCCTGAGCTTCAACTTTGAATCTATTTACCTAGATCGTTAAATTAATAAATAAAGAAATTATCATAAAAAATATGTTTGCATTGCAATGAAACAATCTGCTTAGGTATCATTTTTTATACTTTTATTCCTCAAAGTTATTAAAAAAACTTATTATCGTTTAATCGCAAGTAATTTATTACAAAAAAATTTGCGGCTGCGAGATCAAAATAAAACACAAACAAATCCAACTTTTATGAAAATCCTTTTCTGATGTCCTGACTCAAAGTAATCTCGTTCTCTGATATTTTCAAAAAATCATTATTCTCTCGCAACTTTATCCTAATACATTATCTTTAATTTCCTTACTCTCAAATCTAAATAATCAAAAAAAAAAAGAAGCTTAATGTCTCGGCGTTAAATCATCTTCTTAAATTACTAGCTTTACATTTCAAAATTTCTCATATAAAAAGTATCGCATTGATTCAGTTTTTTATTCCTTAAATCTATTATTTTATCTTAAAAAGTAAAGAAAAAGGAAAAAAATTGAGACGTTCTAAAATTAATTAATTTTTTGCGTAAACGTTTTTTCTTGAGGGTCATTTCTTGAGTTTCGATTAAATTTTATGTAAGACAAAAGAAAGTTAATGGTTAGTTGTGGTTGATTAAATTAGCTAAAGGAGCTGTTCGAAGATGAATATCAAATTTATATCTTAAAAATCTGCTTATCTTCTAATGCAATTAAATTTTATCATCTGTATTGAATGATTTTTATGTTTTTAGTTTTTTGATGTATCCAAAATTATCAGTTGATGTTATAGGCACAAACTACTAGGTTTTTATTTCAAGATATATGCTGATTCATACTTCAGTACTATAATTATAGATATTTATATAAAATACCTAACTTTTTAACCAAGAATTAAGATCGAAATGGTTAAAATTAAATCTGAAGTCGATATGAAAGGTTCTCATAAAGTTTATGCAAACAATTATGATTTGGAAACTTTTCAAAATAAATTTAATGCTAATTTCTTTTCTTTTAGGAAGAAAAAAAAATTAATATGTATTAAGTTTAAGAAAGTGAGAATCATTCATCATTCTCCTTGAAATTTTAAACATGAAAGATAATTTTAAATGAATTACGAAATTATAAATGTTGAAACAAAAAAAGACAAACTTAAATTGAAAAGAAGCAACATTGGAAGAGAATAGAAAAGGAAACAGGGGCAGGGTAGGAAACCAAAGATCAGCTTCAATTATTAATTAATATTACTTTAACTTATGACACTTGTCTTCGATTATGAATTCTTTTCATTAACCCATCATAATCAGATGGAAAACTAGTTTTGCCTTTTACAAAAGGTGGCTTATTTGCAATGGTGACCGTTTTATGCAAAACAAACAAGAACAACAATTAGGAGAGATCTGAAATGGAAAAAAAAAATTAAATTATTAAACTTATAAATTTACAAAAAATAAATTTACTTACAACTTGGTGCAGCTTCATATCGACGCTGAATTTGATCATACGTAAATTTCACGAAAGCATCGTACTGCTCAGCTAATTTATTGTTTAGAACTGCATCATATTGTTCACGCAACTTCTCTTCTCGTTCCTTGAGCATACGCTCACAAATCATTTGAACCTATAAATATTGAATGAAATAATTATAATAATGAAGTATTTAGAAGCAAATATAAATATAGAAACCTGTTTGAATGTGAACAGAGCCATTTCAGGATTTTTAACTGCTGTTGGTGGAGTGTCAGGACGACGTGGACTTTCAGCTCCCATTTCACTACCACTTGACTCCGAATCTTGCATTTGCTCAACTGTTTGCGAATTGCTGAACGATAATTGCTTTCTGCGGTGCAAACGTCGAATTTCTTCACGAATATTCTCAGCCATTTTCTCTGGTGTTAATTTTGGAGTGAAAGATGAAGCTTCTGCAAATGGTGATGGTGTTGGTTCCATCACTTTTACTGCTGAACTAGAAGACGTTGAAGGTGATGAAGGAGTGCCAAAAGGTAAGCATCTGCGACGTTTTGTGGGACGTTGACTGATCGACTCCCAATCTAAAGAACGTTTTAAAGTTGCACAAGCCATGACTGCAAACTCGATTCAGTCCTCACAAAAGTTTAAAAAATAAGCTGTAGTCTGAAAAAAAAACAAAATGTCTTTAATAAATTACAGAGAAAAACAGAGAAAAAATTATGTTTGTTCAGTTTTGTAAAGAATTTTGTTGAACACCCAAACTGGTTGAAAAGAAAAAAAAAAGTTGCACGCTGAACTCGGAAAACGTAAGAAATATCTAATTAATTTTATTTTAATTTTTTCAATGTGGAATGCTGGTCAGATAAAATATTGTCGTGTTCATGGTTCCCCTACATCGAAATATTCGAACCAAAGGTTCACATGGAAATAATACTGTAAGTTAATTCCTACTGAAGGTTCTTATCAGAAATTTTTAAAGCAGGTGCTAATGATAAAAAGAAGAAAACTAAAAAAATGTCCACATACAGTCAACTCGATTAAAAGATTCGATTAATTGAGTTCTTACTGTAATTTCAATGAAAAAATTTCTATTTTTGGGAGTTTTCCTATATCTTAGTCATAATCTTTTTCGATAATGATCAGTTTAAAGTGAGTAATTAAATTTCCTTGATAAAATTTCACATAATATGTAAAAAAATACTTAAAAAAATGCTCATTGAATTCAGTAAAGTACAATTGACAAAGAAAATTAAAAATGAAGATTTCAAGCTTTCATGGCCTTAGAATTAAATAAATTCAAACTTACATTAATTTATGTCGACAGAATTTGGTTTAACTTGACTATTTTATGGATAAAATGCTGTTATTTAAGATAAATATAATATTTTAATCTTTTACGAATGAATGGTTTTCGATCTTTTCACGGACTTTGATACCCCGTCATAAATATACTTGCATGCCCTTTCAAAATAGTAAACTGGCCCCCAATTATCTTAATCAAGTTTCGGACGGACAAATTTTTTCGGACGGATTATTTTTTTGTTACCCACGGAATATCGGCGCAATTGAAAATTGAATGTCGGTTAAAAATTACATCCCATCATTTGCATGAAAACTGCACTCGTTTATTAGAAGGCAACTAAATATCCAATTGCTGTATTCTGTTGCTATTTCTGCATTGTTGAGCATACTTTAATATATTCGAGATTATTGTTGAATCTTATTACAAGCTTGACTGTCAAGATATTAAATACCTAACGATTCTTTCAAAATCTCCACGGTCCTTAAGGACATCACTAACATCTGCCCCCTTAGTTGATTTTCCTAAACACGAGGTGAATAAGAGAAGCCAAGATTTGAGTCAGAAATAAAGTAATTACAAGCAGTGTTTTGCAGTTATTTATATTTCATGAGGTAGTTTGGCATAGCAAGTATCTAATTTTCATAAAGCACAAGAATTTAAACCCGTTAAACACATTCATCGGGAATAAAAAAATTTGCGGAGTTCAAAAGGATAAAAAGGGATATTGATTTTTTTCTTATCAAAAGCTCTATACAGAGAAAAATTATTCTAATCATCAAACAAGGTAAAACATGTCTCATAAAATTGACAACTTCTCTTTTTCTTGCTATTAACAGACCGCTGGTCTTCTTTACAATCCGAAACTTTTGTTCGTAAAAAACAAGATTTATTTTTCTTAGAAAATGCAATTATAATTTCCTTATCTTTGGTTATTTATGGACTTTTTTTTTATTATTCTCTACTTTGATGTATAAAAATGCAGGTTTTTAAATGTAGTAGGTAACCAAAATATTTTTAATTTAGAGTTGGTTTAAAATTTAATGTCTAACAGGTGCTAACTTTAAATGCTTAATTGAAAATGAATGATTGCATGCTACTGGCTTTATTGTGAATCTTTAATTCATATTGATTTATTTAATGTTTTATTTAATATAAATGGCAGTAACAAACATTTGTGTTGTGCAGGTTACTCAAATTTATCTCAAGATGTTTGGTCTGTGGTACTTCTCATTAGCTCTTAAAGAATATTGGTGAGTCTTCTTTTCCTTATCCATTTCTCCTAAATTATAATAAATTTCTATATGAACGCATACATGTTCGAGAACAATCGCTTTCTAAACGAAATCAAAAGTTATAACTATAAAGAGCGTCACACAAAGCATCAGCATCCGTATTATGTGTGTTTAAACTTTGTTTATTTTTAACATGGAAAACAAGCGAGAAAAATGAAAATTTTCCGTGGTAGGAAGAAAACTTTCTTACTGAGTGTGTGAATGAAAGAAGAAAAAAAATTGAAAATTGACTTTGGTTGACTTGTCACTCATCAATTGTTTCGTCAATTGATTTAATAGCTTATTCCGTTTCCTGTTATGTCAAAGTTATGCAATTTTTAAATTCTATTTATCCACCATAATCCTTATCACATTTGGAAAATTGTAGCCTTAAATACACCAATCACCACAAAATCCTCCGTTATAGCGAGACTCTGCCGTTCGTATTATTTTCATTCTCAGCTACAACACTGACACATGTAGAAGCTACAGAAAAAAGTTTTTGAATTTCTCATATAAAAGGCTGTGTTCTCTTGCGATTCTGACTCAAAAACAGTTTGTGAAAAGTCACTTACGGTTGCTATTATTCGTCTTTCCGGTGCAAATTTACTGAGGTGAGAACTTTGTGAAATTCTTTAACATCCAACACTCAAAGTGTAAATGAATTTAAGAATAATTTTTAACAAATAAAAAAAATATCGACCGGCAAATATTTAATCGAAAAAGTTTTGATGGAAAATAATTTTTTATGTTCACTTTCATTGAACTTTGTTACGTAAGTGGTGAAAGTTAAGTCAATTGGAAATGTCTGAGGTGAATACTAAGAACTTGTATGCATTAGCAATGATAGCATTAATTGCCATAAAGTAAATCATCAGAATATTTGAGGTTCATAGTTGGTTTTAGTTTAAAAAAATATTTTCATGATATAAAAACGAATCTTTCTATTGATTTTCTCTATTTTCTTTAGTTCGTGGTTGAAGTAAATCATTTTCTTCAGAGAATAGAAGAATAAAAGAAAATGTGCGATAGGAAACAGTTTGTTAAAGTTTCATAACGCAAAATTTTCAATTGATTGTTGGCAAAGTTGAAGAAACTTGTGTAATAATTCTATCGTGAGTCATACAATGTAGGATGGAAGAATACAAAAGAATGAAAATAATTTCAGTTAGAGTCTCGAAGAATAAAAAAATGGAAAATATTTATTTAAATTATTTTTCGTGCATTGGACATTTCGGGGATTTGTCAATAATAATCAATACGATATGAAAATTTCCCAAACCTTGAAGGTCTTAAATAAATTGTTTACAATAATTTTTCGTTGTTTTGTCAAATTTAACAATTTTGTAACTTGATTCCTGAAGGTCAATTCAATCAAGCTTGAGATTCAAATAATATTCGATATTACGTACAGTTCAAAGTTTTCCACTTATTTTTTACTAGAATGCATTCAAAATATTGCATAACAAAGTATGAACTTGATCACGTGAGAAAAAGAAAAGCCTTCATGAAGTTCGTGGGAATTTTCTGTGAAAATGTTAAGGATTTTGAAAAGATTTAAATAAAAACGCATGAATGTGTCGAGGCAATTGAGTTATTTTCTCGCCAAATTGACAACTTCCGTTGAAATCTTTAGTTTCAAAATGCACATAAAAATTAGATTTAAAAGTGTTTTGTGTAAAATGAATGTAGAGGCTGGACACAGCATTTATGACGTTGATTAAGCTCATTCGTCGCTTCGTTCAATAACTGGACGAATTTCTATGTATTTGTTTCATTGAATAAAATCTAAAAAAAGTTCTCGAGAAGAAACACAATTAAAGCCTCACAATCATAGAAATTGAAATTTATTGTCGAATGCACACGTACATGAGTTATCGTCAAGTGTTCTCGTTGTTTGCGAATTCATATTACATAATTTCAATTGTCAGTATTATGACGGTTACATTCCTTATGCATAAGTGTCAAATGTTATTATTCATTCTACTCTAATTTCATTTTCCGTCTGCATTAATTTAAGGCAATCCAGACAGTTTTAAGATCTATTATAAGTATTTGCATGTGATGGCATACGTCAGATTTATTGCACTTCATATTTAAAGCTCTCGTTTATTGTAATTTTTTTTTCTTATGTTCAAAGAGCTGAACATTTAAAAGAAGAAAAAAGGAGGAGAGTTATGATCATAAAAATTGATGTTCACTAGCAGGGCGTCTATTTATTTAAATCTTTTTTGCTGAAAGAATTTATCAAAGTCAAGCTTAATGAATTGAAAATAAAACGTTTGGGTTAATAACGGCGATCCACAGTTGTTGACTTCCCAAACAATTTAATCGATAGACATAATGCAGTTCATTCATTTGGAAAAACAGAAACGCTTTAATATTAAAATTGCATAACTTTGAGAATAAAGGCATAACAAGCTCGAGAGCTGCTGACATTCGTCATAAAGAAATCGATGTTCGTCATGCGCTTCTGGGAAATCTTTAGAATTACATAATAGAAACATTTGATAAGAAAAAGTCAATAATAATCAATGCACATGTAAGTTACAAGAAATTATTTTGATAATAACGTAAAAGTTTAATTTTCAAGACCTCTTAAGATGACATTTTACCCTTGAGATCAAATTCGAGAATGAATAACCCTCAGGAAAAAGAGGAAAAGTTTGCCGGCCGGTTTTGTCTTATTTTTAGCACTTTCTATGTTGTGTTTATTCTATAACTAAATCTTTGCGATGTCTCTGGTAGCTGCGACTTTTGCAAATTAAGTAATCTTCAATTAAACTTAAGAGTGAAGTCAAGTTCTTAATTACTTTTGTTGACGGATTTAGTCAAGAATAACAGATAAACAGCGTGACGTTTTCATTTGAACTCGACTCATTGTAGAGGACAAAATTTTCACTTCCTTTGTTAGATAATATTTTAAAACGTAAGATCAACCAGAAAATGTTTTTCGGGAATGAAAATGTTGTTCGTGTTTTTATTTTTATCTCACACACGTCTCTAACTGGGACCCGGGTAAAAATATCATAAAGCAGCTACCAGAAAGAAAAAAGAGGGAAAAATATTTTACACTCGTGATTATACTACTTGAAACTTAATAAAAGCTAAAGAAAATTTCGTTGTCTTGCATTAGTTTCTGTTATTTTTGATCGTCTCATCTTACACTAGATATCTATCGTGTCTTGACAACAACATTATGAAACTTAACTCAACGGAATGCTCAACTATAAACATTCTATATTTACATTCAAAATAAATTTTCTCTTTAATAAAAAAATGTTCAAACTGCAAGAAAATTTTATTAATGATTTAATGATCAGTTGAAGTCATTCTTTATAGTTTAAATTATTTTATTTGCTTATTTTAATCACGTAATTTAATTTAACATTTGCTCAATGATAATTCAATAATCTTTATTGGGTCTCGATTATTTGATAAAGTCTTTCTCTGTACACATTAAGCAAGGAGAAATATTTCGCTTGAACTTGAAAACTTTTTCTACAAGGTCTGACGTTTAAGGACGTAAGAAAAGAAAAACAATTTCTGGCAAAAACAGATGGGTTGTCTAATGAAGAAAAAAATATTGTGTAATTTCTATTTTGTAAACATTTCAAGATTTTCGAAATCATTAAATCTACGAAATCTTTTGTCATAAATTTTCCGTCAAGTAATTTTCTTCTAACTGGCAGTTCACCTGTCATTAAAACTTGAGATGATCTAATTTTGGCATTCAACGTTGCTACAGTGTCAATGCACTCTTACCGGCATATTCCGTTTCTTAAAGTCATTCTCTAGATCGTCGCTGTGCGTCTTATGTCGTGAGTCCATAAATAGACATCTTAAAGAGATAGCTTTACAATGAAGAAGAAAGAAAGGTAAACAATATCCTTTTGTATAAGGATATCATAAATAAATCTCTCTCGCCGACTTTCAAAACATCATCATCAGCTATCATTGAATTGGGAAATGGAAAATCTTTCCAAACCACGCGAAATATTCCAGTAAAAATGTTTCTTTCCCTCTCATTTATTGAATCATTTAATTGCATGACAAATGATGACTATCAATTACATAATAGAAATTATATTATAATTAGATTTTCAAGCCGGTAATTGCCGAACGACACGACACAAATTCATAGTGAATAAAATTGTCTTATAAAGATGCAACAAAAAACTGGAAGTAAGAAAACAAACAACAAAAATTCGCCATGCCATCATTAATTGACGATGTCATGTTGTACGCAGGATCAAAGTACAATAAAAATTTTCTGACTCTTTCACACTCATCCATCCGGTGTCTGTCCTTTGTCCCGATTATGTACGAAATGTTTGGTTTGTGTAAGTTTATTTTGTTGTGTGTTGGAAGTAGAAAGAGCAGTTACCGTTATAGGAAGGGAAGCGAAGTTATGCTTCGTGTTGTTAAGGGTAACAGTTTTTGTTGTATCGTGTCCTTATTCTGTCGATAATTTTACTTCACTCCATGATTGTGTTGGTAGATCTCCGGATTTCTTTCTCCATATTCTCATTTACAACGCTTGGCGTGAAAAATTATTTTTCGGATTTCCATTTTTCGTGTCAGTTTGTCGCTTTGATTCGAAAATTTAAGACTCACAATTGAGTCTTTAACGTGAATAAATAATAAATAAATAAAAATCATTTCCAAACCGCCAAAGATCATTTCACTTTGGATGAAAGTAGAGTAGGAAAAGATTTATACGAGAAAAAGAAACATTCAGGAATTTTGACGCGTTTTAAAATTGATAAAGTTTCAGTGCAAAAATAGTTTAAATTTGTCATTTCATTGAATCGAAAAAAAGTTCGCCATTAAAGGAAACCGGTCCAAAAGAGATTTTTTAAAGTAAAAGTCTATTTTTGCAAAATTTCACAAGATTTTCTCGTACGTTTTAAGTGTAAAGTGTTTTTGCATAAGCTTCTTGTGATTAACAAAGTAGCAAAGCCTAAATAGCAAATATTCCTAAGAAATTAGATACATTTAAGCTCAGGACACTTTCTTTCGTCTCTCGCAAGGAAACAAAAAAAGCGCACAAACTAGCTCGAAATAGACTACAAAGTGTTCTAAAGTCAGGATCGACATTTTTACATTGCCATAAAATATTTAATATTAAAATTTTCAACTATTAGAAGTATAAATCGTTGAAAAGTAGCGGAAAAGAGAAAAATGGGTGGATGTACATCAAAAGACAAAACGGTCGCCGAGAATGAAGGGTGTGTAATATTTTTTTTTATTCCATTTTCTCTCGTCTCGATGATAGTTAAGCACACAAATTTTCGGGTTGTTTTTACTCTCATGACTTACAATGATGAAAAGTGTAAGTGTAAAAGAGAAAGAAAATGGAATTTCTGCTTCTGTGCTGAAGAGATTTTCTCATGTCTCATGTTGGTATATGAAAGTGCGAATGTCAATGATGACAAATAAAGTCCCGCAACAAAACAAATGTTAAAGAATCATCATGTGACACATTACTTAATATTTATTATGTTATGCACTTAAACAACTGATTGCTTATCATCCAATGTATCGTAATATGACGGTTTAATCAGAAACTTATTCAAATGTTTATATTCATGAAATCTTCAACAATATCTGCAGCCAAACTTCACACATTCATTCAAACATTGTAAATATTGACACAATTGCACACGTTAATTTTCTACACTCTTTTATGATAACACATTCGTTGAAAACTTGTTTCATTGTCACGAACACTAGATAAAAATATGTTCGAAAGCAAGTGGCAATACGATAGCAACAATATCAGTGAAAATTTTCGTTCCTTTATTTTATTTGACGGTCGAGGTTAGATTGGCATTGAAAGTTTTTAATTTTGTGTTTTGGTTTGCTGGCATTAATCCATTATGCGAAGGTGGAGATGGAAGTGGTCGATACCCAGATCATCTACTGTTTTTCGCATTCTTCTAATGTGTTCTATTTTCGTATATTTTTTCATTTACATTACGCCAAATATTTTTTTTCTTAGGTTCGTTAAACATCATCGCATGTGATAAGCCGGTTAACTTTCTTTTTTGTTTGTTTGTTTGCTTGTTACTTAATAGGTTATTTTACCTATCAACTCATGTGAATCATCACATTTAAAGTCATGAGATTTTCACATATACGTCCAATGGTGATGACGATTTTTTGTCGTTACACCAGGTTGGTTGAAAATTACTTCACACTTATGTAAATGAATTTATTCACTTTAGGGATTTAGCTAAAAACAAACAAATTCGTCATTTTTAATATGAGAAAGTATTCTTAATTAACAAGTCTTGTCTTTGCTTTCATCTTTTAGGAACAAATCCGAAATGGTTGACGCTGCAGTTCTCGAAAAATTGGAAGCTGGCTTTGCCAAGCTCTCTTCATCCAACTCCAAGTCATTGTTGAAGAAGTACTTGACCAAGGAAGTGTTCGATGCTCTTAAGAACAAGAAAACACCAACCTTCGGATCAAGTCTTTTGGATGTTGTTCAATCTGGTTTCGAGAATCACGATTCAGGTGTCGGTATTTATGCTCCTGATGCTGAATCTTACACCACTTTCGCCGACTTGTTCGATCCAATCATTGAAGATTACCATGGTGGATTCAAGAAGACAGATAAGCATCCAGCAAAGAACTTCGGTGATAACAACGCCTTCGGTGACTTGGATCCAACTGGTGAATTTGTTGTTTCAACACGCGTTCGTTGCGGTCGCTCCATGGAAGGTTATCCATTCAACCCATGCTTAACTGAAGCTCAATACAAGGAAATGGAATCAAAAGTTTCCACAACCTTGTCGGGATTGGAAGGTGAACTTAAAGGAAAATTCTATCCATTGACTGGCATGGACAAGGCCACCCAACAACAACTCATCGATGATCATTTCTTGTTCAAGGAAGGTTCGTAACAATGACACGTCATTCTTAAATGAATTACTAATTTATAAACGCTTTTAAAGGTGATCGTTTCTTGCAAGCTGCTAACGCATGCCGTTATTGGCCATCAGGACGTGGTATCTACCACAATGATGCTAAGACCTTCTTGGTCTGGTGCAATGAAGAAGATCATCTTCGCATCATTTCCATGCAAATGGGAGGTAACTTGGGAGAAGTTTTCCGTCGCTTGACAACAGCTGTCAATGATATTGAGAAGCGTGTTCCTTTCAGCCACAACGATCGTCTCGGATTCGTGAGTTTTCTTTTCTGTTCTTCTTTCAGAATTTTATTTTAAATTCTCTCGTCTTAATTTAGCTTACATTCTGCCCAACCAACTTGGGAACAACTATCCGCGCTTCAGTGCACATTAAGGTGCCTAAATTGGCTGCCAACTATGCACGTCTTGAAGAAGTTGCCGGCAAATACAATTTGCAAGTCCGTGGTACACGCGGTGAACACACCGAAGCTGAAGGTGGCATTTATGATATCTCCAACAAGCGTCGTATGGGCTTGACTGAATTCCAAGCTGTCAAGGAGATGTATGATGGAATCCAAGAGATCATCAAGATTGAAAAGTCATTGTAAATGAAATAATTAAAGCAAGCGGACAACATCATCCACTTTTTGTCTGATGTCTGATGCAACCAGTGATCTTTTACTTTCACGTTTTTCTCCTGTTTTTTCATTTTCATTTCAATGAATAAAAAGATTAATTTAAATATAAATTATTCTCCTCCTATTCATCATCTTCTGTTGCATCAAAAGATGTCATCATCGTCAACTGATGATTGGAATTTAATAAGGAGTTTTAGAAAAAATAAAAATAAAAGCAAATAAAATGTGAAAATATAACATCGTCAAGCACATAAGAACACAATACGCAACACTCTCATTAACACAAAAAAAGAAAGTTAATTGAATAAAAAACATAAATTTTAAGTTTACATCGAGTGGTTTTATTAATTTTTTTATTATCTAAGATTTTTAACATTTTTTCAGGTAGCAACACTTAAAAAAATTCTCAATTGGAATCATGTGACATTTTACATTTATCTGCATCGTCTGATCTTTAAAAATCAACAAACGAACTTAAACAAATTGAAATTTTATTTAATTTTCAGAGTTTTGAATGAGAAAGACGGGAAAACTTGAAAATTCGAAGATAAAAGTAATCAAAAAAATTTTTATTTTGCTTTTAATATGAAAATTTTGTCTCTTTATTGAATCATGTTCTAGAAAGGAAAAGAAAACTAAGAGGAAAAGAAGACATAACTAAATTACAAAGTACTTAGATAATTCATGAGATATTTTTCATGGTCTAGAAAACGGTGAAATTTGTTCATTCATCTCGTAAAGAACCTGTGCGATGACTCGATTTGACTCATTGTTACTTAAAGCAATCTGCGATAAATGATACTCGTGGTAGCGAAGTGCTCTGAAATTGAATAAGAATTATTGATAATAATTTGCGAATGATTGTGGAATAATGGATTAGATATTTAAGTCATATCTACACCATAAATTATTATACAGTGAACTCTCGTTATAACAGAATCTAAAGGGACCGAATAAAGATGTTATTACGAGAGTTCATTGTATGTGTAAACTTTCCAATATTTATGCAATGTTTCTGCATTTTCCAATTAATTAATTAATGATCAGAAAATTACCTTTTAGCATGGTTACTGTAAGTTACAAGATTTCTTAAAATCAAAGCAGCAGTTAGTCGAATACTTTTTGTTACTGTTCCTTCTGGCTCTTCCTGCAATAAATAACAATTTAGAATGAAAAATAATCTCAAATCTCATGACTTTTACCATCATTTCTTTCGCAATATTAAATTCTATTGAATGACGTTTGATTGCTTGCATTGCAGCAGCGCCCGCATTTTGAATATTTGTCGGTCCATTTAATAAGTTTTGATTTTCATTTTGTGCGGGTGTTAATGATTGTGGATTGTTTGGTTGACGTACAAGTGTGACTGGATATGGTTGCTTCGATCCATTAGTCGTCACACCATTCTCAACGGCTGTTATTCGTTTCTGAACTGCCATTTTAAAAGCTTCAGCTGTACAATGACGATCAAAGATGTGAGTCATAAGCGAGAAACGTTTACGTGGAAGATTATCGCATAAACTATTTCCACCGCCCCATTGACAGAACAAATCTGGTGTACCGTCAAGCGATGGACAATGAACAGCACAAGCATGCAAATAAACTTCATTTGCTGACGAAAATTTCTTCTTCGGACATCCACGCCAATCACACACAAAAGGCCAACTAATTTCCACATCTTCGTCTTTAACTTTTGTTGGATCCATTGATGGAATGATTTTAATCGAGTATTGTTGAGCATTTGGCCCAACAACTTGAGATTGTGGTACGGGAATTTGTATTGAGACTTGCTGCTTCTGTTGTTGTGGAGCTGGCGATGATGATCCTGAGTTATTTGCTGATGAAGACGCTGTCGTCGTTGTCGTCATCGATGTTGTAATTGTTGATGTCGTTTCATTCATCAATAATTCATCGTCATTTGATTTATTTTCAGATTGCGTTGTTATGATGGATGATGGTGATGGTGACTTTGAATCTGAATTTCTTATAAGAATATCTTTGGGTGAATCAACTTTATAAGTGACAGCTTTTTGAACGATTTGAATTTGTTGTTGCTGCTGCTGTTGCTGTGGTTGTTGTTGCTGGATAACTTGTGAAATTTGTGTGTTTCCAATTTGGAACTTCTGTCCCTTCTGCACAATAATATTCTGTCCCTGAGTTATTGTTTGTAATGAATGTTGCTGTTGTTGTGTATTTGTTGTTTGGATAATCTTTGCACCACCTGCTGTTGCTGTTACATTCTCACCAGCACCACTAGCACCTCCACCAGTAGCAGCAACTGCAGCTGCATTATTTGTGAATACAATTTTACGATTTGTCAATGATTGAGTTGTGCCACTTGGCATCATTGTCGTATGAATGACACCGCCGACATTTTGCTGATAATTTTGAATAACTTGTGGTTGTTGCTGCTGCTGCTGCTGTTGACCAAATTGTCGTTGAGTTGAATAAATGACTTGCTGACCACTAGGGGTCATGATAATTTTCTGTTGTTGTCCTTGCTGCTGTGTCATTTGAATTTGTTGAATGCCACTTGATTGATTTTGTTGTCCTTGATTCTGTTGAAGAATGATGATTGTCTTTGTTTGTGTTCCTTGTTGATTCGGTGTTTGAGCGAGCAGAACTGTTTGAGGCATTTGTGGTTGGGAAATTGGTTGTTGTGCCACAACATAAGTTTGTCCTTGTTGATTTGTCGCCAAAATATATTGCGTTGGCGGTGCTTGATTTAGAATCGTTTGACCAGGCAAACCTTGAATGGAATTATTCTGCAAGATTATTGGAACAGTTTGGATTCCCGAATCAGTTTTAATTGTTGCTGTCGTTTGATGATGATGATGATGATGTGAAGCGCCTGGCGGTGACAGAATTACTTGATTGTTCGGTCCCATAATGATTTGACGTTGAACTGGCGCTGAACTTATTATCTGTTGTTGCTGACTGCCACTTCCTGCCTTCACTTCAATCACTTTCTTCTCAATGATCTTCGTCGGAATTGACTTTTCGATTTCATCTTCCATTTCTTCATCTTCCAAAATGGAACCGGCTAATTTTGCATACAGATCAGCTGCTTTCGGCGACGGCGTAACTGGCGCATCAACTGATTCCAAGTCAACTTTTTTTGCTGGGACTTCAGTGTCCATATCGATCTTTCTCTTGATTGTTGTCGCTCCAAAAACTGGCGGCTCAGGAGCTTTTTTATCTAACAAATCAACGAGCATCTTATTCGCTGTAATCTTTTGAGATGGTGATACCAACATTTTAGCAGCGTCAACGTTATTTGTTATCGTAATTGAAGACTTCAATTTATTGCTTTGAACACTCAAAGGTGCTAATGGTGGTGGATCGTTTGTTGTCACAACAGCCGACTTTGTTACTTCAACAGTTGCTGGCTTAATTGATATAGTTGAACTCCCAATCTTCAAACTTCCAACACCACCAGGTGACCCTGCAACAACTAACTTTGTTGTTGACGGTAGAATTGTGGATGGCGATTGTCCACCGACGCTTAATTGCTCTGAAAGTTGCTTTTGCTTTTGTGTAAATTGTCGTTGTGCAACCTAAAACAAAAAGTATTAAAAAAATTCTTCATCTTTTCATTCGTTCACTCATTCAAACAGAATCAAAAAGAAAAACAGAAGCAAATTCAATTAATTATTTAGAATGTTAACTAAAACAACAAAAGAGTTAATTTTGGTTTTTTGCTTTCTTCTAGGATGCGCTAATTAATCAAAATATTTTTTTAGTTTTTACTACATCAAAGACACTTGCAAAACTTAATTAAAACTTCACTCACATCATTGCTGTTGTTTTTTAACTTATATCACAAAATAATTTAAAATAAACAAAATAAAAACTTTTGAGGCGAAGGAAATTAGTCTTGGATTAGTATTTTTTGTATGTGTTACCTGATGCAAACTATTGACATTTGTTGTGACCACACATGATGAAGTCATGCTCACAGTGGCTGTGGGCATGTTATTAGTGTCTGAACTAGCAGTCGTTACCTTATTTGCCAACAAACTCTTAATCAATGATGATGTAGTTGTTGGTGTCGTTACAATCGCATTCGAAACAGATGCTGACGATTGTGTTGACGTCAAATGTTGTTGATTCGTTGACAATACTTGCTGTAGTAATGATGGAGTCTTCTTAAAACAATTATTCATTGATGATATAAAAGATTTTTTAATTTCTTGTTAAAATACTAACCGATGCTGCTGCTGTTGATGATGTTGGCGTTGGCTTTCCACTTAACTGTGCAATTAACGCAGATTCTTCGTTCTTAAACGTTTGTGATGCTGGTGATGATGATTTAGGTGGATGAATGACGATCATTTCACTCTTTGTGGCTGATTGCTGCTCTTGATGAATCGTCGTTGCTCTTGGTTTTATACCGCAATAGTACATTAAGGGTTTCTCATTGCCACTTCCACCAGTGTCAGAATTTCCAGGATTTGGACCGACACTTCCACCAAAAACTGATCGCACGCAACGTGGAAAATGGATTTGAGTCAAAGCACCTTTCCTTCCAACTTTTGTACATGCATTAACATACATTCGATACATATCTTGTTCTTCAATCTTCACCATCAATCGTGATGACAGTTCAAAGTTATTCCGAATCCATGCAAGTGCAAATTGTTCATTCTCCTGAACTAATTGTTGTTGATTTTGCTTTAAAAGTTGATCAGCACGTGAAGGACTTTCCATCGATGGTTGCACGAATTTTGAAGGTGACTGATAAGTTGTTGGCGTCCTTGTTGCTGTCTGATGATCACTGCGAATAATATTATGTGGTAATGTTCGTTGAGATTGATTATTAAGCATTCGAGTTGGAACTGTTTCGACGACTTTCATTTGAATGCAGGAATCTGGGCCTAAACTTTGTGCTTCGATTGTAATCATCGACACTAAAGTGTCCATAACGCCATGAATGTCAACGATACTATTGCAAGCCTTTTCACCCAACGATGTCAATGAGTAAACGCATTCGAGTGTATAAATTAGCAACATCATATCCTGCACCAACAAATATATGCAAACTTGCTCGTAATTTTTCTTATTCAAATGTTTCAAAAGAAAATCTTCATTCGCTTCATTCTGACAGAGTTTGCTGAGAATCTCTAAACAACTGATGATCACAGCACGATCATTGCCTTCAAGTCCATCACAAATCGTTCCAAACAAATGACGTGATGAAATATCAGCGAAAGGATCTTTCAACTCGATTTCTGATCCGATATTTCCAAGAACATCAAGTGCGCTCATGTGAAGATTATTCCAACGAATATTCGCTGTTAAAATTAGAAAACGAATAAGAGTTCGATTACGAGCTAATATCGACAAGTTCTCGTCAAAGAAACTCAAATTTCTTATGATTGATGTGACTTGATGCACTCTTTGTCCAATGTAGTCTTGCGTTCCCATTCCACGTCTCAATCCTAGAAACGATAACTCTTTAAGTTCCTCCTTTGTCAATTTATCCTTCTCTCCATAAAGATCTTTCATCTTCTCATCGTTAAGAAACACTTCTTCATTCGTTAGACCATCTTCGTAGAGAAGATCAGTGAGATCAGGTTTGTCAATCAACAAATCACTCCAAAATTGATCTTGTGAATGTCCTCGAACATTGATGTAAAATTCACAAAACATTTCACGTAGGTTAAAGTGTTCGAAGATGCCGGCATGAGCGAGAAGAATGCTGATTAGACGAGGACACTTTCCGAGTCTCAGAGTCTGCTTACATTCATTACTCATCAGTGTGAGAACGTTGATAGAGAAATCTTGTTCATTAGGCAATGGTGAAAGCAATGAGAGCGTTAATTTATCATATTCACTTGACTGATATAAATCATTGGAAAGTTTGCTGTTAGCTCGAACAGAATCCGAAATGTTGTGATGGCTGTGATTGTATGAATGAGGAATTGAATGAAGTGCTCTTGCTGACCAACGTTTATGACGGTTTTCTTCTTCATCTTCATCGATTCTCTCTTTTTCTTCGCCGAGAAAATTGAAACGCTCATATTTGTCAAAGAACCGGATGTAGATATGTTTGAGGGCTAATTCGGAGTTGACACATTTCTCTGGAAATCCAATTTCCTTCTCAATCTCACTCCACTCGTTCTTTGAATTCACTTTCATCCATCCACCTTTCCCAGTAACAATCTCATAGAGCTTGTAAAGATCTACATCGGATAGCTTTCCATTGCCAGCTATTTTTGGAAATTTTATTATAGGCGTCCTAGAAGAAAAAGGTTAGATTATTTACTGTCTCAACTATCCGTTTCTCTCCGCTTTTGCTTCACTATTTTGACTGAAAACATACCCGCGGGACTCGTGAAACTTTATTAAGTCATTGAAAAAAGTATTTCTGTCGACCATCAAAACATTTTTATTCTTACGCGACGTTCTGATTTTTGTGTCTTCATCTTTTGCATTTATAGCGAATTCAGAAGTCATTATTTCACGCAATTTACACTGTCCGGCATACAATGCTTGTATTAGAAATAATTTGAAAACCTTATTTGAGGCAGAAACTTTTTTAATAAATAATTAACTTTTTGTTTACAGTCTGGGTTAGAATTTAATTTTGCAAGAGTAAGGGGTGTGCACAACATGGGTGTGAGAATATCTTAGCACCCCTTAAATGTTATACACGCAATTTAAATTTTTAAAAACTGTTAAACTTTCGTTGTTCCTAATTTCATGTAACATTCAGAATGGTAATTGTTATTAATGTATCATCTATGATGACCTATATGGAATTGATAAAAGATAAGATAAAAAGATAAGATGAAGCTTTAAAATTTATAATACGTTACTACTAAAAAGATTACGGGTCAATACTAAATTTATGGTTCAGGTATTTTCTGATAAGAAATAGAAAATACAAAGACGAATATCAAATTTTTGCTTTCTAGCGTATAATTTACTTTGGATCATCTCTTTAATGTATGAATTATAATATTAATAAAATGACTCGACAATTCAGTAGCCTCTGACTTATAACAAACTTCAGACGTTTCTTTATTAAGGTTGTATCAAGCAAATATTTACAGTAGAGTGAGTAGAGTTCTTTCATCTTGCTTACATTTTATTAATAATGGAAATGCAAGTAACTATTATTTTCATTTTAATATATTTCTCGCACTTGAGAAGATGTCGTTACGAGTAAAGAATGATGGTAAGAGTTAAAATCGTCGCTTGGATAATAGAAGTTCTATCATCTGTTTCTCTGGTTGGTCTTTAGGTGAAGTGAAGCTTAAGCAACGATCGATTCTTTGGTATCTTGTATTCGTAGGTTTCAGTGTGAACTACATGATACGAATAAATGTGAATATTTCAATTGTCGATATGATTAGCGAGAGTTTCCGCAAAGCCTCAAATGGGAGTTTTATCGAATCAGAATGCATAGACAAAAATAACGAAAATTTCACATCACACGCGAATGGAGAATTTTATCGGACTGAATTAAATTTTACAAATTTTTCTAAGAAAAGATTTCCATCAATTGAAAGAAAAATTTTAGATGCAATGAAAGTAAATATTTTATTTTTAAATTTTATAAACTTTTGTTCTCATGCTTACGCATTTTCGTCTTATCTTTTGTTTTTATTTGTATGCCACATTTAATTTGTCACATTAACATGATCATTAAATTTTAATTATCAATCGTGTTATTTTAAGAACTAATTAATTTAAAGATTAATTACAAATAGATTGACTATGAACGAGACGGATTCAAATGGAATGAACATCAACAAGGAATGGTTCTTGGTGCTTTCTTTTGGCTTCATTTTGTATTGCAACTACCTGGAGGTATTCTTGCTGCAAAGTATGGTACGAAGCGAATTTTTGGATACTCAAACTTAATTGGTTGTCTTCTCGGATGTTTGATTCCAATGACATCATACATTGATTATCATTTAATGATCTGCCTGAGGATTCTCCAAGGAATTATTTGTTCAGCTGCATGGCCCAGCATGCATCACATGACAGGTCAATGGATTCCCCCTGAAGAACGATCAAGTTTCGTTTCATCATATCTTGGATCATCAATGGGAGTTGCAATTTATTACCCAATCTTTGGATGGATTATGAGAACTTACAGTTGGGAATATGTTTTCCATTTCTCTGGTATTGTGGGAGTCGTTTGGTTTCTTTGTTGGAATTATTTCGTATATGACACTCCTGGTGATCATCCACGAATAAATCCCATTGAACGCAATTACATTCATGAGAAACTTGGATCTTCGTTGCATTTACAAAATGATGAAGTCAAACGAAAAATTCCATGGAGACACATTTTGACATCAAAACCTTTGTGGATCAATACAATTGCACAATTTGGAGGAATTTGGGGTTTATTCACTATTTTGACACAAGGGCCTTCATACTTTCGATTTGTTCACGGTTGGAATTCGACTAAGGTGGGAATATTTTCAGGCCTTCCCCATTTACTGCGAACAACGATGGCACTTGTTGTGTCACAAATTGCTGATTATTTATTACGAAATGATAAAATGTCAAGGAATAATGTGAGAAAAGTCGCCACTTCAATCTGTTGCATTCTTAATGGAATCTTCATCATATGCTTAGCTTACTCTGGATGTAATGATGTCCTTGCTTGTGTCTTTATGATTCTTGCAACAGGTTGTCACGGTGCAGTCTCATCTGGTCCACTTGCAAGTGTCATTGACATATCACCAAATTATGCAGGAGTTTTATTAGGGATAGTCAACATGTTTTGTGTCATTCCCGGATTCCTTTCTCCTGTCATTGTCAGCTATTTGACATTTGAGAATCAAACTATAGAAAGTTGGCGAATGGTGTTTCTTATCTCCGCTTTTATGCTCATAGTTAGTGGACTTATTTATGATCTCTTTGGAGATTCATCGCGACAAGAATGGAACAAAATTGTGCCAAAGAAAAATGAAAATATTTGTGATGATAATGAAATGTTAAAATGCCATGAAATCTTACAAATTAGGTGAATAAATTTATTATCTCAATATCTAGTAAGTTAAACAAATTTACAAAACATCTGGAATTTTATCACCAAGCAATTTCTTATCTTTCATTATGTCACGAACTTTTTTCCATATCGGGGAAGCATTCGCCAGACATTTCATATTAGCGATGATATAAAATCCAAATTTAGCGCGTGATAAAAGCACTGCGATGCGATTTTCTGATGCAAGGAAACCAATATCGCCTTTTTCGTTACTTCTTACGAGAGAAAGAAGAATAATTTCAGATTCTTCACCTTGATAAGCATCCAGAACTGCTACACGTACATTGATTTCTGATTCCTTCAAAAGTTTTCTTAATCGTTGAGCTTGAGCTGCATAAGCAGTTAAAATTGTAATCTCTTCAATGGGATTACCACAACTAATAAGGTATTTACATAATCTCATAACATAATCTGCTTCGAATAAATTTTCCTTTGAAGTTTCTCCATCGCCAATTGACTCAGGATACGAATGTTCTAAACAGTAGAAATTGTGCTTCAATCCTTTCACTTTTGGATTATCAACGACATTATCTCCATCTGTCAAAGATTTGTAGATTGTTCCACGAACTAAATCACAAATTTCTGGTCTCATGCGCATTTGAACATCTAAAGTTATGAAATCAAAATCATTTCTTATTAAACGTTCGAAAAGCGACACATTGAAGTTGTAAATCCTTGCAAGCTCAAAACTATTTGTTAATGGTCGAAGTTGTTGATGATCGCCAATCATAATTAGTTGTTTAGTTTCACTAGTCAACGATACAAGAACATGACTCTCCAATACCTCAGAAGCTTCTTCAATTATTATTATTCCAGGTTTCAACATTTTATTTATTGCAGTGTTTCTTGCGGCAAATGTCGTTGTCATTCCAATTATTCTCTTCCCGTTTAAACATGAAAACAAATTCATTTGATGAATCTCTTCAATCATTCGCTGATGTCTTGATATAGTTTGATAAATTTCATCTTGATTGTCGTCTAAATTTATAAGTTTCGCAACAATATCACGATTTTGAGCTTGAAGCTTCTTCATGTATCTTTTTGATTCAAGTGATGTTGTGGACTTAGCAACAAAATGTTCAACTTCAGATGCTTTACTTTGACCACCCATTCTAATGATGTCTTGAGAAAACTTTGAAGCTCCGATGAGAAATTTGTCTAATGCATTGTTGGTCTGTGTCAGCACCAGCACAATTTCATTTGTATTTTCAAGAATAATCTTTAAAATCTCTAATCCAATAAAAGTTTTTCCTGTTCCAGGCGGTCCCTGAACGACTGTCAGTTTACTTGTAACAGCTTTTTGAATTGCTTTAAGTTGCATATTCTCGAGGTGTAAGACATCATGCGATGGCCAATCATTGATATTCTCAATATTGAAAGAGAAATTTTTGTACGTAAATTGTTTGGAATGTGGATAACTAGGAAAATCTGAAATCTTCTTTAAATGAATGATTTGATCTTTAAAAGGAAAATTCAGTTCATTATAATTCTTAATCACGTTAAAAACTCGATGATAAGGCTCGAAAAATGATGTTGGTTCCAGCATGATTAAACTTCGGTTGAAAATTTCATCAACGTTTTCTGTTGAAATGATTTCAATGAAAATTTCATTTTGTTGGTGATCGATTAGATCACGATTCAACACTACAGCAACTATCAAGTCATTGAAGTCCTGAGAGGTTGAGAAACAAAGCATTTGTCCATTGAAAAGTCGACGATTCCAATCAATTTTTGAATTTTGTTGTTGATTGAATTCAACTACAATCATCCGACAATTCATGTTCCATAAGAACTTTTTCACAGCTTTGATACAAACGTTTGGATAAATGACAACATTTGATGATTTTATAATTTTGTCAACATTTGTCATTGTTTTTATATTTTGAACGCCATCACGTAATTTATTCATGAAGTCTTCTTTCAGCAATGGAAGTTGAACTTGAAGATAATGGGAAACGTTTTCATATTCACCAATAACAATGTTTTTGTGAAACTTTTGATATATTTTGGTGAGGTCTGAAAGTTGCGGATAAATCTGTGGAGAGAAATAAAGATGATTAAAGTTACGCATAATTTATTGATCAATAATTTTCTCACCTCATAAGTCATAAGTTCGTTTTGATTTCTTTCGTAATCATTTAAGATCTGACTTAATATTGCTGGTTGACTCCATTTATTAGTATTAAATTCATTCATAATTAGAATAATTTCGTCGAAAACTGTTTTTAAATTTTCATTGAAGAGATTATTGAGAAGAAGATTGAATATCAACAAGTCAATGTTTCTGAAGAATTCATTCATATCAACAGCTAGAAGAAACTTCAAATCTTTGTGTTTGAAACGAAAAAAATCTTTGAGAAAGTTGAGAAGTTCTGACCAAAACACTTCGATGTTTGACAATTTGCTCAGAAAAAGTTTATTATGTGAATTAAATGGAATATCTAGAAGAGATACATCAATAATGAGTAGATCCACAATTTTTTCAGGATTTAAATTCATCTCATGTGTAAGGAGAAATTTCTCCCATTCTCCGAAAGTAGAAAGTATTGAGTTATGAACATTTTTATTTCTTATAGCGTCTCGGATCAACATCAAATCCTTTTGAGAATATGGCTGAATGTACGATTCTTGAACTTTCATATGTTCTGATGACTTTTTACTTGTTTTAACTTTTGATTTTGGAGATTCCTTGTTTGGTTTAATCTTTTCAAAATAATTTCCATTATCTTCATCGCCAAATTTGAATTCTTTGGATGTTCCTGGTTCGTTTTTATTCTCTTCATTATCCTTTTGTGACTTAATAAGATTGTCAACCTTTTCATCCCAATCTATGTTATCCCAATCATCCATTGAATGTTTTATAAGTTTTCTGATTCTTTTGCAATATTCTTTTAAATTGATTTGAATATTTTTGTTTTATGTTTTGTTTACAAAAATTGAATTTTTAAAGGAAGTCCGTCAATGATGACACAAAAATTTGCTGATTTGAATTGTTCTGACAAAGTTCGTTAAATCTTTTAAAAATTTTTTAGATTCCCAAAAGAATCTTTTTTAGAAACTTCAATAAATACCTACCTATTCCGCTAAATCAACATTTATTCATCAAAATGATTTCAGAATTCTAAAAATAAATAAAAGTTTTGTTGTGTAAATCTGTATAAATGTTTTTATTTATTTATCACGATACTTCGAGAAATAATAATGGAAAATGCTTAAGCAAAAACAATATGAGCTGATCTGTTTGATCAGAAGTACAATTTTTTTAAAGAAATTTGAAAAATGTTCGTTTCGATAGCTATGCTTTAATTTAGTGTTTCTTTCTTATCTATTTAGTGGCTAAAAATTCATTAACAAAAATTGAATTTCCATTATGACACTCGCAAAAATATCAAAGTATCAGAAATTTCAACAACTTAAAAGACTGGAAGCATGTAGAAGCTTCATGCATAATGATGTTTGACGAAAATGGAAGGATGATAAGAATGAATTAAAAAGAAATGCAAGAAAAAGAAAATGTCTATAGATACGAGCATTAATTTATCGTTTCATGATGCCAGCAGGTCGAGGTAAACCGCTCCTTGCCTGTGGCATTCGAAGGCTTGAAGGTGGTCTTAATCCAGTTGGTTTCGGAATCGTTCCAGTAACAGAAGATTTGGTTGACAATTCTTCACTACTGTTGATCGGTTTTTGATAGTTCTGTTGTTGATATTGATCACCAGACAAATGCACGCTGTTACGTGAACTTGCTGATGACGATGAAAGACTCTGTTAACATTCGAAATGAATAAAAATTATTAATTCATGAACATGATTTACACTTACGCATCCTGATTCATCAGAATCAAACCGTTTCGAGTTAAATGTATTTCCATAATATCCTGAAGATGGTCGCACAATTCCTTTTCGATTTGGTGGTGGTCGCATTTGTGCATTCGAGAATGTGTTTGAAGATGACTGTCAGGAATAATTCTCAAGTCAGTAATTCTTAACAAATTATTTAATAAACTCACCTGAATTCCATTATCAGCCATTTGCCTTACTAGAGAAGAAGCTCTTGGAAATTTAAGATTTGATTGTGATTTTGTCGTAGTCGTAAGTTTCAAGTTGCTATTACTTCCCAAACGCGATCCATTTTGGTTGCTGCCGCCATTGTACATCAGATTATGAATTGATTTCGATTTCACTCCCATCGGTGACTTAAGATTCGGAACTTTATGGTTGTAAACTTTTGGTTGATTATTATCTAAACTATCAGTAGAGCTTGCTTTGAGAGTTAATTGTAGTTCGTTTTGACTTTTATAAGTTGGGCGTGTAAAACCGAATCCAAACTTTGATAATTTTGATGGTGGTGCCGGTTTTTTCAATTCCTTCTTGTCTTGGGTTTGCTGATTCAATTGATTTCTTCGTTCTTTGTTTGAACCAGGACTAGTTGAGTTTTCGACATTAGATTCAATTGGCTGTATCGGTTCTTCTGTATCAACAACAACCATTCCACTTTGTAGTTTCTTGTTCAGTTTGATTGTTTTAAATCTGTCGCGATTATTTGTGTCAACACTTTCGTTTTCTTCAGGCTCAGTTTGTTCTTTCGTAGAAGTTTTGGCACCGTCAGTATCAAAAATCTCTTGTGATTGTTTCTGCAGTTCAACATTGACATCATCGTAAAGACGCGATCTCTGTAAGAGTCTTTGGCTTTTTTGATTCATCGACTCATATTGAATCTTATTGTCATTTTCGCCGTCTCTCTTCTGCTTCTCTTCCCGTTGCTTTTCAAAATTTATTTGTGAGTGACGTTGCTTGATCGACTGAAGAAGTTTTTCACTTTCCATAGATTTCTTCACACTGAAACTTTCAAGCATTCTATCGAAATCTTTTTCATTTGAATCAGCTGATTTCTGAAGTGTCGATTTTAATTCAGAAGATTCCATCGAATCACCATAAACACGAGAACTTAACTTAATTGTCTCTTCATTTAACAGAAATTCACATTGATCTTCTATTGATATGCGATAATCTTCAATTGTTATATCATCGATTAGTTTCCGTGACTTTAATTTTCTCAAAGCCACACTTTCACCATCGTCATTTTTAAAATCATCACGTAAACTGTTGATTGGTGACACTGTCAGTTCAAAATTCTTTTTAAAATGTTCATTTTCATTTTCAATGGGAAGAACTGGTGTTGATTGAATAACAGTTTCATTGAATTGGTCCAATGCTCGTTCGTTGCTATTTTCATGAGCATCAAATGTGAGATTATTTCCAAAGTTTTCTGGTGGACAATAAAAATCACCATTTTCTATGCCAAACTCTTTAATTGGTGTTTCAGTGTCAACTTGTGTAAATGTTGCACCGAGTGGCATCGTTTTATCGACATCGAATGTGAAGTTTATTAAGTTTCTTGTCACATTTGCTGCAGAATCGGGCTTTTCAGCTAAAACAGTTGGATTAGCTTTATACGTTGCGTCATTGTCATCGCTTGTATTCAATAGAAAACTGACATTGCTAAAGTCGCTGCTTGTTATTAGACTATTGAGCATGTTGTCATTATTTTGCATGCTTATAGAAGTAGAAATTGAACTTGGTGGTGACACATCGCTTAACCACGTCCGTTGCACTAGTCTTGGGTTGAATGATGACATTGCACCACCAACTTTTAAATTTATAGATGCAATCTGAAGAACAATTCTTTTAATATTCAAGAAATTATAAAGAAAATTTTTTACTTACGCCAGATTCTATCGAATAATCATCAGTTTCATTACCGTGAGGTATTGATCGCTGTTGTTGATTGAACAGATTTTTTTTAGGACGTGTAAATGTCCTGGAATCGAAGGCATCCTTTCTATTAATGTTTTCAGAATTTTCTTTTTTCGCACTTAAATTCCATTTCTTTATGATTTGTGTAACTTCATCATCCATTGCCTCAGACTTTGTTAGGCTAATTTAAATTAAAAAAAGTGAAATAAGTAAGTTTGTATGATAAAATTAAGATCTTTTTAATTAGAGTATAATAATGAAGTATTTTAATAGCTTAAACATTACGCACATGCCATACTGCATTGGTTTAATTCATGAAAATGTTTAAAACTTACATAAATGAATCATCCATTGCCTTAAGATCCACCAAACTTAAATCCATCTTGTTCTTTGTATTAACTTTGAAAAATGAACAAACTTAAAGGAACCATTCATATAACAAACATCTAAAGGAATTTAAGCTGGAACAATACAAAAGAAAAATTAAAATAAAGTTCTACAACTTAATGGTAGAAAATTAAATTTCGAGCAATTTAAGAGCAATAAAAAAGAAAAAACTTAATAAATAATCTTTCATAACTGAGTAAGTAAGTGGATAAATTGATAAAAAATGACTAAAATTCTTTTCTCTAGAATATTTGCTGACATGTTTCGTCTTTTATCGTAAATACCTTAAAAATTTTAATAATCTTCTAACTTTAAGAACCAATCGAGTTATAATATAATGAATCTCAGAATCTATCTGCAATATAAATTTCATCAATATCTGAGATATATTTCGTTTAAGCAGGAAAATAATGTTTGTCCGGGTTTGCTTAGATATTAAATTTCTTCTTGAAAAACTCCTTTAAAGAATTTAATGAAATTTATTTTACAAGCAGCTCTAAAGATTTTTATTAGAGGGTAATCCTTCTTAAGATCTTTAATCTTGAGTGATATTGATTCTCATATGTTCAATTATAATATTTTTGAAGGCGAAAACAAGCCATTTACTGTTCATTACTCATCCAGTATAAAATCATCGATCGATTACATTTTTTCTCCATACAAGTGAAAGTTGAAAGGAACTAAATTGAAATATGTGGGACGACGAGCCCACACTAATTACCTTCTTATTCTGGTCCTATGCCTTTCTTGATTTTTACCTCGCAATTTAAGACTTTTTAACAACAAAGTTTCTCACCGTGATCGCTTATTTTAATAAATTATTTAAAGTTGAAATTCCGAAGGGATTGGAAAATGTTTTGTCAACAATGTGCTGAATTAACGCACTGACCATCCCCTCGGTGCTGAATTAGAAATTTGTTGATTTTTAAGAAAGAAGAAATTATTGAGAAATATTTTATTCTCCCCATAACTTTATAATTTATTCTATTTAAATAATAAGAAAAGATTATGTCAGGAGCAGACTTGAGTCGAAATGAAATCCTTCAAATGGTTGTCAGAGTGTCACTTGTTTCTCTCGCAACTTATTTCTCAGTTAAATGGTTTGTACATTGATCTATTTAAAAAACTTTCTTTTGATTAATGCTTCCTTTACTTCTAGGATGATTGATAAGATTGACCCAACATGTAAAGCAAAGAAAAAGGCAAAAGAGCGCGCAGAAGGATTGTTAAGAAGGTGAAGCATGATTTGAAAGAAAATCGATAAAAGTTTCATCATTAAAATATTTTTCAGGTTGGGCTTCAAAGAAGGCAAATTATCAAATTTATCGGAATACGAAATGGTGATTGCAGCTCATCTTGTAGTTCCTGATGACATAAATGTGTCATGGAAAGATATTGCTGGGCTTGATGATGTTGTGCAAGAGTTAAAAGAGAGCGTCGTACTACCAGTCAAACATCGAGGAATGTTTCATAATTCTTCCCTTTATCAAGCACCAAAAGGTGTTTTACTTCATGGGCCACCTGGTTGTGGAAAGACACTTATAGCGAAAGCAACAGCAAAAGAAGCTGGAATGAGATTTATCAATCTTGATGTTGCTATGCTTACTGATAAGTAAAAAAGAAAATTCTGTAATATCGTTAAGAGACTAAATTAAATTTTCTTTGTTTTTCAAAGGTGGTATGGTGAATCACAAAAGTTGGCATCTGCTGTATTTAGTCTCGCTTTGAAAATCCAACCATGTATAATTTTCATTGATGAAATTGATTCTTTTCTTCGATCACGAAACACAAACGATCATGAAGCGACAGCAATGATGGTAATTAAATAAATATTTTTACTCACAAATCTTTTTTCTCATATAAATAAATGTATAAAGAAAACACAATTTATGATGCTTTGGGATGGCTTAAGCACTGGAAATGAATCAACTGTACGTTATTAAACATATTTTTTAATTAGATAAATTTTTTGATGATAGAATTCTTGATTATGTGCAGGTGATCGTAATGGGAGCCACCAATCGACCTGGTGATCTTGACAAAGCTATCATAAGAAGGTAATTTAAAATGTTTCAAACAATTATTTACTATTGATGTTGTGTTAATTTTAGAATGCCAGCACAATTTCACGTTGCGTTACCAAATGAAGAACAAAGGCTCAAAATTTTAAAACTGATTCTTGAAAATGAACAAATTTCACCAAATTTAAACTTTGTGCAACTTGCCAAAGTAACAAACACATTTTCAGGTTCAGATCTGCGCGAATTATGCAGAAATGCTTCAGTCTATCGAATCAGAACTTATTTGAGGGAGCATTGTGATGATCTTGATGAAGAAGCGAAAAAAGCTCAAGAAAATCCATTGACAGAAAGTGCAACAAATACGTCATTACCCGAAATCACGATGGAAGATTTAATGACATCATTACAAAAGATGAAACTTTCGAAGATGCATACAGGTCTCATGGGTCTCGAAATGAGATCAGATTTGGATTAATTATATTAAACATTAGACACATAAAAAAGGAGTTATGTATAGATAAAGCTTTTAATAGCAAAAGAATCCTTCGAAAATTTTCTTTTGTTGATGTGCGTTTGCTTTTAAAGATACAAATACAAATTATGTAGTGATATCGTAAGAAATAAAACTGAAATTTAAAAATAAAAGCATTTGTGTTATTTTTGTCATCTTTCATCTCTTTAATAAAAGTTCTCTTTTGTCCATAAATAAATAACAGCACCAACGACAGCTCAAATTTACACCGTGATCAATTCAAAAATAGTTTTACTAATATTTCATCTTCGACTTGTTGCAGTTGTTTTTAATTTACGACTCACTAAGCAATTTGAGACTAAAACAACAAGTGAAAAGCAACGAAGAGGGTAATTTCTGAAATGAGATAATTACATAAGTTAGAATGATAAGAAAAAAGCATTACAACTTACATTCTTTGTTGTGGTGAACTCTCTGACGATGATATGATAAACAATGGGAAAAACATTGAAAATAAGCAGCCATTAATAACGAACGAGTCGCATGCTTGAGTAAGCAGCGCTAAAATGAAACCAAAACCAAGAAAATAAGGCCAATTTGATTCGATCAACAATAATCTTTTATGAAGCTCGTATCCTTGATTAAACCTGGAAAATTTAATTTTGCTTTATTTCGCAAGTTGCTGTAAGAAACTTTTCAGTTCATACCATTTATACTCGAATGAATACAACGAATAAAGTAGACATATATGAAGAAAGCTTAATAATTTTCCCATATAAGGGACAAAGGACATCGACATACTCTAAAATATAAATATAATTAATCTTTTAATCAAGAGATTAGAATAAATTTTAAGTTACTTGAAACAAAAAAAGAGACTGAACTATCAAAGAAAAGACAACGTCAGCTAAAAGTTTACTCAGGGATGGTATAAGTGTTGGCCTTCCTTTTCTAAATTCGTAAGCAGCGTCAGCAATGTCTGTAATATGAAGATAGTTAAACTTAATTAAGTATTTTAATTTGCTAACTCCATGTACCTTGAAACCAAAAAGTGTTGATAATCTTTGATAATACAAAAAGTGGCACAATCCAAATAAATGAGAAAATCCACGACAGTGTCATTTGAATAAAATCCCAAACTTGTGAATGTCCAAGGAAATATGTTATGATAGTTTTAAGAGCAGGAAGAAGCATATAATCGAAGAATAACAATGACAACAAAAAGATTCCACCATTGAGGATACAACATTGAAATACTCTTGTGCTGACATTAGACTTTTTCCTAAAATCAATCATTACATTAAAGAAATGCACTGAGGAACTGTTGATTTTTTTATAATTACTCTTTCTTCTTTTCTTTGTTTGACTTTTTCGACTCTGATGTTGTGAGTTGAGTATTGGTTAATTTTTGTGCTTTGGCATCGAGTTTTTTATTCATTTCTTTGTCCAGATAAAAAATAACAAAAATATTTCTTAGAGAGTCGTACACTCCTTCAGAAAAGCTTAAACTGATAAGCTGTGGAAAGTATTAAAAAATTGTTAACTTGTTATCGCTAATCAGATATCAAATGATATTAAATAAAATCATCTTATCTTACCTTTATAGTTTCCATGATGAATTCAGGTAACTTATTTGTAAGTTAAGTTTGCAAAACTCGCTTTAAACGGGATATAAATTGAAGTCAGTCCATTTAAATTGAAATAGATTGGTTAAGAAAAATTTTGGATTTTAAAAAAAACAAACTCTGAAGGGCTGGAAAATATTTCAGTACTTTTTGGGAAAACTTTTGCAGTACTTGCATACCCTCTAGGAATAGAATTCAAAATTGAACCGGTTACAGTTTTTATTTATAAATTACTAAAATCTAGATTTTACTTATTTACTTCCCATAAATGTACAATTAAAGCTTATTAACTTTAACGAAGACAAACGGACGAACACAATTTCTTGAAAAATCAACACATCTGGCTTAAATTTTGAGGGTTCGAGCTTAAAAACTGCGTCATAACAGTTTCTTATGAAAATATTTCATTGTTGACAACAAAAGTTCATCTAACTATTTAAAGCAATTAAATGAAGTCACCTAGTACAGCACCAGCACCTAATGCTCGTGCTTTAGCACGACGAATGTATCGAGCTAGAATGTCTGAAGAAAAGAGAAAAGAAACGAATCGCAGACGTAGTGAAAGACGTCGACAACAGCAAAAAAAACAACTTCTAGAGGCCACCTTCAATCTTCTCGTGGACTCATTGCTGGAAGAATCAGGTAGATTTTGATTCTTTATATGTTTTCATCACATTTAATTTAAAGTTTATGTGTTTATATTTTTTAAGTTGAAACCGTTTTACAAGGAGAACAGCATCAGGGAACTACTTTAAGTATATCTTCTTTGGATTCAGAACAAATATGTTTGTGTAAGGATCATGAGAACTTCTCCTTCCTTGTTACTGCAATCTCAAAATATTTACCCGGTTGTGACACCACTGAAGACTTCCTTGAAATAGTAACGTGTGACATTAACGACATCAAATGTATGGCGGGACATTGTTTGGATTGCAATGAACCCATCGTTGATATTTTATACCTGCTGATTTCGCCAGATAACATCAACAGGAAAGTTAAATACAAACAGTTACAAGAGGCGCATATAGAATTATTAGTGCTGCACGAAAACACCGTAGGACAATTAATTAGCATTGCAAGTGAAAAAGCGAGCGCCGGCTATAAATTCCATCACTATACAAATAAAGTACAACAGATCGCATTTGAAAATAACAGAGCTAACTCGAGCGTGTTTGAAGTATTTCTACATATAGATTACGCTTCGAGATATGCTGACGAGGTGACAATTTTCACAGCAATTGTGTATGCTGGCGAGAATCATCTTTTACTGACTCTCATTGCTGATGATGCTACTGAAGATTATTGCAGCACCATTACTTTCTTAAAAGCTGTAATAAAGGAGCTTAAAGAAAAATTCCCTACAGTTATGGAAATAAAAATTGTGTCAGCCGATGGAAATGCATCACACTTCAAAAGCAAGTAAGAATGATTATGCAATTGTTTGATGGTTTTCAAACTAAATTTAATTTATTCTTCAATCTAGATCCAACCTAGGAAATCTCGTTTATTATCAGCAAGACTATGAGATTAATACAATTTCATGGGACTTTTTTGCACTTTATCATGGGAAAGGAGAAATTGATTTCGTGGGAAATTCTATAAAAAATTATGTTAAAGAAAAAGCCGACCTGCAAAATGTAATCATAGACAGCGCGGAAAAGTTTTATACCTATGCGAAAGATCATGAGGACATCTCAGTCATTTACGTTAAAAGAGAAGAACTAGTCGAAGATTGTGAGGTGCTTAAGGCAAGAACTTTTTCTTTCCCAAACATAGAAGGTCTCGAAAATTTACACCACTTTGAAGTTGTTTGTGGAACGACACCTTATGATATGCAACTTAAGTGTTGGCCCACGAGTAAGTGTGAAGAAGATTTCGAAATAGTTATAGATTACACACTTTATGAATATGACGTTCTTGAAGAGTCCACAAATAATAAATCTGTAATATCTGCTGATTAATTAAACAAATTGAAGTTTTTGTTATGTTCTTATCAGATTTTTTTCCAGCCTGCTATGCAAATTTAAACGTTGAATCGAAATAAGGTAGAAATTTAAATAGAGGGTAGCTGGCCAATAAGGATGTACCTCAAATTCGTATTCGTATTCAATATTCAGTAACCACTAATTATGTTCAACTTCTTAATAAAGTTTTAAGCCATAAATAATTAAGAAAGCGCAAAAAATTCGGTTCGATTCTACCTACCTAGTGGTTCTCTATTATCTACGATTTCGAGATGATTCCTTACTGGCTAACTACCTTTATAGGTAGCGGTTCAAAATGAAATTCTAAGGTTTTCATAAGAAGATGTTGGTAGTTAAAATGTATTAGTGAGAAATTACGAAATTGAGGATTTAATAAATTTTAAATTAAAAAATGATTTTATTTAAGTATAAATATAAATTATCATCAACATATTTCATGTCTAAATACACCAATCAAACGTACATAAAATAAAACATCAAGAGAGGCTCTGAGAAGATATTTGAATTTAGGAAAAAATTAGAAACGGTTTTACCGATTCAGTTCATCGCAGTAGTTCATTACTTAATGTCATAACTAAAAATTACCTTGAAAATTGTGAAATTTATCATGGAAGTTGCATCAGTGCATAATGGAGGTAAGTGAAAGTTCTTCTAATTAATAATCTTCATTTATTAGAAGACGCTGTAAGTATCATAGCTTTGTTTTATCACCCAACTAACAATTCTTTAAGCTGGAAAATCAACATAGTGTGCCACATTTTTTCTTTTATTCAACTACATCAACAAGTCGTAATTGAGTTTTCTTTAGAATGGATGAAATTATAATTTCCATTTTTCATGAGTTTGTCAACTATCTAACCTCTCACAGTTTTGTCAAAAGTTGAAACATAACCAAAATCATTGAATGAAGCAAAGCATCTCTTATTATCCTTCACTTACTCATGCTGCTTACTGATTCCTCCCTCTTTCGGCTTCATTGGTGACAATCGGTCACATTTTATTGTATGATTTTGAACTTCAACGTCATGACATTTTGAAAAATCTTTCAGTTTCTTCAAGATACTTTTGAAAATTGGTTGCCATAAATCCACTTCAAGTCCGCTGCTTGGATGTGATTTCCGTTTCTGGAATGGTTCATGATCCATGTATAGTTTTATAATAATGAGAGAAATATTTATCTTTATTCTTGTAATTAGGTAGTTAGATATAACTTATTAAAGTTTCAAATGTAATTGAATTTAAGCACCAGCCTTTTTCCTAAAGCTTTAATCTAAATATTTCATCTAAAGATCATTGTTGGAACATAAGTTTTCTCTTCTTTGTGTATGACGACGGGAATTCCTTGACCATTGTACATGATTTCAATTTTGTTTTCTTCCTGATTGATGTCGATACGGATAATACTGAGGGATCCCTCCCTAAGGGAAAAAACCAAGGGATTTGAAGTAAAAATCCCTTTTCCCTATTTCCCTGCTTTTTGCATAAGGGATCCCTATTCCAATTTCCTAGAGAACATTTCTATTTTTTTGATCTTCAAGTGTTTCATAATGTTTAATAACGAAAGTCGTCCAACTTGATAAACAAAAGCATGATGCTTTCAGCGTCTTCCTCTACTTGAAGGTTATTGATTATTGAAACTTTTACTTAGATAACAATACAGTCGTCATCATCATCAAACTAAAAATGAGCTGTGCAGAAAAACTTCAAAGGAACTTAAAATATTTTCCGATTGGTCATAACAATAATTTATAAACTGGTAAGTGTTGATTAAATACTAACTTGTTGTCTTTACGATTATTTAAAATTACTTCAAAAAAAGTAAAATCATTCTTATTTCATTCCTTTAGAATCATGAAAATCTTGTGCATTGTCAATATGATCGTGCAATTGAAGTTAGTTGACAAATATCTTTGAAATTCAAAGGACAATTCTCGGTTGTAATCGTTGGGTAAAGCAGGTACCAATGTTCAATCTTTTGAATATTACAAAACACTCTTTTAAGAGACATTCTCTGCATATCCAGATAGAAAACAAATAGTTTTTGAAGTAATTTTATGTATTGAACAATTATTTTCCATAGCAACTGTTATACATTTTAATGTTTTATTTTCATAACACAACTTGGATTGTTAAGAATTGTTTTAAAATAAAAATGCAAGACGATGTCGAATCCATTGATTTATCTCCTGAAATTCAAGAATTATCGATTATACAGATTTTTGGATACGATGGTACATTTTATAAATTGTAAAGTGGAAAAGTTATAAAAGTTTTATTTTACAGGAAAAATTCCGCTTAAAGTTCATCCCGATCAGGAACATATGATCTTTGTGATTGGAAATAAAATCTCCATTCTTAACATAAAATCTAATAAACAAGAATTTTTATCAGGCCACACTCATAAAATATCTGCATTTGAAGTTTCTGTAACTGGCAGACTTATTGCTTCAGGTCAAGTAAATCACATGGGATTTCGAGCTAATCTTATTGTATGGGATTGGGCTAAGCGATGTGAAATTTTACGACATGAAATTCATAAAGTTCGTGTTCAAGATTTGACATTTTCATCTGATGAAGATCATGTCATAAGTTTGGGAGGAAAAGATTGTGGAATGATAATTGTTTGGAATATTGAGAAGAAGTATTTTAACTTAATTATTCTACAAATATTATCTGCTTTAACTAGAATATTATTAACTTTAGTATGGCAGTTTGTGGACAAATGGCAGCCAGGGAAACAACTGGTGAAGCAGTAATTATCGGAGGAATGCATCGTCAAAGTAGAATTTTTATTTCTGGTGGAAGTCGTAAGTTTGAATTTATTTATTTTAGATTTTTATGTCAATTCAATTTATATGTATCAATGTGTGTAGAAAATCTACGTTTGTGGAAACTTGATTCTATAACACGACGAATATCTGCACAAGATGTTGCCGTTGGTAAGCTTAGACGTGACTTTACATGTATGAAAGTTGATGCTAGAGATGAAATCATGTATGTGGGAACGAAATCTGGAGACGTTGTTAAAATTTACCTGAACTGCAATGATAATTCATCTTCAAACACTTCTGACAAGATCCCAATATTGCTGGGATGTTTTGCTCGACATAATCCTAAAAAGCCATTCGGGAAAGATTGCGAGAAATTTGAAAATGGCGTTCGTGATTTGTTGATTTTACCATCAGGTCAACTGATAATCGGAGCTGGAGATGGAAGCGTAGAAATCGTAGAAGAAAGAAATTGTAAATTTAAAGATTATCCGTCACCAACCTGGCCAAATTTTAAAGTTTTAAAACGTACAAAAGTTTTTGGAGTCATATCATCGCTACAACTTTTAAAAAATGAGTTGCTACTCATTGGAACTGAAAATTGTGAGATGTATTCGATTCCTTTAAAAACATTCGACGGAAATCAGATGAAACTACTGAAAACATGCCACACAAGCAGAGTCAATGACATTGCATTTCCATATCAATTTAATTCATGCTTCGCAACTGCAAGTTATGAATCAATTCGAATATGGTCAAGTACAAAGAAGGTTGAACTTCTTCGAATTGTTGTTCCAAATTTTGAGTCAAAATCTGTAATATTTTCTCGTGATGGAAAATCAATTGTTTCTGCATGGAATGATGGAATCATTCGTGCATTTACACCATTGACTGGAAAGTTAATGTATGCAATTCCAAATGCACATAACAAAGGTTGCACTGCCGTGGCTCTGACATCAAATGGAAAAACTTTAGTGTCGGGTGGTGTCGAGGGTCAAGTTCGTGTTTGGAAGATTGAACCAGAAAAGCAATCATTAATTGGCGTTTTAAAAGAACATTTTGGTCCAATATCAACTGTTGACATAAACAAATTCGATACAGAAGTCATTAGTGCATCTTCGGATGGTTCATGCATAATTTGGGATCTGCCTCGATTATCACGTAAGCACGTGTTGTTTGCAAACACTCAATTTACTGCTGCACAATATTTTCCAACTGCTGTTCAAATATTGACGTCAGGAACTGATCGCTCCATAAGTTATTGGGAAGTTTATGATGGTTCTTTAGTGAGGGAGAAAGAAGGTAGCAAAAATGGTCCAATAAATTGTTTGGCACTCAATTCAACCGGCGAATATTTCGTGAGTTCTGGAAATGATTGCATCGTAAAGTTGTGGAATTATGAGTCAGGAGACATCGTCGCTCAAGGTTTTGGACATGCAGGAATTGTTACTGCCTGCAAATACAGCCCGGATTCGAAATTTCTGGTCACAGGCGGTTCCGATGGAGCTGTTTTTATTTGGAAGATTCCCGAAGAATTTCATATTGATTCCGAAGTCAAATTAGAGAAGTCAATCAAAAAAGTCGACACTCATTTAAAGCAACCGGAACAAATTCGTGAAATTGGAAGTCGTCGTTCAAGCCGAATGTCATCTCTTGTCACTAATTGTCCTCCAGTTGACGCAAAGAAACAACCAAATATGCATCCAAAAATAAATGCAAACATGCTTACTTGATAACGTCAGTGTAAGTGGTGAAAGCACTTGCAGTTTCTCAAGGAAATAAAAATGTTAACTTTAAGAGAATTTTTGAGTAATTTTTTATTTAGAAAAAAGCACAACATTTTGAATAAAATCTTAAACACAAAGTTCCCTGAAGTATACGCTTGTTAGTAATGAAAAACACTTCGAAACTTAACATTTCAAACGCATCTGCTTGAACTTGCTGACTTTTTTAGTGACATCAGCTTTTGTCATAATGTGAACAATCTCGTCAGAATTTGGCTCATCGGTATCATGTTCAACAACTTCACCAACAACAATTTGATTGTTTGAGTGGAAGATTTTCTTCACAGGAATTTCATCATCTGTTTCGGAAAATTTTGTTTCCTTTCTTTTGTTTTTTAAAATGGATTTTTTAGCAGTTGCAGAAAGATTTGGGAAATAAAGGTGAGAATTAGGTTGAAATTTTGTGACGATTTCACCCGGATGAGCTATCAATGTGGCTGAATTTTCATCCGTGGCAGTGTAGGAAAATTTGGCATCTGAATGTTGGAAGTTAATTTGTATCGTGTGATTTTCTGGAGGTGAACATTTGTACAAATCTGACTGATTTTCGATCAACTTTACATCCTCAAGAGATGTCGAAAAACGAACTTTTCTTTTGTTGTCTTCTGGTTTTAATTCGATGCTCTCTGTTTTGTCATCGTCTGAATCTCTTTCATCGCTTTCAGAAATATCGTCGTCAATCATTTTTCTAATATCGTCTTCGATTTCATCCTTCAATTCATTCAAATCAAGATAAAGGCCAATATTTCTTTGATCATCGCGTTCGACATTTCTCAATACTCCCTTGATTTTACTACGATATGTCTTGAGGAGTTCGACTATCTCATGGTTATTTTGTGCAATTAGATCGTTGCTGTTGGTGTTAATTTCTGACACGTGATTTTCAGGCCGTTGTAATGATTTCTCTTCACTTTCATCACTCATTTTCACATCACTGTCATCTCCATTCATGATCTTTATTAATACATCATTTCCGTCATTAGAGTCACGAACTTCAAGACTATCCATTTCTTCTGCCAGCTCCTCAATCATTTCGAAATCATCAAAAATCTTTTCCAAATCAAAACTTCCATTTTGTGCCGACTCTTTCCATCGATTCTCAGACTCGATTTTTTTATGCTTTTTAACACTTTCTGCATGTTTCTTTCGCCATTGGATCAATTCTTCTTCACTGCATAATTCTGATATTTCCTGTCCAAAGGATGAATCAAAAATCTCTTCAGGAAGTTCCACGTTATGACTGAAATGAAAGGTATAAGTATGAAAAAAAATTTCATGAAATATTTTATTAAATTACCGGAAGAGTTCGCGCTCCTTTCTTAGAGACTCCAATCTCTCATGGCATAGTTTCTTTCTGTGTTCTAATAATTCGATTGCTTGAACTGTGGAAACATCTGAGAAGAGTGAAGTGCCATGACAAACAGTGACTTCATTTGTATGTTGTAGTTTACCACGAACAAACGCTTTCTTTCCCATTGGAACCATAATATCAAGTGAATGAGATTTAACGAATTCATTGAGAGTTTCGCTTGTTTCCGACAGATCCTTTTCATATTTCCTCCACTTTTCCTCGTTTTCTGTATTTATTTCTAAAGCCTATGAAAAAATATTAAAACGAGATTCAATTATGTTTTAATTCAATAATTGAAAACTTTCTTACATTTCCATAGGATTGTTGGTAAAGATCCATTTTGTGAAAGATGATAACTTTAATTTTTTTATTTCGGCGAAATTCTAAGGAATTTTTGTATTCATATTGTTATTGAATATCTCTATACCCCCCAGCACATTCTTGGGCTTTTGAACCGGCTCCATTTGCAATGCTTCAATGTCACACGTGAAGCGGTTCAATGTTGATTCAAAACCCCGGTAAAATTAAAGGGGTTAGTAGCTTATGTAAACAAACTTTTAATTTGAAAACAAATATTTTTAATATGGCTAATGAAAAAAATACTGTATATGTTGGAGGTTTAGCTGATGAAGTCACTGAAAAACTTTTACAAGATATTTTCATTGTTTTTGGTGATATTTCTGAAATCCAGGTAAATGACTGAGAAACGATTACAAATATTTATACTAAAATGAAGCATACTTTTAGATGCCCGTTGATTATGAGAGTCAAAAGCACCGTGGATTCGCATTTGTTGTCTATGAAACTAGTGAAGATGCATTTCAGGCTGTCGACAACATGAATGACAGTGAAATTGCGTAGGCCATTTTATTTTGATTCTTGTTAGCAAAAGTTTCATTATTTGTTTTAATTTCAGAGGAAGGACTATAAGAGTAAATATAGCAAAACCACAGAGAATGAAAGAAAATTCACTAAAACCAGTATGGGCTGAAGATGCATGGTTGCAAAAATATGCAGGACAAACGCTTGAAAACGAGAACAGTGAAAACACAAAACCAGAATCTGAAGCTGTCGTTGATGTTACAGTCTCAGAAAAACCTGAAGAAAAGAAAGCAAATCCACAAGTTTACTTTGATATCAAGATTGGAAATTCAGACGTTGGTCGTATCGTTATGATTCTCAGAGCTGATGTTGTGCCTAAAACAGCTGAAAATTTTCGGCAACTTTGTACAATGGAGCAGGGCTTTGGATTTAAAGGGTAAGCATAATAACTTGAGGTTGAAATAACATTTTATCCAATGATCTATATATTGAGAAGAGGTCATTTATCCAAAAACTTTTAGATGATCATAATTTTCAGTAATAATGTATCGATAAGGTGTGAAAAATTCAAACTCATCTTAAGACAAGAAAGTTTCAAATTACATACTCTGATAATTATTTTAAAAAAAAATTAAACATTTAGTTTCTTCTAAATAGCCCCAAGGAATGTTAGAAACAAGTTTCTAATAAATTATTTGGATTTCTATATTTCATTAAAATTTATTTAATTAATTGAAAATCGACTTCTTTGCTTTGCAGTTCATCGTTTCATAGAATCATTCCTGAATTTATGTGTCAAGGTGGTGACTTTACAAAAAACAATGGCACTGGAGGAAAATCTATCTATGGAGCCAAATTTGCTGATGAGAATTTCAAATTAAAGCACACTGGCTTTGGCACTCTTTCAATGGCTAACTCAGGAAGTAACACCAATGGTAGTCAATTCTTCATTTGTACAACAAAGTATAAGATTACATATTTCAGTATTTGTTAAATTCTTAGTTATTGATCTCTATTTTACAGAACTGATTGGCTCGACGGAAAACATGTCGTTTTCGGAAAAGTCATTGCAGGAGCTGAAGTCGTTAAGAAAATGGAGAAATGTGGAGCAAAAAGTGGCACCCCGACACAGAAAGTAACAATTTACTCATGTGGTGAATTAAAATAAGTTATCTAGCTCTTACTTATAATATTATTAAGTTATGCAATTAAAATAAAACTTAAATTTAAAAAAAGAAACTTTTCGTTATCTTTATGTCACCTTTATTTAGGTAGATAGAATGTGCAATCTTTTACAACTTTATTTCAGATTTTAAGACTGCTTATTTATGATTTCTTAGTTGTAAAAATGTACAGACGAAATGCAATAGTTTTTATATTCGTTTGAGTCATAAGCCTTGACAAAAGAAGATTTTATGACATAAAAAACTTAGACTGCCAAATCTAATGGTACATTTTACGTAATGCTACGACTCTCCCACGATTTCGATGGAACATAAATATTCTAGTTGAATAGAACTACGCATAACATATAATCAGCTGTTTCATGTTTATGATTCTTTGTCTGAAAAATAAAATCCTGTTTTTTTCCTATGAAGAAGGTCGAGACGTAAATAGATCTTTGATAATTGATGGGACCCTTAATGGTGCATCTTTTAAAGTACCAAAGAAAGAAAAAGAAGATTACAGTATAACATCTTAATTTTCAATGAAAAGAATGATTTTATAGACTTAGAAACTATCTCGAGTCGTCGAAGGTGTCTTGCTGTAAAAAATCTATTGCGTCTTTAAAAATTTAAAACTCCTTTTGAAAGAAAATAGGATCAGATGTTGTTTTGGGAATTTTCCATTCTCACTCTTATGTTTTGGTACTATGTATGTTAGAAAGGGAGAAACATTCTGAATGTAAGAAGAAGAAGAAGGAACATGCAGAACACTATAAAAGATCTTGCGATGCGTTTGAAATGCATTAGTCGTGTTTTGTCGTCAAATAAAAGCGTGTTACAAGTTACAAACAAGTGAAACTCCTAGAAAAAAATCATCATGAAACTCTTCATTGTTGCTGCTTTGTTGATCGTTGCTGTAAGTGAAACAATCTGTTGATATTTCTTTAACATTTAAGTTGAAAGCTTAAACTTTCTCTTATTAGTTGTAAATCGTTTTCTTAAATTCATATATTTTTTTCTTTTAAAAAGGTTCAAGGTGACTACGTTCTTAAAACTTTAGATGACTTGCAAACCGCTCGTAAGGAATGTATCTTGGAAAACAAAGTTCCACAAGAACTTGTTGCTGAATACCAAAAACGTATTTTTAAGGAAGAAGGAGTTACTCCATGTTACATCCGTTGTATCTTTACACGCTTGGGTCTTTTTGACGAAAAAACTGGCTTCATCACAGAAAATTATTTGAAACAACTTGGCCGTGGTGACACTGTTAAAGATGGAGTTGTTGGCTGCTATGATAACACTGGAACTGATACATGCTTGTGGGCATACCGTGCATTCACTTGCTTCACGAAACAAGGATTCTTACCAGAAGGATACTAAAGACTGAAAAACTAACAAAATCTTTTTATTTTAAATTTTCTTAATATTTTTTCTTCTCACCTGATGTTCAAAATAATTCATTGCAATGACTTGAAAGGATTTCTTATAAATAAATAACAAAATTTATTAAAACTTTAATTTAAAGAGTTTTCATTCGTTTGATATTTCAGAAAATTTAATGTTGATTCATAAAATACAAGACTTGATATTGTTCTACTGTTTCACTTTTACTACATTTCGTCTGGAATTGAATAGAAGGTTGTTGGTAGAGATCTTCGAAAAATTTGTTGTCGAGGTCAAGGGAAGAGAAAAAGAAAACAAGTTGTGAATGTATGTAGGAACATACGTAACAACTATGTGATATTATGTTGATTCTTTGTTCTTGACAAGTTCATGAAATTATTTCTTTCTTATGGTTTTTATTGACTTTTTTTCTTGCAGAGTCGGTGAAAGAAAAACAAAAGAAAAATATTTTAAAAACTCTGATTGACAAATTGCAGCATTATTCAGGTCGTCTTTAATAAGATTTTTCAACAATATGGGAGATGATGAGACCATCATAAATGTTAATGCATGAATAACAGATAAATAAAAAAAAATTATTACGGTCTTGGTTCACTTAAAAACAGGAATTTAATAATCAGTTTCAAGAAAAATATAATGACATGACATAAACCCAAATGGCAGAATTCAAGTTTTTTATTAAAAAATGTCTTAAAATTTCATCGCTTTCAAACAATCAAAAAGATGTCCATTACAAGATCACGTTGTATTTAAGTTTGTTTGTCTCTATCGATATTTCGTAAGTGTGTAAACGGAATGGACAAATAAATGACGTTTATTGAAGGAGCAGAAAAAAAACCAAAACGGGTATGATACTATGATTAAATAATATCGTCGGTAATATTGTGGTGTCAAAAATTGAGATTTCAAATGAGAATTGTTTAAATTTCATACCTGAATAATTGCATAATTTTCTGCATTTTTCATTCCATTTAAAATCTGATTAGATGTTATTAAATATGAATGATTCAAGTATTTAGCTACAAGCAGCAAAGCATGTGTCATAACTATTTATAACTCAAATTATCAAATTTCTATGTAACTAGCATTTGAAAATTTAAGGTTTATCAATTAAAAAAGGATTCATATCATTTTATACAATAAAACTTACCATTGATTTTACGTTCTTCCATTCTCTGCTTGGTTTCACTTTAAACCGGCAAAATTCTTTCAATGTGCTCCACTAATTGACAACTAATCACTTTTTTTTCTTCTCAATATCCAAAGATACATCGCATACACTAATATGAACGCTCTCTGTATACTTTTACGCTATATTCAATGTAAATTGTGGAAAAAATAATAATAAGCTAAGTATGAAGAAAATAACAATCTCTCAGTAGTCTCCGTTTTATTTATTGTTACTCTCCAGCTCCACAGCATTCAGTCTATTTTTGTCTTCAGTAACACAAAGTGCTTTTGTCTGCAATTTCCAAACGTAAATTAAACTTAATTTTAAAACATCAAACCTTAACTATTTTACCTCCACCAAAGAGTTCAAAGATAAACCTTAATGACACTTCAAAGATATAGAGTGCATCTATAATTACAAAAAACTATTTAAACTGAAACGAAATATCTATTTCCACCAAAACAGTTTTTAAACGACCAATAAAATCAAATTTTAATTAGTTAAAAAGTACTTTAGTTGTCAATTTATTAAAAATATGAAAGAAGAAGATTTAGCTATGGCTAAAGCGCTATTGGCTGAAACAAAAGAATCTCCAGCTCCATTAAGAAAGAGTATTCTAAGTGAGGAGCGAGCAAAAACATTCAGGTAAGTCTAATTGAAAATTCAAATTAACTCGGTAGCTATGTAGAGATAATCTCATATGTTTATAAGATTTTCTGTGAATGTAAAAAGTTTTCAACGAACAATCCCGCCAAAAATTCAAACCTTTTGCCTCTTAACATGCGATAAAAATAACTTTTCTTTAATTTTGTCCGACTGAGCTTAACTTAGATAAATAAATGAATATTTGTGAATCAAAACATTGATAAAATGGTCATTAATTAACGATTATTCACGATAAAAATTGCTAGTACCTTATTTATTTTGAAAATTCGTAGTTTAGCAATTTTATTTACAAAGAGCGCTTTCAAAGTTCGGTTTTATTTCATACCAACTCAAATTTAGCACTTCTAATCTTGTAGCAATATTTACAATCGAATAAGAATTTTCTTGAGCTTGAGAAAAGCTATTTGATTTAATTAAAAGATGTTGTGTTAAGACAATGTCAACAGAAAAGTTTTATTTGTTAAAGTCTGAAAATTTCTAGTGTTTAATATATTTTTTTCTGTTGTTATTGTCAGTCTTACTTAATTTAAAAGCTTGAGATTCAAAATTCTCGACAAACTCGCCAAAGCGTAATAAGAAAATTAGTTAATAAGAAGACAAAGAAAGTATCAGGGAAAATGAATGGCGTAAAATCTGATGACAAATCAAAAGATCAAAAGCTCGATAACCGCCAAAATCCAACTGAGTGGGAATGGTAAGTTTTTTTTGTAATAATAATAAACCACGGCATTTTAGTTCACCGCTGACCTCAGGTTTATTGAATTGTTAAAAGATTTAAAATAATGTACGAGCAATGATCTCAGAAGTAATTATCGTGTTCTAATCGCTCCTCTAATTATCTTTACACGAATTTGTTGTTAAAATTATATCATTAAATTCCGGAAATTTTTTACTTGTGTTAAATATATTTTATTTCAAAACAAAGAGTAAAAGAGTGACCTACTTAACATCTAGATTAAAGCAACTTAATATTTCGGTAAACATTGTCGCTATAACAATCATTATTGCCATATCAAAAGAAAAGAAACAATGCTTAATGGAACACAAATAAGAAAAGCTATTTGTAGGTATTATAATAGATATGCCATTAACTGACCATGTCATTAACTATAATGTGAACAATGGTTTAGATATTGATGGCTAACCAAAGACTTCAACTTCATGCCCTTGAAAAGTGATAAAATTTTACTTTCGGATTCACCTAAATTAATTAATGAGAAACTTGAATTTCAAATTATGTTTTAGTTGAGTGTTTGAAGCCATTTTAAGAAAACAAAAATATTTCTCGGCAATTTCCATATCTTACCGATCAGATGACTTGCAAGCCAACAAAAAAGCTCAAATGTTTTGCTTCCTTGACAGTCACAGCAACCAAAAACAGTAATGTTTTATTGTTGATGCATTCATTCATTTCAGTTTTCGTCTTTGATTAAACAATAAAGCATCAAAAATTTGTTGATAATAATTGCCTACTTCCAATCGTTAATACACCTGTTTTAATTTTTTATCGTCATTTGTGAAATCAGAATATCTTAAGAAAGAAAAAACATTATAAAAACATCGAACGTTGTTTTTTCCATCGTTGTCTACTCGTAAATTCCATACGGCGAGCGAAAAAAAATTCATTCAGTGATCGCGCAACTCTCTTGCAGTTCATTTGAAATTACTTCGCTGTGAATAATTTGTATTTTATTTTTTTCTTTTTTGTTCATATTACTTCGGTTGAGAATCACAAAGAGAATGAAGTTGGTTTCGGGCTTAGGTTTCTCACAAGTGATAAGGAAGATTAAATTAATCAGAAAATAAAAAATATCACTAACGATCCATCCAAACTTTAAAGTGATGTTTGAAAGACATGTTAAATGATAACAATAATCAGGTCTTTTTATTTTTCTATTGAAACTTATACGTGATAATATTAGAAATTAAAATTATGAAATCATCACAACTTTGACCATAAAGGTTAATTTTGCTCCATATAACAACACACAAAAAAAAAGAAACTTTTCTCTAAAAATTTATTTCAAATAACGTGTAATATACATAATATCTATAAGACTTAAACTTACTAAATACACACGAAAATAAACCAGCCAAATATTAACAAAGTGTACAAAGTGTAAAATATGACCATTGTAAGCGTTTGACATCAACAAGCAGCGTGAAAATTAGGACAAGAAACTGCGATTACACCATGAAAAAAAAACGCTGCTTAAGTTCAACGTATCACTTAGTATTTGATAATCTCTTATAGAAACTTGTGAATCGAAAAGCTAATAAAACGTAGCCTTGAACATTAATCAAACTTCATTTCATATTGTCTCCAAAATAAGAAGAGGGTTTCGTACATCTAACACAATTGCAGAATAAAAGCTTCATTAATGAAGTTGAGGGCTATAAAATCCTTCTTATTATTAGTTCATAAATTCAGAAAAGAAGAAAAATGAAGAACCGATGTGAAACTTTATTATCATATAACAACAGACAAGATTTTTTAAAGTGATCAGCTATAGTAAATAAAAACTATTTATCCAGAATAATATTAAAAAGAAATCTAGAGGTCATTAATAAAAATAAGCGTGTTGAAATATTTATTATATCAATGCTCGTTTTAGTGGTTGAATCAAGAAAAGAAACAAAAATGTGTGAATCTTTTCCGCGGTTTAATTATTATGTTGCTAATTTTATGTGCGGTGTTCGATAATATTTAATCTTTTCGCCTTAAAAAATGTCGTGATGAAGTTAGGTCAATGGAACGGTTTCAATTTTACAGCGAATTTATAATGACGAGAGTTTTATATTAACACGAAGATGTAAAATAAATAAATTTTTATTTACTATCTCGAAGATTCCAGCAATTCATCGAATGTATATTGTGTTATCCTATTTAAACCTTCTCGTATGATATAATTATCTAGAAAATGAGTGTCGATGTTAAATATTGACTTGAATGTATTATGTGTACTTATATAATGAACTTAACAAATTGTTTTCTTCTATCATTTTATTTTAGAAGAAAGAGCAGAAATAGTTTGAGATAATAATGTCTACATAACTGAATGCTTCAATCATTTCTTGTTCTATTCTTAAAGAGTAAATTACATAAAAAAGTTTTATTAAAACTGTAAACTTTATTCATCATACATTGCCGATAGAATAAGCTCTTTCACACGATGAGTCATAGAAGTGTAACCTCTCGGTCAGACGATAAAAATTCTTTTACCATTTTATAAGCTGCGTGTGTGTATTAAATTCACATCAAAATTTGAATTAAGTTCCATTCATATTTTCGAACGATCCTTTATTTGATAATTCATAAATACTCAAGCAAGGAAAATCTTTTAAATAATTTTTAAGTCATTGAACTTCAATATTTAATTTACAACAATGAATGGGTCAATATCAAACTTTAAGTTAGGCACGTGTAAAGATTGATTTTCATATTTTTTCGCTTTACTCCACATCTTGTCGATGGTGTATGTTATTTCTCTTCATTGTTAAAGATATAAAAACACATCCGGGTAGTTCAAGGTTTCTTTCGGTCTCATCATTTCATCACGAATTTTCATTCTTTTTTATTTTCTAAAATTTGAAGTCAAGCTTGAAATATGATTTCTAAGTGACGTAAACCTTAAAGTAAAAATAGTTTTATTTTGACAGTCATGCTCTTGTTAATATTTACTTCTATCTAATCTTTTTCTATCTAAATAATTTATAACAATGACACGTCTCATTTCAGCCGAAAATATTTGTTAATGATAAATAATATTAAAGTCATGTAATCATTCTTATCACTGTTCGAAGTGAAATCTTTATCAGCTTCAATTGAAAGTACAAAGTATACTGTGAACTTTACGTTTATTCGAATCTACAGATTTTTCAATGACATTTAGTGTGAACGCAAAATGTCATGTTGTTGTTGATGATTTTATGAATTTTAATTCTAACGCTAAAATAGTTAAAGAACAAAAAATAATTTTACAGACATCAATGAATGAGCTAAAAATACTCTTGTGAGAATCATATAAAAAGTAATGTACAAAGATGTCTTAAAAAGAAAAAGTTACTGTGATTATTAAAAAAAGAATCCTTCAAATCAACAATGTGCCTAGCAAAGCCTTTACAAAGACAATAATCTAACAAAAAATGAATTAAGTATTGCCCCACGTGACCTCAGTTCATCCTGCATCAGTGTACTTCGTTATTGTGTCGTAATTAAAAAGTATCATGGCATATTTATCAGACATTGATCTCGCAACATTGCACAAAAAACGCTTAGATGAGAAAAACCATTACAAGTTGTCTTGGTACAACAGAAGATTTTATCATGATGAGATAAGCCGTGAACTTAGTGCTGGAGATAAACAAGAAACAAATAAAGTGAAATCGAAAGTTTGTGTTAACACCAAGTCTACAAAATCAAAGACAAACGTGCTGCAAACAAATGCGAAACCAAAAACCACTCCAAAACAGACACGCATTAGCAGTCATTCTAACGATATTTCAAGTGGTCCTTCGACATTCAACGACATTCCATGTACTTTCAACGCATCCATTAAATGTAATTCAAGTCCAGAATTTTACGACGAAGGATATTTTTCATCACCTACATTAAATCGCCGGCGAAGCGGCACTTGGCCGTAAGTTTCATGTTTCATCAGTTTAAAAAGAATAAGAAACTGACGAGAATGTTTATAAATATCTTTTTGCAAAGAAAATCTACTTATTTATTTAGCGAACGTAATTATGTTCAGTTTAATTGTATAAAATCTCTTGTTTGCTCTGGAAATTATTCGATTTTTCCGCACATGAATATTACTTAGTTACTTCCTTTTCCTGCTTCGAAAACAGGAAAAAGAGGCCGTTTTTTGTTATTTGTTTAACCCAATGTGTAAAAGTAACTCATTCGACCATTTAAAATTCTAAACGAAGGTGAAAAAGTTTAATATTTATAAAGTTCTTCTTACAGGTGAAATTAACTTAACGTTCAAAGGGTTATGTTAATTTCCATAATAGAAATTTTAAATAATCCAATAGCATTATTTGTTCTTTACCTTTTATCATACTTATTCAAGCATTGTGCTTGCTCTGATTCAGTTGCAAAAGAGTGTCAATTTGTAAATAAATTCTCAATCAACATTTGCTGTTGAAATTAAAATTGTTTTCGAAATTGATGTGTTCAAAGTGAATAGTTCAAGACATTTGATTCATTGGAAGATTAGCCTTAAAAATAAATATTATACGGTAAATTTCTCATTAGCAGTAAATGAAATTGTAGATAAGAACGAGTGTTTTTCACAAAAAAAGTGAAACAAAAACTAGACAAGTTTATTTTGAATTGACACTTGCCTCAAATTTATTTTTTGTTGTTCGTGTTCAACATATTTTAAATATTTTCATATTTGATTAGATAATCTAAATGAAACGAAAAAAGAAAAATAAATGGTCACGTTTGAAGGTAAATAAAATTTACCTGACCCAGGTCATGTCTGTAAATGATCTTATGAGCAATCGAGGTCAGCATGTAGTTACAAATTAAAAATAATCTTATAAATCTACTGCATTATTTGAAAATGCAATTGATTGTAAAATGCATTAATGAACCAGCATTTGGCAGTTCAAAACTATGTCACTTGTTGCGTGCAAATATAAAAGCATAGTAAAGATGTTGGTATGAGTGAGCTATGTTAAAGTTGAGAATGATTATAGATTCAGTCTACAACATGCGACATGATTCAGTTTCCAATTTACATCGTGACAATCAACAGGTTTCAATTATTTGTGTTCGCTTTTCCACAAAATAATTTACACTTTTTCATTCAACTTATAAATTTTATTTATATTCAATTATTTAACTTTCAAATTTGAGGTTTTATCGATAAGATTATCTGAAGCGACAAAATAAATATTTTCATTGTGTTCGTTTTCGTACTTATAACAAACTAAACTTGCAAGTTGTGACCATAAGAGCTTCTGAAGGTTGATGGAACACTTCTTGAATTATGTCTGAAAACATTTTGAACAGTTTAAAGCAAATGCATAACAAAAGAAGCAACTCAGATCGTAAAAATGGAGGATACTTAAACGAATATAATATTGTCTCTTCAACGCCAATGATGACATCAGAAGTGTCGTCATATCAAGTTGTAGAACGAGTTCCGAGGTTGTTGTTTTCATTTTAATTTCTTTCAAATCTACCGCAACAAAACATGTGAAAAATAATGAAAATAAGAAAAATTAATTTCTAATCAAATCGAACTTGTAAATTGATTTATGAACTCATTTTTTATCTGTCATTATAGGCGAACACGGAGCTTAAATGCACCTTCACCATTCCAACAATTTGGACCGTGCGGTCGTATCATGAAAAATTCCGCAATGGTAATGCAAATACAAGACCCAGCCAGTCAGCGACTTACTTGGTATAAGCCACCATTGGCTGTATTGGTGATCAAAAAGGTTCGTGATTCAACAGTGTTATCGCCTTTTATTCAACTCGTTGAATGGCTGATTGAAGAAAAGCATATGGTTGTGTGGGTGGAATCAGCTGTTTTAGATGATCCACTGTTAATGGAAGACAAAAAATTTCTCGCTGTTAAGGACAAGCTTGTAACATTCAAGTAATTATTTGATCATCAAAATAAGCAATAATTTGTTTATTTTAATTTTTTTTGCATCTTTTAAAACTTTAGAGACGGTCGCGATGACCTAACTGATCGAATAGATTTCATCATTTGTCTTGGTGGTGATGGTACATTGCTTTACGCATCTTTATTGTTCCAACAATCTGTTCCACCAGTCATGGCGTTTCATTTAGGCTCATTGGGCTTTTTAACACCATTCCAGTTTAACAACTTTCAAGACCAAGTTACTAATGTGCTCGAGGGTCACGCTGCGTTGACACTTCGTAGTCGTTTGCGTTGCATCATTGTGAGAAGAAATTCAAAAGACGAACGTAGGGATGAAGGTCAAAATGGAAAAGTAGCAGAAAGTTCAACTTTCGGGACATTGCCATCGACGAATATTCTTGTGTTGAATGAGGTTGTTATCGATCGAGGCCCATCACCTTATCTCAGTAACATAGATCTTTTCTTGGATGGTAAACATATCACATCAGTTCAAGGCGATGGTATGCGTGAATATTTCAAATTGTTTAACATTCTCTAAAACATTTATATAAATTTAGGTTTAATTGTATCTACCCCAACGGGCTCCACAGCATATGCTGTCGCTGCTGGTGCCTCAATGATTCATCCTTCAGTTCCAGCAATAATGGTGACACCAATTTGTCCTCATTCGTTAAGTTTCCGACCAATTGTTGTACCTGCTGGTGTTGAATTGAAGATTTCTATTTCACCTGACAGTCGTAACACTTCATGGGTGTCGTTTGATGGACGTAATCGCCAAGAACTTTTACATGGTGACAGGTGAGCTATTTAATTTCTATTTAACATTTGCTTTACCTCTTGCTTGCATTAATTTTATTGCAAAATTGTAATTATTTATGTTTTTTAGCCTTCGCGTGACAACGTCAATCTATCCAGTGCCAAGTATTTGCGCACAAGATCAAATTTCAGATTGGTTCGACTCGCTTGCTGAATGCTTGCACTGGAATGTAAGAAAGCGACAAAAGTGTTTAGGTAAGTTTTTGAAGAAATTTGCAAAGATCTTTAATCTTTTAATTACGATTATTTTCAAGATGAATTGAGTGATCTTACTGGAAGTGGCAGTGAAGATACTTTTGATGAACTTGAACGGGGTATGGAAAATCTTGAATGCTGATCATCATAAGCTGTTGGATCAATCGTTTTTTAGGATTAGATAACTCAGTTCTTCAAACTTTATGATAAGATGTGTCATGAGGTTTTGTAACATTTCAACATTTCCTTAAAAACGTAATCAAATGAATTTTCTTACTAAATAATCAGAGATTTTTCTCAGCCTTTTTGACTTCTTTTTTTTTCATTAATAATTAAATTTTACAAAATAAAGTCGAAGGCGTAATCGGCGATTTATTTGTCCAAACTTCTTGGTATTAATTCTCTTTTATATATTCGCATGAACAACTAGTAATATTGAAAGAAGAATCATTTTTGTGCAATAAAAAAAAAAACGATTTATCGTCAAACGATTTTTACACAAAGTTTAAAAATGTTTATGAGGTTTTAATTGCGTGTTTGCTAAAATTAAACACGCATTTGCATTTTTTTACAGTAGCGGTCGTGTGTGATGGATTAAAAAAATCCCTTTGCCTTTACATTCTCTTTTATAGTTCTTCTCAGTGGTAATTATATTTAATTTCTTCAGTATTTAATATGAATCACTAAACAGTTTAGTGCATGGAAAAGACCAACCAAGTGAAGTCCAAAGATGAAGGTTTTGTTGACGTCATCAAAATGCATAAACAAATTCCCCTTTAAACAAACATCATCATGGAAATTGAGAGAAAAACTTTATTTTTCATCAACACCAGCATCAAGTCGCAAAGTTTTCCCGCCAGCTCTCCCGCTAACATAAAAGAAAGCTCATAACTACGTATTCGTTAAGAAAAGAAGCTTTCCGTCTCCTTTATTGAATTTTTTTCTCAAACCTTTTCAAGTCAAAGTGTAGTCTGGACATGCGCTTTAAAATGTCTCCCATGTGCTTGTTCTCTAGTATTTTGTTTTAAATTAATTATTGAATAAAGTCTAACTTTGGCATGTTCCTATGAAATGTTAAAATGAGTTCAATATTTGGTTTCAAAGTTGTTTAACAAATGACAGCACTAAAATTTCTTTAAGCTCGTCTAAATACCTATTTTAAATCTTAAAACAATTCTGATGACAATAAAACTTGTTATTTTCTTGGAAAATACCTTTTAAATATTTTAATATTTCCTTTAAAAATACTTTTTCATTGATTGCGTACATCGGCTGATCGGCTCCAATTTGTCTTCTGTTGTTATGGGAAACGAAACTTCATCCGAATGTTTATTTTTTCCCCGCTCATCACACACACACATCTTGTAAAAAATATTTTTCTCTCAATCTCTATCCCCACTTTTATACCTTCTCAAATAATGAAAGCTTGAAAATTTTCTCTTTTGAAAGCTACTTACTCGTATTAGTTAATTTTCCTTTTCCGAAGAAAACTGCCGCATAAAAATTCCTGATATTACAAATTATCCAATTATTTTTTTTCCTGAATTGAAAATTAAGATTGAAACAACCGTTTTCAATCAAACTTTATTTGTTGTAGAATAAAGGTGCTTTTAATGAATAAATATTGAAGTTTCTCTGAGATAAAATTTTGTTTCTAGACTTGAAATGTGAAAGAAATCTGAAAATGTGTACAAAAAAAGTTTTCATGCAAATTTGATAAGCTCCAGAGAAAAGGTTAAAGATAAGAAAAATAAGAAGATAACAATTCTATTCTAGTTCAGAGTGCTTTCCCAAATAGTATGAAAATGAAACTTTTACAGTGAGACTTTAAAGACCGAAACAAAAGTTTTTCTTTTTCTTAACTATTATCTAAGTCGTCTTTTAAAAACAAGAGAAAACAAATACAAAAGTAGCTAGTTGGAAGATCTTAAATCGATGACACGGCCAATAAAAGTCATTATTGTTTAACCTTAGTGCGCAATCAAGCGAGTTGCTTTGTGTTGATATCCAAACATCCTTCTGTAAAGATTCTTAATATAAAATAATTTTCCAATTGAAAAACGTCGTGCTGCCTAATTTTTCATTTTATATTTTCTTTCCAAGCCATTTTTCTTCATTTCTTCTATGTTATTTGTGTACATAATTTAAGAATTTTATTCTCAATTTATTTCTTGCTTTCAGTGGCTATAAAACAAGTAAAGTGAAAATTTATGAAATCTAATTATGAGAAGAATACTGTTATTGGATTAGGAGTCTTAATATATTCAAATTATACCTAAAAATTCGAAACATAGATTATTTAATTAAAAGCAAAATGATAAGAAATCAAGACTTTGGAGATTAATTCAATAAAGTGAAGTAAAACATGGCATTTTTCGGAAGAAAGTCACCTTTTGAAGCTTTGGTGAGCCCTGGAGTCATGCTTGCTTGTAAATATAATCAGTTTCGACAAAGAAGGAGAGAAGCACAAAGTAAAAAAGTTACTGAGCGTGAACTGACAGCTTTACATCATAAAATAGTAAGTTGACATAAAAGCACCTCATTTAATCAGAATTTCATAAATTTTCATATTTAAATGTGGGTGTTATGGTTTGACCGACATGCTACATAATTATTTTTAATTGACCACAAAAAACTTTATTCTAATTAAAAAATTAAATAAAAGTCGCTTCAAATTTGTCACAAATAAACTTAAATTAAATTTGTATCGTCGAAAATATTTTTTTATTTCAATCTTATTTACCTTCGAATGTAATTTAATTGCATAAAGTTCATAAATAAAAAAGAACAGAAGAAAATCAATTCGCAAACTCGCCATCTTGAATGAAATTTTATTATTTATGATCATCGTTTCGCGGTGGATCTTCACTTTCCTTTTATTCCGTGAAAAATGTGAGCTAAAATACGGTCATGAAGGAAAAATTGGAGGGTAGGGTCGAAAAAAAAGTTTCAATCATAAAATTGTTGTAGATTATCATAAGATTCTGCCTTATGAATATGGCCTTAAATAGCATTATTTGTAACAAAGGGCCAACATCGCATTAAATTTATATTTCTTTTTTTTTTTATAAGGATTCGCGAGTATTAAGTTGTACTTTTATTAGTGTTGAGATTTCATTCAATGCTACGTTAGCTCAAAATCAAAGTTATTAATATTAAATCGATAAAACTTCCTTATTATTCCGGAGGGATAAGTTAAGTTACAACACAGTTTGAACTGTGCGTGTTCAAAGTTGTTGGTGACTTTTAGAAAATAAAATGTGCGTGGGTTGAGGTACACGGAAGTTTAAGCTCATGCTCAAAATTGATTTTTATGTTTATAAAATATAATGATGGAGAAAGTTTGACATTGATCTAACTGTCAAGGCTAGATAATGTCTGCTTACCTTGCCACCTTTTACATTTCAACAATGATTGCTCCATTTCTTTTGAGATGGACACTCTCTTAAGAATTCCCAATGGTAATTTTGAAATAAGTGGAAATTGTAATGATAAGTCAAAATAAATATAAACATTCTGTACAAAAAAATGAATGACATGTATTGACAATGGATAAGGCAAAGAAAATTATTAGATATGAAAAAATAGACTAAAAATATGGCCAAGCAATCTGGGTTAATAAAAATGCATTCTCATGTAATCTCAAGTAAAGGTTTTAATGGATTAAATTCAGTGGATGCTTCTCAATAACTAAGCAAGATGACAATATATTTGTTATTGTGTTGTATCATTTCATATTGAATTGGAAAACAATGAAAAACAATTTTTGGGATGATCACTGAAAAAAAGCTTTCATTTTGAAAAAAATGATGTTATTAGTTGAGATACGCAAGGAGATTTGGGTCGAAACACACAATTGGAGTATTTTAATATGAAAATGATTTTGCATAACTAAAATTAGTAATCAGAGTTCGTTTTGAGGTGTGTCATTGTGATTTGAAGAGATATGTTGGCCACATATGTAAACTACCCTTTCATAACATCTCGTTATGTCCATCAATCAGCCACGACCATTAAATAGTTTGTCTAGACGCACCTGTTTTATTTCAATTAACAACGAAAGTGTGAAAAAATGATTTCAGTTACGGGCAAATTTGAATTTGATTTCAAAATTAATTAACAGCACGACACATTATAAGCACGATAAAAGAGTTAGCTTCATATAAACCTTTGGGTAATTAGATATTTAAATAAAATTTGTTGTCTCAAAGACAAAACAAATTTATTGGTGTTTGAATCTTTTAATTATTCAGGAGCTAAATATTCATTTAATAATTCCTGTTTGTTCACTGAATGTGTCTATAATAAGAAAACAACCAATAAATGCTCAAAACTTTTGATCTCAGTAAGAAAATAAATTAAATTTGAAAAAGGACAAAAATATTTACAAAAGAAATAAATATGTAAAAGTAATAAAGTTTGGAGATATTTAAATGACAAGGACTTCTTATTCTATGTGTAAAAAGTTTACTTTTTGTTTCTCCAGAAGTAGCACCAATATAACATGTTACAAATATTCCCAACCCACTAACACGAAACTCAACATAAAACTTAGAATGCTTTTACCTTGAATCTCTCTTTTCGCTTGAATCAATAAGTAAATGGAAGAAAGAAGAAAAGCTTTTACTCGTTTTGTTATAGGTTTTGTTATGATATCGTGTGTAACGTGATTCCTGACAGAAAAGATGGCTCGAGGATTTACTCAGACGAATCAAAATAAAATGTTTTTCAAGATATGTGATTACGAGCCATTTTAATAAAATGTTTAGGGCCAAATATATTTTTTCTACATTAAAGTCGCATTTTTTTGAGTACAGAAGTTAATGTTGAGTTTCCAAGTTACTGAAATTACTCAAAATTTATTTCCATAAATAAATCAGCGACAGTGGAAGTAGAATTGAGTTCATTAGAGTGTTAAGCATGTATGCATATAAATTTTTCTATTGATCGGCACTTAAATGAATGTCGTCATTTATTCATGTCGTTGCACTCTTAAAGCAGCAGAAAAATTTTAGAAATGAAGGAAATCTTTATTGAATGTAATATTTTTCCAACGTCAATTTTCATCTCTTAATTAAGCAAGAAATGTTGCTTAAATTATAAATTTTTCAGTCTGCTTGGAACAGAACTTTTTGGTTTACTTTTGGATAATCATGAAATCAAAACTTGTAAAAACAAACTAAAATCAAAGTTTTTCATGATAAAATTAGGATTCCCTAAAAATTTATCAAAACATTTCTTTCTTTTTGAAAAATTTAGTATTTAGGAATGTTACTCTTGAATTCATCTATCATCAGCATTGAAACCTTTTCATGTAAAAAATATAACTAAGGAAAAAAAACAGGTTAATGATAAAATAAACTTTACTAAAGCTTAAAACAATATTTTTCTTAAATTAATTAAACTCATATAAATTCAATCAAAGAAAATATTATTGTTTGTCTTGTGTGTATTTAAATGTATCTAAATAACTAAGAGTCTACTTAGGGTTGATTTAACAATTTTAAAAGTTTTAAATTTGATTTGAAAATATCTAACTTTAAGTTTTTATTCAAGTCGTCGGGATTCCACAATGTATTTCACGTAATTTTTGACGTCACTAATGCCCTATTTTCAAATTTCACCATGAGATACGAAACTAGTCTATTTTCATGTGAAAACTTTTTCTTTTCGGGTCGCTGGCATGCTTCATTTTCCTGTTAATGTCCCAATTGCTGATTCTCGTGAAAAATGTGAACATTCTATTTTTAGTAAGCTTTCAATTCTTCCACCCAAAAAATCCGAAAATGTGAGGAAAAAAGAACACAATGAGTTATTGTGCGAAAATAATCTGTTGTAGAACTGATCGATGTTATGAAGTAGGAGATTGGAGTGAGGTTCCTGTTTTCTGCCAGTGGCAGAACTCTATTGAAGAGTTGGAAAATTATAGTGTGAATAGTAATAAATAATATTAAACATAATAAGCATATTTATAATGTATAAAAAGTTTTTTTCAATTGTTTGATTTCCGCGTCCATGAATTTAATAAACTTTAATAATAACAGCCAGGATTTATTACAAATACTCTTATGAAATATTTTTTAGCTTCAATAATCGATTTTACTTATAAATCGATAACAATTTGTTTGTAATTAACTGCAACTCTTTGCATTCGAGAATGTTATGAATTGTAAAAAGAATTCCATGTGAAACTTTTGCTAAACTTTAAATTCACCGTCAATATTTATTTAAAAATAATGGAATTTAAATTTTATTAACACATGTCTTATGAAATTTCAAACATTAAATGCATAGTGTAGGTTAATACCTACAAATTTCAACTGGAATTCCTTTCTCCATCAATTTACATTGATATTAAATGAATGAAAAGATTTATAAAAATTTCAAATGAAAAATACTTTTCTATCAACTCAGAAACGATTTTATTTGTCTTTATGTTCACTTAAATTATATCCTTTTGAAAGCTCGTTCTTGCAAAACCTGAGTTAGAAATATGATTGCATAACATAGCAATGATTTATATTTTGAAAATGATTGGCAAAAATCCAGAACAGTTAAATAAATTTGTTTAATACTTTTGGGTCTCTTTAATCAAGATTTATATAAAAGGGTGGGTTGAAGATATTCACATACTGTAAAAAATCATAATGAAGCAATGCATTATAGACGCAGCAGTCAAAAACATTAGTTTAAATAGGAAAATTTCTTCCGAATGGCGCAACTGCATTTGTCGTCAAGTAGAACTTTCCTCGAAGACGTCGATCGGCTTTAAATCCCATATAAGCTTCAATCGATTGTAAACATTCTTTGGATTCATTGTTTGTCTGTTCACATCTATCGCTGAGAAAAGCCATAGGGCGTCTAATAGATTCAACAAAATATTGCCACGCACGAACGTGACTACAGCCAACTGTAGAAGGAGAAAAAAGTTTTTATGCTGCTAAGATTGAGATGACAAGAGAATAATTGTCTTACCAACTATGCCGAGTAAATTATTTTTCGAAAGCTCTTCTTGAACACAGCCCGGTTGAAGGGCGACTCCATTGTTAGGAAAGAAATCAACATGCCCAATTGGATAAGGAATGCCAAAAAATCCACCGTCTGTGTGGATGACGTCTAAACCCACAGGAAAAATTGAATAATTTAAAATTAATTTTATTTACGCTCAAAATATCGTAACATACCCACAAATTTGGCATCGCCTGCTGATAAATGTGTGTTCGTATCACCACCCGTAAACAGTGGCATTGCTGGATCTAATCCTGTTAGAGAAAATTTTCCATAATTTTCAAATTAATTTCATTTCTTCAGCTAAGAGCAAGGACACTTGAAAAAACTATCCACGTGCTGATAGTGGATAAAATGTATTGTCAGATGCCTCTTGCGTCTTTCTTAATCATGTCATGCTGCTTTAAACTCTGCGTAACTCATAAATATCATGTCATTGTTAAAATTTATCAAATGAAAGATTAATAATGAAGTGAAAGTGAAATATTTACAGAAAAATGTTTTAAGGCGGTAAATCATTTTGACTTTATTCAATTAAGTTATTCTAAATAATCTTCAAAAGGGTCGCAAAATCAAAATGAAAGAAAAAATAAAAAATCTCATCACACTAATTAATTAGAACTTTTAAGATTTTAATAATTTTATACCGGATTTGTTGAACTTTTACTTTTAACACGAAAAGAAGTTAATAAATCAAAATCGTTTAAGAAAGTCAGTCATGTCGTGAATCATGATGGAAGTCAAATCTCAAGTTTAATTCTTAATTTCGAAATCAAAGGAAAATTTACACTTTGACCTTGTTGATTTCTACTGTTGGCATGGCTTAATGGTGCTTTTCAAATCTTTCTTATTTTTCGGTCAAATCAAATATTGATCGATAAGTCGAGCTGTATAGCTTGTGGGTCAGAAAGCACGCACTATGACGACGAAAATGTTTACATTTTGATTGTTTGCGCTCTGGGTGTTAATGTCGCGCGATGAAGTGTATTTATAATATTTATTTAACTTGTTAAAAATCACGAGACGTACCTTTGCTACATTTCCATGGTTAAAACAACAATAAAGGGCAATGTTTAACATTGCATAGCTACTTTAACCGTTTATTTATAACATTTTTTTTCTGTTGTCATTTTCCCATAATTATTACTTTCATACCATGTAGTTAGAATGAACATTTTTGATTTCAAAGTTAGTATCGAATTAACACAATTTATTTCAATTATTTACCTGTTATTCGAGGTAAAAGTATTCCCCTCTCTTTTAAAGTTTTTCCAGCAAAACCTGCAACTTCCGCCTTTTAAACAATATTTTTAGGAAAAAAAATTATTAATAAAATATTAAAGTTTTACAATACAAGAACTCACCCCTAAACTAAATCCTATGACATGGATGTTTTCCGAAGGAATTCCATATTTTATTAAGAACTTTAAGAATCTTGCGACATATCGACCAACTCGTGGAGTGTTTTCAACGGTATTCGAATACCTTCAGAATGTTTACAAAGAATAACAAATTAAGTAAAAAATTGATTGCAAATTATTACCATGGCAATGCAGCTATTGGACTCCAATCTACGAGGATCACCGAATATTCACCAGAATCTAATAAAGCTGAAATGTTTTTTTGTTAATGAGTATTAAACACTTTGTGGCTGATAATTTAAAAAGTTTTATCTGACCATCTCGTATTTCATAGCTACTGCTTTTTGGAGTTCCTGGTGCGCTCTCTGAAAATCCGTGAATATATAATATCAGCGGGAGAGTTTTGTTTAAACTTTTCAGTCGTTTTTCATCTGACATATAAATTTGTTTTCCTGTTTTTGGGTTGTCACGAGTGAAAAGAAAAAATTTGATGTCCTTCGCTTCTCTCATGACACAACAATTTTCACAATCACCACGAGGTGCGGGGGAGTAAAGTACTGGCGACCCTCCTGTTTGAAACAGATAATGAATAAAGTTACAAAGATATGCAAATAAAAACGAAGTTTACAAATAGCTGAAGATTGTTATGCATTTATTGTTACGATTCATAACCATTGATGGTTTGAAAGAAATGATGACACTTTAGAACATTTTATGAATACATTTTTGATCATTCAACGTGGTCAAATAAAAATGTTTTGATAAAACAAAATTAAGCATTCCCCGTCTCATAGCTGCCAATGGTCTTACTGAGCGAACGAAGACTTTTATGTATGCTAATATATTCAATTTCATCAAATCGCTTCTGTGTTACATGCAGTGTCTGCCTAGTGAAATGTCTTATTTATTTCTATGAATTTCCTTATTGACCGACAAGCACCATAACAAGTCTGGTGTTAACATAACTAAAGTAAAGTTTTACGACCTGCAAAAAGTTGCATAACAGAGAATTAGTTAATTGAGTTACTTTTATCGTTTTTTAAACTCGACAACTATTGATATCTGTTGAACATGACTGTCAGGTTGTTTACTAGCCGCAATGAAAAGACTTTTTAATTTAAAGTCTCTATGATGTTCAAGTTCAAGTTGACGGCAATAAAAATTTTATGTGCATATAGAGAATTCAAGTGTTATCGTATTGAAAGAGGCGACGTAAAATATTGACGATTGGTTCTTTTATGAATAGCAATGAAATCGATTGGATCATTTCTATCTATTGAAAAAAGGTTTAGTTTTATTGCTTGCCATCATTTTTTAGGAGCATTCTTTGAACCGAATTTGAAATTTCTCTTTCCACTAAATATTTATCGTATTTACAATTTCAAATAATTTAGTCAACAAACAGAAAATCTTATTAAGAAATTACCTACATTCCGCCAACACAAAAATTACTGTTTAATGGAAATACTAAACGACCGTCGATGTCGCCTCATTCTTAATCAGTCGCGTGACTAAAATGAATCACACAAAAAACTTTAATAAGAGCATAGGAAAGCAACATTATTAGTCCTGTCCAACATGAATTCAGCACAAAATACGACAACTTTGTAAATACTTTGGGTACTTGAATTTTGCTAACTATTGTTAACTCTTTTGTTTTGTTCGTCTACACTTTCAATTGCATGCACAAGATACAATTTGATACAAGTTTCAATGAACTTGCACCATACATGTTAGCATAGATAAATCTTGCATTTGCCTACTTCCTTTAAAACAACATCAAAAAATGACCATGACTGTCTGGAATGGTTTCACCTCCACTTGAATGTTATCAATTGTTATTCACAACATCCGCGTAAAAGGCATTGATTGAATTTTTTGATGGAATCATTAACGTTTGCAGATATATGATCAACGTGTAACGAAATTAACTCTTTCATTAATTGTCTTCATGCTTGAAAATTGTTGGAATACTAAAATAAACTTTGCCTTTTTTGCCAAGAGGTATTTTGAGTAAATAAGTGAGGTACTTGAAATATGCGCTACTCGACCGTGAACTTTAAAAGAAATGATAAAATTTACCGGTATTAAAAATTTATTGTTTGGGATCACTTACAGAGATATTTAATAAATTCTTACTTTACACATCAAATCTGATATTTTACTTTAAGTAATTTGATATTTTTTATTTTACCCGCGATGATTAAGAGAACACTTGTATCGAATGAATAATTTTAATTTATTTCGATTCAAGTGAAACCAATTTTTTGTTGAATTCTAGAAGATCGTTTTCAATTTTTTATAAACATCGCATATCATTAAATGACGACTGATTTGCAAAATTAGAAGCAAACAGAATGAAATCGTGGAATTAAAAAGGAGTTTAGTTGCCTAAAAGTAAGAAGAAACGTCCATAATTAGATAAAGATAATCGAAAAGGTCGAACTCACACAATTTACAAATAATTTTTTCCTTTGGAATTAAAATTCGCTTATTGACAAAATGTACTCGGAAGATAGGCAAATCAGTTTGACCACAATAAAAAAAAGTATAATTATAAATAATTTGAAGTCTCTCGAGGTTTTTATCGCCTGTTTAACAATCTCTACAATTTTAATGCTACGGTGCTTCCGAAAATAATTTATTCTCTGCTAATGTTATCGGAAAAAAAATACACAAAACTTTGCTTGTCGCTGACGTATTTTGTCGCTCACTAAATCTAGATTATTCTGACATAACTTTACCAAAGTATAATGTGAAGACTGAACATAGTGCGAGATTTTGCAATCCTGTTGTTGGTATTGCCATCTTGATGATTATATTAATTTAAAACGTCACGATTCGATCATACACCAAAACTGTGAATCAAATCTAATTATATTTTGTTCTGCTTTGTTAAAATCTTCGCAGTTATTTAAATCACTAGACTAGTTTTTGAGATCATGAATCACCATTAATAAACGTATCACAAAGAATTTAAATACAATATTTGAATATTCACAAGCTATTTAAAAGAACGTGTTGACTCGTCGACCGTTAACAAAAATATGAGATCTATCAAAATAAATTACGGAAAAATTGGCGAGTTGAAAGAAGAAACAAAAAATAAAATTGAGAGTGGACGATGTGTATCAATGATCGGTGAGAGGTGGGGAAGGAAATGACGATGTTCGTGATATTTAGTATGCGAAGGTATGATGTGTAGGCTCAGAGACGTTAATAAGATGGCAAGTTACCATAAAACACACAAACATTATATGTGAAGTGTTTAAAATATTCGAATCGAATTTTTAAAATGTTTTGCTATGAACTTGAGTGAGCCTAAGGCCATCATGCTTTTTAAACTGCTTGCGATATTTTTAATGACAAATCATATCATCGTAACAATTCGTATTTTCTGAAGTTGAAAAGCTTAGGACGGTTGACATGCATCAGACAAGTTATAAACACAAACGATTTGTCAATAAAGTATGTTAACAAGAAAATTATTCAGCAAGTGCAGTAATTTATAATGACGTTTCAGAATTAAGTACAAAACCTACAAATGCATCGGATATGTTGGTCACTCTTCGTTGAGTTTCTTACAAATCATAAAGAAGTCAAAAGCTTCTGACATTGAAAAAAAAAGAAATCTCATCGCAACGACAATGATTTGTGGTAATTTTCTATTTACTTATTAAGTTATTTCAAGTGCAGGAATCATAAACTGTATAAGATATTTGATATGAACGTATTTAATAAAGATTTCAAGATTTCAAGATAAGTAGATCTTGTTGAAAGTTATTTAAATTGATATCAAATGTGTTAAGGACATGAATTCTTGAAAACTTTTTCGCCTTAAAAACTATTTGAATGAAATACTTTCTTTAGCAGTCAACACCCACAATATCATAAAACTAAAACTGCTTCAAAGTATGCTTACTTTTTTCACGATTCCTTATCATGCGTTTGTTAGTTTAAATAACGCCAACGGGAACTTTTTCATTTCATTAGACACGAGCATAAAATCGATAACTAAACACAGAAAAAAGAAACCTTTCAGAAAATTTCGCGTTTGTCTTTTTGTTAGCATAGCTTTTCATTGTTCGGGATTAATAAAATAGATAATCTATTTATTTACCTGTCATCGTCAAACTTTTGACTTATATAAATATCATTGGGTTTAAACTTAAACGAAGAATCAATATTGTTTCACGTGTAGAGTGGGAGTTCAAATTTGTTTCGATTTTCAGAATTTATTTGTTATCACATTGATGTTGTACATAAATATCTACTCAAAGAAACATGATACTTATTTGTGTTTTAGACATCCGATATTTGCTACAAGATTGCCGAGAAACAAAAATTATCTTTTTCAACATTTTGGTTCTTAATCAATGCAATGATATAAAACAAAATATAACCAAATATCACAACAAGGCAAAAGCGCATTCAAATCGGGCATAGACCTCCGAGGGATTCTTCAAAATAAAATTAATTTCGATGAAAAGCAAGAAAACTTCTTTTAAACATAGTTCAACAACCGTTGAATGCTTAGCGTGGCAAAACATGATTTATGGACAAATGTTGACAATTGCGATTGAATTAAAAAACAATTGTGAATGATACAATAAATCAATCTTAATTATAGCTTTGTTTCCTCGTTGTCTAATTAAGGTTCGCCGCTAATGATCATTTGTTTATTTATTCATTTACATATATTTTGATAATCTGCTTGTAGATGTTTATTAGCAGATTCTTACGCACATAATAAATTTACTTGCGCTATAAATCTTTCATAAAAAATATAAAGAAAGATTATTATGAATGAATCATTTTAATAACACTCTTTTCATATAATTGCAGGAAAAGCTTCTCAGTAAGTTGGAAGAAAGCGAATTGGAACCATCGACAACACAAGAGGATGAATGTGTTATTTGTATAACAAGTCGAGCAACAATGAAGACAATGCCATGTAAGTTAATTGCTTATGAATACTGAATAAATACTGTTCAATCATACATTCATCACGTTGCTCGAAAATTTACTTCAAATAAAAAAGTCATTATCACTCCATGTTTCATTGACAACTAAATATGCATATCCATCTTCTGCTAAAGGTGGACATCAAGTTGTTTGTCGACGATGTTTTGTGAAAACGATACAAAGTGCTGTTGCTCAAAGGCTGTTACCATTACGCTGTGTAATATGCAGAGCACGTATAAATCGTCTTACGTCAAGCTCGGGTACTTGGAGACTTCAAGAATCTGCAAGTAGCTACAGCGTTGGCAGTAAAAGTTGGAGTGTAAGATAAGCTTTATTTGCATTGGAAAGTTCATAAAAATACTCATAAAAGTTCATACTTTGATAACAGGTCCCAGGATCGGCAAGTTCCTATAGCGTGGGTGCTCATTCTTACACCATGGGAGAGAAAGTTGTTCAATCTGCGAGCCTTTATTCAATGAGTTCAGGTTCATCATGTGCATCGGGTACTGAGAACAATCAAATTATTTCTTTTATTCTACTATAATAAAATTATTATTTTCTAGAATATTCAAGTGGATCAGCGAATTCAAAAGCATCAAATGTGTCTTCCTTATCATCAAATGCTTTCGATAGTCGACATAATCATAATCACAATTGTAGTACCAATGGCTGTTTAGGCGCTATTCCTAGAAATCCTTCTTACAATTCTCTGCACATTCGAGGACGTCATAGTCACTCTTTTAGAGTAATTTATTTCCTTTAAAGTTGGATGAACGAATAAACTGCTAAATTTAATTCTTAAAAATTATTTTACAGAATAGAATACCAGATTTGCCAAATCGTTTGCCACCTATAAAAGAATATACTGTAAGAAGTCCATCGAGACATCGAACGCCTTCTCCAGTCAATTCAGGAGTTCGTTTCAAGTAGGTTTCATTACTAAAGTTCCAAATTTGTCAGATTAATTTTAATGAATTTTGCTTTAGATCTTATACATCATCAAAAGCATTCAACGCTTCTGAAACAATTCCACTGTTAGATGAGCCATCGAATACTGCATCATTAACAAATGCAACAAAAAAACTCAGCATGAACAATTCGAAGGTAGCACCAATCATATCAAAAGCAACATTAATTAACAAATCAAGTACTCAACAATCCAGCGTTAAGCCATCGGCATTGGGATTCAAACCTTATACGATATCATCAGCACCTAATACTTCAAAGTCAGCTTCATCAGCATCTAAGCCAAATGTTTCAGTCTCGTCAAAAGACAATAAGAAGAGTGAAGCTAAAAAGAATGAAGAGAAACTTAAGCAGAAAGCTGAAAGAGAAGCCAAAAAGGTGATTTTTATTTGAATGATTGATATGACGCCCTTCAACACTAATTTAACAATAATCTTACAGGAAGAGAAGCGTTTGGCAAAAGAAGAAGAGAAACTTGCAAAGTTGCGTGCTAAGGAAGAGAAAAAACGTGGAAAGATTGAAGCGAAAGCACTTCTGACATGAATGAACTAGCTTCCTAATGAAGTGTGAATCTTCCTTTTCTATGAACATAAAGTGATATCTACTAATTCATTCTTCATTGATTTTCGCTAAATAACATTTTCTCCCGTTTTAAATTATAATAAAAATTAAATTTTGAAGTCTTCCTTTCTATAGTCTCATTTGTATTCTATTGACCGTCCATTAAAATCTTATTTAAAATTTATGAAAAGTCAACCCGTTACATTCAAAAGCAATGATAAATTATTCTAAGTATCTATCTATCTACCTAGATTTAGAATAATAAAAATTCAATTATCCGATTAAAACAATAAAAAGATAAATTTTTAAAGTTTAAAATGCAATTTGAATGACACAAAGTTACTATTGTTATATGGCTCTGCGATGATATTTAAAATATCCTAAATGAAATGTTAAAAATTCAAAGATTTTGCGTTTAACATTTTATTCAAGAACATTTTCTACTATCATCGACGCTGAGTAGTTTAAAACTTTTATTCTACTTATTCAAAATGAAATATTTTAAATAGGATTTTTAAACTGCAAATAGGAACTTTTAGCAATAACAATGATATTTATTCTCAAGCATTTTCACATCAAAATCGAAACGCATATTTAACTGAAATGACCAACAGAAGCCAAATATTATTCCAATGCCATTATTTCATATTATGCTAATATTCAAATGAAGCAGTCAATTTTTTTCTGAGCTTTCATTTTTTAATTAACAATTAATTAGAAAGAAAATCTTTTGAAATTATTGCAAAACGAATTTCAATTTTATTACATAATTAAATAAAACAGCTTTCAATGGAAACAACCTTTGTTCCTTATGAATATAAAATTCTAATTTGCCTGCTTTTTCAAGGATTTTAATATTTTGATAAGCAAGTTATTTAATTAAAGGCATTTTAAAATGTTTATCTAGATGAATAAATGAAGAATAGAAAAAAAATATGGAAAAGAATATCAAATTGAAAAAGAAACTGTTGACATAATAAAGCAAAAAAATATCAAACAAAGAAAATTTTGAATCTTTAATTGACAGCACGTTGTTGATAGTCAATAAAACATCGTTGATAAAATAAGAAGCAGCGTCTCCTTCCTTTTGATTACAGTTCTCGTTTCGATTATCTTGTTGTTTTCAAAAGACTTTCAAGTTTCTGAAATAATGAAATGAATTTTAAATCTTTTTTCTCAACAAATTTATCCATCACTAAGGTCTTTGTTAATTATCTGTATGAAGATTTAAATTACCAGGTTAAGTTTTAATGATAGTCTATAGCATAAATGCAATTTGACTTTGCCGTCATTTTCAAAATGATCATCTCCGTTACTAGTATAATTTGTCAGTTAGGCACTACGGTAGGTACTTAAAAGTTTTATATTATGAGTGTGTAGAATATATACTTAGAAACTGAATATCGCTTTAATCATTCTACAATTAAATGTCATTCCTACTTTGCTCGTAATGATGCCACGTTTATCTTAGATTGAGATTTTCATTTAACGTTATTATAAAAATCACTCCATTTAAATTAATATTTAGCACATTATTGTGTCATTGATCTTTTAATTTGAAGTTGTCATGCTGAGATGATGTTTTCTTATCTTTCTATTTATGTCGTCACATTTAAGAAAACTTGAAAACAGATATTAAACAGTGTGTAAGTTGAATATAAGTAAAGGTGTTTTATATTATTCGCCTTAGTCTTTATTGAAGCATAAGGGATTAAAGTGTTTCTTAATTATACTGAACATTTAAAGAAAATGAAGTTCAAACTTGCTTATATTATTTTGTTTTTGTCTATCGTATTACCAACGGTGCTAGGAAAAAAAAGCAGCAAATGTGGCATAATCGCTGACAAGTGTATGTTATTATCAACTGGAAAAATATTTTGGCCATCGAATTGGGATAAAAATTGCAGTTCAATACCCATCTGCCCTGCTGGTTACAGACTTCATAAAGAAAAATTGGGAGATATTCGTGCATGCTGTTGTTTGCTAACAAAGATCGTTGAATGTCCAGACTGCGAAATGCCAAAGAATAAAAACGTTACCTTCGAAAAATGGGTTAAGCTGCACCTTGACAAAAATGGTCCTCAAGATGGAAAATGTTCTGACGGAAAAATGAAGAGAATCTTTTTTGCTGATGCTGATCAACTGGATAAATGTTGTTGTGAATCCAAAGACAGCCCATTCATATCACAATAAGCTTACTAATATTACTTTTTAGTTAATGTTTCTTTAGTTAAGTTTAAGAACAAAATTGTTGGATCAAAATTGAAAATAAAATATTAAAATATATTTTAATGAATTAAAAGTCGCAATGTATTTCATTTTACAGTGAAACTTTGATGTTAGAATAGTTGAAGGGAACAAGAAAAAACTGTTGTATCGAGGGAAATTGTATCAAGGGAATTTTGTTCCAGATTTTGAACCAGATTCAACATACTATCGAGTGAGTGGTTGTATCGATATCAAGTTAAAAAATATTGCATGAAACAAGTGACTTCAAATGTTGATATCGTATTAATTACATATATTATACTAACAATACTGACCTCACTAATCGCGAATAGCAACTGAAGGGAGTAAACAGACGGCAACTTTGTACTCAACGGTTTTCCCAAAGAAAGACGAAAGTTTCATGGTTTGATCAGTTTCAAGAGTTGTGCTCATGAACAACGACAGTTGCCATGTGTTCAAATACAATTCTGACGCAATAATTAATGTTTCATCGTAAAGTATAATTTATTTCGTCTCAAAAGTTCTGATATTGTTCACAATAATACAAAACAGATGTTTTGATGCCTTTGTTTCTAAGTCATCACATACAATACACGCTTGCCTATCTTGTTAACTTTATGCGGACTTTCCAGACTCTGAAATTGAGAGTGAGAATGGAAATATGTGGCTATTGTGCGGATAGTTTGACAAGTAAAGGGCTTTCTCTGATGTGCTGTTGTCAATCCAAAATGTTTGCAGTTTTGGTGGCAAATTGAATGTCCAAAATCTTTGATTATGTTTGATGATATCATAGGACAAAAAGTTTTTATTATTCAATGCTAATTTCAGAATGTTTTCAAGTTTATCCAAATTTCTCTCTGAATTTTCATTTGTCAGTTCCAAATAAACTTTCTGTAATTTGAAACGCTCTTTGAAGCACCAACATTTTTTAAAAGCATTCTTCATACTTGCTGCCATTGATAAAAGCTCTGTCTCATAATATGAAATCTTTGTGAGGTTGTGCTCCTTTGCATGCACTAAGCAGAGTGTAAAAGATTCCATTATTCTAAGGCTCGTGAAAGAATCATTAAAGAAGCCATAAGGTTCAAGAAAAAAACATAATTGAAGTTTCCCCATCCATGTTTGTGCTTTTTCAAAAGCTTTTTGTCTGACAGAATACAGTAAAAGATTTCCAAAAAATCGAGCACGAGATTCAGTTGAAGTAATCTTATCTATGCTTGTCATTTCGTTGATGTAAAACTCGTTGCATGAATCATAAGTGATGATTGTGAAACCAGTATCCAAAAGCATGTCTAAACACAACGCATGATACCAAGTGAGTCCGTTTTTATCGTTCAACATTTTAACATTTCTCAGAAACTCTTCGAGCAATAACAACGCTTCATCAAATCGTTTCAGACTCATCATTATAAGATACAATGGAGGAACGATCTGAAATTTCTTTGAACTTCAAATTAAAGCAGACAAAAAATAAAATCATCTCACTTTGTTTTGAAGACATGGTGATTGGCTTCGGAGGCAAATATTTAATGCAATCTTTCCAACTTCCATTGCCAGTCGCAATTCATTTCTTGCAATTCTGAAGGAATAAAAAAATAATTAATCTACTTATTTTAGTTCCAAGTTTGATTCCATTTACTCGCTCATCATGATGGTTTGATACAACTTGCAAATTGTTTTTAACTCTCTCAAATATATTTCATCTGTAAAGGTTCGTTTCACCATCTGTGAAAGTGAAGCTCCCTTTAACCATTGGAACTTTCCGGGACCGTCAATGATTATTGTAATTTTAATTACGTTGTTAAAGCTTTCAATAACACCTGCGAAATACTTTTTCAGCTTTAAAATCTTTTCCAAGCTCCAAAAAGCAGCCAATTTTGCAAGGTCATATTGCTTTCGTTCAAAGAGAAATTCGAAAATACATTTCAAGATTTCCGACGATTGAATTGTTATAAGTTCCTTGAGTGCAGAACAATTTTGAGGCTCAGTGACGTTTAAATATTTTTTAATGTTTCTTATAAGAATCTTGAGCTTAATCTTTTCTTTCAAGCCACTAAAATTAATTTAATTAAAGATTTCTTACACATGCAACATCAAGAACTTTACAATGAGAGTGGAAAGCTGATTTTAAGTAATTTGCAAGCTGCGATAATATTTTCAATTCCTTTGTCTGGCTGCATCATCTTCAAAGCACATTTTCCTTGTAACATTGTAGCTTTTGAGTTAAGATAAACTTCATAGAGAGAATCTTTTCCTTGTTGATAAATCTATGATAAAGAATATTAAATATAAATTCAAAAAATCAAAGAATTCACTCACTTTTATTAAATTTGTTGCTTCCACTAATAAAATTTTAGCATGTGGAACATTACAAGAATCAATGCACAAACTTGCAAGTCTGATTTTGAACTCAATGAGTTTCAGCTTAGTATCATTTGAGTGACAATGTCTTAAGAGATTGTTATAAGTTGAGTAAAGAATTTGATTGCAATTGCACGATCGAAAATCATATTCTAAGAAATTCAATAGAATTGGACGAACTTTGACTTCATTCTTATGAAATTTTGGAAAATTCCTAAATATTGATTTATTAATATTTAAATTTGTCACAGGTATTTGGATAGAATTAAAATAATTCATCATTCTATCTATTGAAGTGTCATCAATCAATTGAACTCCATCATGGAATTGAAAATCAAAATTTTCAATTTGAAGTTCTGAAAATTTTCCACTGCCACAAGCAGAACATCTTTTTGTTTCTAAATGTAGAAAAATCAAAGATTTTTTGTGAAAATCCATTCGTTGCTTTTCAGTTAAAGATTGATAAACAACATTTTGGAAATCTTCTCGTTGAAATTTTAAAGCTTTGCAACTTGCATAGTTTGGAAGATCTCGACATGAACGAAAAATGGTTGTGTTGTCACAATTACAATTGATTCTTTTAATTGATTCATTCTCATCAATTATGTTTGTATGACAATCAATGAAAGATGAAGCACACGAAAAAATATGAAGCTCAAAAAGTTTCGTGATTGATTTTCCGATCATTCTCGATGTGCTACTTGATAGTACGTAATGCAACATTTCCCGCTTAAATTGTGTTCCTATAGCAGCTGCACATTTACATACGACTTGCTCATATGGCAATAAAGAATCGAAAATCATCAAATCATTTTCATATTTTGTGCTCAACGAGAATTCATTTGGAGATAAAAGACTTTCCAGTAGCATAGCAACTTTCACAATAGAATTTTTCAAGTTTTCGTTCTCCATTCTATTGCTATAACATTTATCAAGGAAATTCCTTTCAAATTGAATTGAATCTTTTTCATGAGAACTTTTTAATTCAGCATGTTCTTCATAATAAAAGAAACCCTTCTGATGAACTTCAGCTAGAGTCATGCTTTCAATATGTATTTGGTTATTTTGTACTAATGATTTTGAGCACTTTTCAATCCATCCTGGATTCCCATTACTATTCTTACGAAAATAGTTTTCGAGTTCAAATGATAGAGCAGACACTTGAAAATAAAGACATGCCAGCTGATTTTGTATAGCTGTATCTAGTGGCTTCAATCGATAATGCATAATATTCGTTTCACAAAGAAATTTTCTTTGTTCGCCACTCAATCGTTTCTGATGACCCATCGTGGCAAACACGAAGATTGATTTGATAGTCAGCAAACATTCAATCAATGCGAAAGATTCCACATCAATGAAATCGATGCTATCGATAAAAATGACTGAAAATTCTTTAAATGTTTGAACACAGAGAACCTTAAAAATTTCTCTTCTTGCTTTATCAATTTCAACTTCATCCAACAGATTCAAACTCTCAGAAATGAGAAAATTTGTTCCAAACACATCATTTAATAGACTTAACGAGTCATTTACTTCATAATTAATCAATTTTTCTTTGATAAAATTTTCTACGTTGCTTTCATCAACATCCTGTGACGATTTAAATGCATCCATCATAATTTTGTAAATTATTTGATATGAAATTTTTGATTCTTTCACACTTGTTTTGATGCGTAAACAATTCAAATTATCTTCGTGACATTTTGTAAAAATTTCTTCAAGAACTCTGGTCTTTCCTTGTTGTGGATCTCCTTCAATAATCAGACAATTATGCAAAATATCTAAATCTGTTACATTTCTTTGGTTGTGAAGTGAAATTGCTAGACGTAAGAGATTTGCTGCCAATTCAAGTAATTCATCCCTACCAAGAAGTGGAAAATTATATTTTACTGGAATATGACCATTTTCAGCATCATCAAAGATTTCATTGAATTGATAAGCGATTATATTGCTATCCAATCCTTTCATATATTTCTTCTCTAGAATTTTGAAGTTATGCAAAGGCATTCGACTTAGAAGAACAGTTTCTTGGTCACAACTTATAATAGCTGGATAGGCAATCATTAATCGAGCTGCCTTGTTTACAGTCAAACTTATGACTGTATATTCTCTTCGTAATGCATGACCAACAACACCACAATAAGTCATCCCTGAAGTAACACTAATTGAAACTGATTTTATTTCCGGCCATGATTTAAATGTTTTATGAAATTCTGAAGCACAGCTAAGCCCAATTCTTGCTTCTACTTCATGCTTAAGTCCTCGAAGTCCGAAAATTACGAGAAACATCATATCCTTGTCAAAAAGGATAACTTTGTTAACAATTCCTTCGTAATTAATGACTATCCTGTAATGACATCAAAAATCGATAATGCAAATTAGGCACTACTTTATAAAAAATCCAAGGAAATTAAATGTCTACTCGCTGAGTTTCTTGAATATATTGTCGACTATTACTACAAATTCATTTGGAGTTTTGTAAGGCACGACGAAGTTGCTAAACACAATAACGATGTGTCGCATTTCACTAAGATTGTCAATTCCTTCATTTAAATCGATTGCATTCATGAGTGGCTTGATAATGAATCTTCGCAGAAAGTTGGGTGATCGATTATTTAATGTCAAATTCAAGCTTCGTCGTACTTAATAATAAATGAAGGTTTTTTAACATAATTGGTGTATGAAGAAAAATAAAGTTAATCGCATAAAATTAAACGAAATATTTTTACATATTTTATTAAATTCTCTACTCACACGCATAGGAGTCCTTGGCTCGTTCCAGTGGAAAACTGAGAATAGAAAGCTCGTTTGAAATCTCCTGAATGATTGTTGAAGTCTCGCTGATTGTTTTTTCTAATTCTGGTTCAAAAATACTTAAAACTGCTTCTTGTCTTCCTTGACTAAATTCATATCCATCTTTGAATCCCAACAGTTTAAAATATCGAAATTGTCTGTTATATTGATGAATGTAAAGAGATTCTTTTGCAAAAAACATTGCTTTAGATGTCATTAAAATTTCTCCTGATGTCACTTTATTTTCAAGAGCTTTTGCTTCCCAAACGGGATCACCAAAAATAATGTAATTAGAACAATGTGCTTCACCAATTACCGAAAAATACAAATCTCCGCATGTGATAGAAATTTTAACTACATTTATAGAAAAAAACTTCTTTGTAAATTGGAATTTAGAGTTATTTAACAAGTCTTACCATTCAATATCACGCCAATTTCTGTAAGATAATTTCTACATTTATTTTGAATTATTAACGAAGTGTCCATCGCTCGATGAATAGCATCTTGTATTGAGAAATCATTTTCAGCTTTGAATACAGCTATAAATGCATCGCCCGCAAATTTTATTATATCACCATCGTGAGATAAAATTTCCTGCACCATGCTTCCTAAATATGTATTAAGGACAGAACTTAATTTTGAAGCGCCGTTTTCCAGTTTTTGATATTTATCACTGAGATCTGTAAATCCTGAAATATCTGCGAAAAGAATTGATCCTTGAAATGTTTGTAATTTGTAATCGAATGAAGCGATGGCAATATCAGGTAGTAAGCTAGCGATTGTACGAAGTTGTTCCTCAGACAGTTTTTGAGTCAAAGGGTTTCCGATAGTAAAGCGAGTAACATTTTTGCAGGATCTTAATAAAAGTTTCTTTTTCATTCGAGAAAGTTCTGCAAACAGAATTTCTGATGAAGTATCTTCGGAAAATGCTGATAAAGAAGAAAATTTTGAAATTTGCGGCTTTTTAGTAAATTCCCACATTTTGTTTAAGAAACTCCAAATGAGGAAAATAATGTAGGTGAGATAAACCATGAAAAAGCTTGCTGTAAGCAACTTCAGTTTAAAATGGAAAATTAACTGACAAAAAATTTTTGAATAATATTTTTCAGTCTTCGCTTTATTGTTAAAGCTTCGCTTTATTTATGCTGAAAATAATCTCAAGCAATCATTTAGAGTTGTGACTTCGCGATCTCCAAATAAAATAGTTCTCTCTACCCGTAAAGACGCTATTAATAATAATACCTGAAGTGAGTATTCAGAGTTTCTAAAATTTGTTAAAGTTTATGTGGAATAGTGTCAAATAGTTAAAATAAAAGGAATCGGTATTTTGACCTTAATTTTTTTTCGAGATCATATCATTTTGTATTTACGTTACATAGTAACAAAATTGTTTATTACGCAGCATATAAAAATCAAATATTTTAATGTTTTGTTTATACCTTGCATAAATTTCTCTAATATTTCATCAGAAAATGTTAAATTTTTGAGAATTCTCCTTGTCATCATTTTTTGCGCAATCATTAAAAGTTACGTTTTGATCATTGATCAAACAGGCAATAAATAAGTTACATACTTATACTCAATTCATCTTCGTCATTGGATGTAGTGTGCGAAAATGCCACAAAGACCTTTTCTTTTTTTCGCCTTTGCTCACGTTTTTTCTCATTGCTTTGTCCCATATTCGTTACATTATAACGAGTTGCGTTGATTTTGCGCGTGATTCATTCATCTCTTTTGCCTTTTTCTACCTGTAGGCTAATAAGATGGCTCCAATTATTCAAAAACCTGCTCCAATGTTTCGTGGAACGGCTGTTGTCGACGGGTCGTTCAAGGACATAAGCCTATCTGACTACAAGGGAAAATACTTGGTAAATATAATAAAGTAACAATCATTCCAATAATATTATTATAAAGTGAATGAATATTTATCCTTCAGGTGCTTTTCTTCTATCCGTTGGATTTGTAAGTATTGAACAACTAGATAATCACATTAGTTTACTAAATGAGTCGCATTTAATCATGAACTTTGTTTTTAATCTAAACCTAATTGCTAATAAACCGCATTGAATTGATCGCGCTAATAGCCGATAAATTTAACACACATACATATGTGTACATATCTAGTCAATAAACATCTACAATAAAATTCAATGAACCGTGAGAACGCAATTAATCCCGTTAGTAATCACAAGCTCTTTTCTACCTATCTAGATGCTATTAGGATTTCCGTACTACTTCTTTCTACGATGATTAATGAGTTGTCGTGTTTTGATATAATTTTAATCATAACTCCTTGTAAGTATCATGGAGGTTTTTATTTGTTGAAAGAATATTTCAAAATCCAAGGCATGTAAATTTCAAAAATATTTCGTGATAAAGGAAAGACGTAAAACAAAGTCATGTCACTTTAATTTAATGCAAATAACTAACATTCAAGTAATTTTTATTTCGAATTTCCAGCACTTTTGTATGTCCAACTGAAATTATCGCATTTTCCGAAAGAATTCAGGAATTTCGTAATATCGATTGTGAAGTTGTCGGAGTCTCAACTGACTCTCATTTCACTCATTTGGCTTGGATTAATACTCCAAGAAAACAAGGTGGATTAGGAAACATCGCATATCCATTGTTGGCTGATAAATCTCTTGAAACAGCTCGTGCTTATGGCGTTCTTCAAGAGGAATCTGGAATTTCCTTCAGAGGCTTATTCATCATCGATGGAAATCAAAATTTGAGACAAATAACCGTCAATGACTTGCCTGTAGGACGATCTGTTGATGAGACTTTACGTCTTGTTCAAGCTTTCCAATACACTGATGTGCATGGCGAAGTTTGTCCAGCCAATTGGAATCCAAAAACCGGAAATTCCAAAACGATGGTTCCTGACCCAACTCGCTCAAAAGATTACTTTAATAGCGTTAACTAAATTACTCACGATGCATGGCATCAAACAACCCCATAGATAAAACAATCTCATTTGTGAATCTTCATTTTACGTAATCTTCTGCATAGCAATCGGAATAAGCCATCAGTATTGAAAATATCAAAGAAAAAAAAGCTATTTATGGAAATAAAAATTTTCATTGTTTAACAACATCAAACTGTCACTTTTTATATATTCCTTTTTCAGCTTTCTTAAGATTTTGTCATCACTAATGAGTTTAAAACTGTTTTGTGTTTCTTCAAAAAATCATGAACATTTTTCATTTTTTACGTTTTTGAGACAAGATCATCAAGTCATAAGGTCAACATTCTAGTCAGTTTTGAATGAGATCACATCATCACGTGCATACTTACAACGATTTTACAAAAAAAAATTAAATATTGTAAAGATTCCTAGCTAAAAATAAAAAAATATTTCATTAGTTCATTCACAAATTTCAAGAATTTTTTAGGATTTTTGCTTGGCAAAATTATTCACGACTGTTAGCTTAATTGTCAGCTACTAAATGAACTTGTAACATCCTGAATCAGGGGAAAATATTTAAAATTTAAACATTTCTTTCTTCTCGAAAATGAAACACAAAATTTAGGCTTTTCTTTCATTCTATCTGTTTGTATTTTTCACATCAAAAAGAGTTTTATACGGATATTAAATAATTCAAATGAAACATTTAAAAAAAAATTCAAAAAATATCATGAATAGCACAGTTGACGTTCACTTGTTCAGACTAACCAGCATTAAGTTGAGAATTTTTAACATAAGAAGCAAGAGCCTCCGATTGATCCATAACAGATATCGATGCCGTAGTTGAAGTCATAGGCATGGAGCTGATTGGAAGTAAGTTTGAGAGTTGAGAGTCAACAGGCATTACAGCTAGAAGCTGAGCTATTTTTGCTTTCAGATCATCCAATTGGTTATCCTTGTTCCTGAGACAATCTGAAAATGATTAATTTAATTAATTTGATTTACTATTTAAATTAATGACGTTTGGTCTTACTCTCTTTAATCTCAAGTTGACGGCGTGCTTCTCCTAGAGCTGAGAACAAATCTAACTTAACTCGGGTTTCAGCTGACAAGTTCTTTTCCAATGTGGAGTTTTTCTCCTGCATCACAGACAATGCCGATCGTAACATTTCGGTGTTTTGACACTGATCACGATTTCGTAACTCATTCTCATATTTACGCATCTGACACAGTTTATTCTAAGTGTATTACAAAAGTTTAAGTTGCTTTATGATTAAGAATGTTTTCATGTCTCACCTCATGTTCGTAGAGTCGATTTTGCTTCTCTAAATTTTGCTTCGATTCTTCAATTAACATAAGTTCTCGTCTCAGTTTATTATTCTCACCCTCCATTTGAATCTTCTTCATTTTGCAACTTTCTGCACATCGTGTCATGTTTGCTTTCTCTTCAGCTTGTTTTCTTAATTTCTTTTCTTGACTTAGTTGTGATTCAAAGAACTGACGATTCCGTCGCTCTTGAGTTTGAAAATCAGAAATTCTTAGGAAAACAAAAAAATAAAATCAATTGAAAATATTTTAAATTCAATATGAACTTACTGCTTTTGAGCGTCTTCGTTATCTTTTTGTTTTATTTGTAAACTGTTTTTGATCGTCTCAAGTTTCTGTTTGGTATCTTGTTCCAAAGTTTTGAGAGTTTGAACTTCCGACTTAAGACGCTTTGTCTCTTGTTCCAACTTCTGACACTGTTCACAAACCTTGGCTTTTTCATTTTGAATGTTATTTGTAGCTTGCGGCTGATGTTGCTGATGATATTGCTGATTGTCTTTCTGTTTTTCTTTGCGCTTTTGATTAAGTGGTGACTCAATCGTGTCCTCATATATTTGATCTTTAATTATTTTCTCTTTCTCGTACTCTTTTTTACAAGCATTTGAACTTATGTAAGTATTATGATCATCCTTACTCTTGTAAGGTGAACACTTATTCGATACATTGAGCTCTTTTAATGAACTTCCAATGCCATTTTGAATTTGCTGATATGATGTCGTGTTGGTATTCTTCACACTCTGCAAATTATTGAAATTCAGATTGTTCGATTTTGTTCCTGGTTTACTTAAAACAATATTGTTGGGTATCGTCTCGTGCTGATGATTTTCAATATTCTGAACGAACCCATTTTCCTTTTCTGCATTCTTCTTAGAATGATGCTTGTGATTACTCGTTCCATTCATATTCGTTGACGAGAGATTATCGATCAGACCATTTGTCTGGTTGCTTTTATGATGATTCTGATCGTTTTTAAAATGTGGAAGGTTTCCATTGCTTGTCACTGGTACAACTTCAATTTGTTCTTGGCTCTTATCAGTCTCTTCTTGTGGAAGAGCTTCTTGCAAAAGCTGCATGTAAAATTCATTTTCCTTGGCGATTTCTTTTTGCTTTCTCTGACGTATTCGGTAGCCTATGTAGCTTTTAAACCCAAATCCGAGTGTCACTACAGGATATCCAATACAATGAGCTGCAAATGGCCGACACAGATCTAAATGAGGCATGTTTCTATTATCTTTCCATCGAATCTTTGCCTCCATCCATACAAACAGAAGCCACAAAATTATTGTTGGCAAACATATTCCTTTTTCTGTATGAATCCAAACAAATTGTATCCAAACGTAAGTTGAGGCTACAAAGAAGATCCACTGAACTGGGATGAAGAAGAGACAAACTAAATCACTGGTGATGGCAATGCAAATGAATAGAAACGAGAAAGCCTAACATAGAGAAAAGAAAAAAAAAGTGTGATGACTTTTATGTTAAAGTTAACAGACAGCTGGAAATTTTACCAATCCTTTGTATTTGTAAGAATCATATAAAGATCGAAGAAGAAGCCAAAATGGCCAGAGGTATTCAAATCTATAAAATATGAAATTTAATGTAATATGATTAGTGCATCATTTAATCGATATTTTAATTAGCTTACCTTAATTCAGAAATGTAATCACAAAAAATAACAGATGACCAAATCAAAATGATCTTCATATAGAAAAGAGTTGTAGAACTAGAATAATAAATAAATAAATTTTAGATTTCACAGACATAAAGTTTATGTTGAAATTTTTTATATCAACAGTTGAAGGATTAATTTTAATATTATGCAATTTGAGATTTTTTCCTTTCTAAAGTTATAAAGACATTGCAAAACATCTTAATTGCAATACACAATAAGTTTAAATGACTGTAAAGTCTGTAAAATTATGAACAATAGAAATTGATTTCAAAGGCACGGAAAATTCTTCATTCATTTTGTGGAAAATTCTCTAACGAGGCCTTTCCATTTCCTTTGCTCCGGTTTCCACGACGAAAATTAATTTACCTGTTTCCACTCAATCCATTGTTACGTTTAATCGTTCTTCGAAGTTTACCACCGGCATCAGTTCTCCGTTTCATGATTTAAATATCTTGATATTGTTTTTTATGCATCAAAATACACTTTTTATTTACGTCTATCGAGGACGGTTTATTTTTTTATGACAGGGTATACAAGTATAGACATTTATGAAAGTCAAAGAAGTTTATGCATACCCCTGAATTCCACGGAAATTTTCCTAAGCGGTTGTTGATGTTCAAAATTCTATGAATATTGATGTTTAACGTACTTTAAACTAACTTGCACTATCTAACATAATTTTCCGAAAATGTCATTAAGCTTATTCTCATTATACTCTCTAGCTTAATTTCTTTAGAGCAAAACCATCTCATCATAAATGTGCGATTATAATGGGTAATTAAAATATAGCAACAGCTAAAAATTGTCAAAAATTTCAAGTGAGTTTCTCGTTTATTGTTATAAGGTCTCATTTTTAAATGACAAGAAAAAATTATTAAAGTTGATTAGAAAAAAAGTTCTCCCAGAGAATTATTTAGAAAATAAAAGGAGAAAGGATAACAGCATACATATAATAAAATTAATATAAAATATCTAATTAGAAATTATGACGATGAGATATTGTAATGTTCTTCTCACATGCACTTGATTTATTTTGGAGTTTGTTGATTTTTTTTTGGATTAAACAGATTTGAATTCAGGTTGTTTTAGATTACGCTGATCGGTTTTCCTGAAAACATCAACAAAACATTTAAACATTCTTTCAAAACATCATCAAAACATTACCGGATTGTTTTTTATTTTCTTTCCTCTCAGAAAAATCATTTTAGTCTTGAATTGCCTGCGTACATGAAAGCAACAAATATTCAGTTGTTAAAATAATATTCATTAGTTTCATATAGTTAAATTTTCTTACTTTCGTGATAAAGTGCGACGGTACGCGAATCTTACAATGGCGTAAAAAATCAAAGCGTTACATATGCATATATCTATATATATATATACTTACATATATATAAAAAAATATATTAATTTAAGTGATTCTTAATCTGTGTCAAATTAATAAAAAAAAGTGATTTAAGTTAATGTGATTAGCAAATTCTGATTTGAATGTCTGAAATGAAATAAGAATTGGATGCACATTCTATATATTGTGCTAAGTTTATTTTTACATGTAATTGGATATTACTGAAAGTTAATTATTTTTGGAAATTTTGGATTTCTGTGAATTAAGAAAAGCAAAATAGTGAGTCTGGAAGTTGAAGAAAGAGGAACAAAATTGAGTATGGCAAGACGGAAAACAAGTAAGTTGTAAAAACTTTGCAATCATTTGTAAAAATAGTTGAAAGTGTATGCATTTCTTTGGATTCACCTTAAGGCAGTGATGACGTCAGTCTCTGCTATGACAAATAATTGGAATAAATAAAAACTACAAACTTACGTAAAGAAAGAATTCCAATAGAGACGAAACAATTGATAGTGACTTAGTGTTAGTGAGCGAGCCGAGTCACATACACATTTAAAGAATGGGGAAACTCGAGACTTTATTTTATTTTGTTTCTGTTCGTTCACTGATGCGATGGAGACTTGTTTTTGTATATATTTATACAATGGAACATAGCGTCACGAAAGCAAAGCGAACAGTTCTTGTTAATCGTCAAATGATTCGCGAAAATACTGACATGTTTAAATTTGAGCTTTTGAAAAATCGTTTAATCTTCATTGTTTTAACATTTTAGACTAATGGTCGGTTGGTTCAGAACAACATCTATTTGTTTTATTTATGAAATAATTAAAATATTTATGTAGATATTTGCTATAACATTTCTACGATTATTGCATCAATTTTTTGTTTAATAAAAGGCACTTGTTAGGTCACGTTAATTTTTTATATGATTGGATGACAATGATATTTTCTACCTTCATTTAGTTACAAAGCATCATGCGTCACTTCATGATGAGATCAAGAAATTTTGAGAACATTCTAAGAAGTATGATGATGATGCTACACATTCAACGTTAAGGCATCGAAATACGTCGTTAAGTACACAAGAACAAGAACAGGTGGTTCTTCTTTTTATTTTTTACCTCTACTTCTTTGATTTCATTGGAAATCTCTCAGCTTTTTTATCTTCATTGTTGATTCCGAACGGGAGGGTATATTAAAACATCGCTAGCCAGTTTTCCGAAACATTTTTTCCTCGTTTCTTTTATCGGCCTTTTGAAATCAAAATATCGTCAAAGAAGGAATACCACACGGTCTCCAGAGCGCGAACAGAAACTCGTTTCTTTAAATGCCTTTCGATTTTTGTTTTGTTTTTTGTTGCTCTTTGAAAGAATTCATTTCTCAAAGGCACACATTAATAAGTGATCGTGGCTCCAACGTTTCACCGACCGTCATGAACTCTTTACTTACTTGCTCTTCTTTCTTACATCGTGTATCGAGGTCCGGTGTTATTGTCTTGAAACGACGTTCGTTCTGTTGAAAAACATCAAAAGAAAAACGGCAAGAAAACTTGTTTTCGCTTATATATTTTTTTAAATCGATTAATCGACAAGTTTTTCTCTTTCTCACTCTTCGTTCATCTTTCTGAATTCACAATTTGACAATCAACATGATGTGGCTCTTCTTGAGACTTTTTATAGCTCACACGAACCATTTTTTTCTTTATTTATTGGAAATGACGACAACCATATGAACATTAATCGATGGGATAGATGCTGTTGAATTTATAATTCTCAACTTTATATGTTTGCCAAATGTCAGTGGATTTTGCTCTACACCTGGTGACTCAATAGTTGCGAAATGTTTCATTTGTTTGTTTTGTCTTATTCGTCACATAAGCTTAAAGGTAAAGACCTACGTTAAGTACTGTTCAACTGCATTTTGATTAATTTAGTTAAGGTAAATAAATATTATGAAAAAGGAAGAATAGAGTTGTATGAGTATTTAACTGCCCAACAACTTGAGATTAAACAAACGCCCAGAAATAGTTTCTTCGATTAAAAACGAACGAGTTTACTTTGTTTTCAAGCACCCATGAAAGTTCAGTTGCAATATTTATTTTTCAATCATATGCAGCACAAACTGTCAATTCATTGCAACATGTCTCTTGGTTCGCATAAAATTAGTGAATAAAAGAATTTCTGGTGGGAGAGGAACTATCTAATTGTTATTAAATATTGAACTTGTTTTGTAATGTTTTTGTCAACTGCTTGGTTCGTTACAAGAGTTACAAGGAAATAACAAATCAGAAAGTATTCCAAATTTTACTCTTTCGTTCATTTTAAATGAATTCAAAATATGCTGGGAAAACTGCATTGCAGACATGCAAAGTCAAAATTTTGAATTGAGTTATTAGGATCATGTTTTAAGTGACATACCTACACACAAATGAATCATTTTAAAGAATTTTCTTATTTAATTTCTGCAACTTTTTAAGCAGTTTCTTTGTCTTAGGGAAAAGAAAGAAATGCGTCGCATTCAAAATCAAATTTCTTGTTTATATTTTGTGGTGACAATTCTTATCATATCAAATTACGTACATTAGTTTATAAATTAAATTTATAATATAAGAAACACAAATATTGAGCGCTTTAAACATTTGCTGTGGCGGAAACTGTTGCGTAAGAGAACTGATAAGAAAATTAATTGCTCGAGAGACGTCACACTTTAGATATATTGCGGTGAAAGCTTACAATAATAAGAAAAAATATAATAATTTACTTGTAAAATTATTACGTCGAAGGAGATTCCAGTTTGTATCAAGATCTGTACTTTTGTCCTCACTCATTCGTTCGTTATAGACTTGGACGTATTTCTTCAATTTTTTNTGAAAGCTATTATAAGTAAGTGGTAATCATTCATAACTGGAAGTGGCAAAATGTTTTCAGAAAAAAGTTCTAAAGAAGGTGATAGTCTGCTTTTCATTTGAATAAAACGAAGAACTTTTTTCTGGGCTACGAAGAGAAAATTTTGTGTAGTTGTCGCCGCAACACTCCACAACGGATTCATAAATATTAGATGCGAATAAATGTACGCAAAATATAATTGATAAGCAGTTTTTATTCCTATCACTTTTCTTATTCTTCTAATAGCATAGATCATAGGAGTAACTTTATTTTTTATTTGCTCGATATGTTTTTGAAAAGTTAATGACTCGTCAATTAAAAGACCTAAATATTTGTAAGTTTCGACTCTTTCAATCTTATTATTGAACACTTTGATATTCAGTGATTTTTCCGTAAAATATTCAAATCTTGCTCTTCCCTGAAATTGTAAGTAGCTGGTTTTGGTAAAATTAATATCTAAGCTCAGTTTGTTGAAGAAACATTTAAGGGTTACTAAATCATCGACGATTGAATCTCTTAGGTCTTTTGGATTAAGTTCGCCATACGAAATTGCTATATCATCAGCATACATTACGTCGAAGGAGATTCCAGTTTGTATCAAGATCTGTACTTTTGTCCTCATTCATTCGTTCGTTATAGACTTGGACGTATTTCTTCAATTTTTTGTACTAGTTAAATGATATAGAAAGAAAAGATCCGAAAGAAAGGTTAAATGAGAAAAGAAATCATCATAAAATCGCACCAACATCATCGTGCATATGTTGGCAAGTAAGAATAAAAAGAAATATGAATACATAGACATAAACACCCAATCCGCTTGTTGAACGACTGAAGCACAGCAAGAGAGCTCGAGGAAAAAAGAGAACGAGAAAATGTAAAAAAAAATTTGTCGAAGCGACACATTGGCGCCAACAGGCTAAAAGTAAGAGGGAACTATATTCAAGTGTTGGCTCTTGCATCCGATAACATTGAGATGTCAGTGCGGAAATAACGTGACATTTTGCAGGTGGAATGACTTGATTCTTCATGAGATTCTGCGTCATTTTCAGAACAAATTTTATTTATACTTTTATTCGTTTTCATTGTAAGGATGTTTTATGAATCATCGAATATATGAATTGCAAAGGATGCATGCTTCGATGAAAACATAAAAGAAGAACACTACAAACAGAATGAGCTAACACATTGCAAATTTCATCTTAACACATAAAATTATGCTTCACTTTTACCTCCTGAAGATTCAGTCGAAAGATTCCAGTTTTTGTTTGTTTTTTTTTCTTTCTTTTTTCTTCTTTTGCTTCAAAACGAGAGCATCTACAAGGCATGAAGCGAAATAAACAATTATTGATGACGTGACGCATTTGAACTTTTTTTTTTCTGGCGAGAACGCATTGATGAAAACGAGAAAAGAAGTAAAAATGATGTAAAATTCATGGCACGATTCTCAGGGTAGAAGCGAAGCTCTGAATGATATTAATGATCCACGTCGCAAACAGTGAAGTAAAAGAGCTCAGAAAGAAAAAAAAGAACTTAACAATAAATGAAAAAGAATCATCAATTTCATAAGAAGACGTTTCATCTCCAAGTTTCACCCGGGCATGAAGAAATGGAGAACGAAAGGAGGAAAGAAAAGCTTAGTGATCATTGACATTGAAGTTTTGTTTCTTTATTTCACCGCATTTTGGTAGCAAGAAAAATAAAACGATGACAGAATCAACAGCATCTCTCATTGAATCGTAATTTGTTTTCCGTTTGTATAGCATACCATCAACAAAGAGTCGCTTTTTTCCGAAACGATGGATGGGAAAATTTGCAGATAACAAAACAGCGCTTTCAGGGAATCCCCGGAGAATATTCAGCACTCCCTTTGCTCTTTAATCATTCCAATTCATCTCTCTCATCGACCCTTGATATAAAAAAAGGAAAAAGCCGCACTGAAGAAAGGAAACTAAATAAATGGATGATACTTGTGCTGATTCAAGAGAATGTATAAAAAATTTGTGGAGGTTGAGGGTTTTGTGTGATCTCAAATCCATGAAAAAATGGCTTCGTGAAAAACGAATACCACTAAATTTTTCCCGGACTTTTGATTGAAAATAAATTAGTAATTTTCTTGCTCTTTGGAACCAGTGAATTGAATAAATTATATAATGTGTTATAAATTTATGAATATTCATATTCAGAGAGTTCATTCCAACCAACTCTCCCTTAAATATGTAATTTAAAAATCCGTTGTTTAAAATTTTCTTCAAGGGATGTTAAAAATTATCAGAATATTGCGTGTTCAATACAACAGCGGAAAGAAACAAGTCAGAAAAACAATTGGGGATTGATGCTCGGTAAACGAACGAGACGAATTTTTCATCAGCTATTATTATTTTCTTCTTTCCGCTCCTGAAAGAGCATTGAAAAGCCATGCGCCGTGTAGGAAAATAAACTGGAATGAGGTGGGATAGAGCGGGAAAAAGGATGAACGTTCAACACCATAATCTCGGGTTTTCCGAATTGAAAAGGAAAAAGAGAAGTTTTCCTCGTGCTAAAACCTTTGCCATAAAAGGGCGATAAAAACAGAGAAAATGGAAAGAGGAAACATCATGAGTGTAAGGTGGTGGATGTCTCTGACAGACAATGAACCAAAATCAGTCACGTCTTCGTTTCACTTGAGCAAGAAATTAAGGTTTCATCGTAAAGAACAACTAAATGTTTGGTGGTCCGTAGTGTGCGTTGCGATTACGTGACAGGTGTTTACATGATAAAGATTCAAGAAGAAAAACATTCCTGCAAATGTTTCGCTGTTTAAGAGAAAGCGAAAAAGATTCCGTCAGTAAAAAATTAAAGAGAAAAACCAATAAGCAGACTTAATAGCTGTTGAAAAATGTTTCATTTTTTCCTTTCATTTTGCCACAACAAACCAAATCTTAAAAGATTCAATGTTCTTACATATCTTGGCTATTTTATGACCTCTTGCTTTTTGTTAGAAAAAGGGAGAAAGGGAATTTTGATCTTCTTTTAGATTGTGCCCTGGGAAGCAAACAACAAAAGCAGTAAAAAGGAAAATCCCTTTTATGGTTCAATCGCGTCCTTCTACATCTACATTCATCACCCATGAACCTGAACCCATTTATTTTTGTTGTTGTGTTATATTCTTCCTTCATCTTCGTCCCAAAACAATGTTACTACATATATACTCGAGCAGAGCCAAAATACACGATTATACTTCAAACAAACGACAAAAATACATTCAAGAGGGCGACGCTTACGAGACGGAATTCCTCAACAACAAGCGTGTGTGGGAAGAAGAAGAGTATCTTTTCCGATGATATTTCTTTGCCAACGCATTTGACTCGATTGTAAAATTTGTTTTATTTAGTACCAACAGAAAATCTATTTCAGAATATCTGCTATTTTATTATTAAAAAAATCTCGTCAAATTTTCAAAACATGAAAAGAATTTCGACGAAATCTTATCATTAAGCAACTTCCATTGCATTCAGAAATATTTATACTATTAAAGAACAAATGATATTTTAAGTCAATGAGAAATGTTTCTCACTATTCAATTGTTTCTTTTCTTCATGTTGATTTAATTTCTCAAATGAAATGTCTACAACCACGTAGTTATGAAATCCTTGAACGAAATCAAAGTCTTAGTAAGATGCGAGCATCAGTAAAACTTTTTTAAAATGTAGTGAAAATATATTTTTTTGCAATTGTTTCATTGAATAGAACCAAGCTTGTGATTATGATAATGCGATGATAAAGACGAGGGATGCAAGAATTAAATATTTCTTTCATGGGTGGAATTTCTTATCTTAGACAATCTTCACCCCTCAGAAATTAATTCATTATCATTTTCATTTCACGGTTGCCAATGACATTTTAATTAAAGGGCATGAAGAGCGTAACAATTTGCGTCAGATTGGAAAATATAATTGCGACTTAGGAAGAAGATAAGCGAAATCAACTCGCATGCTGCTTCTTTCTAAGCAGTGTTTTTGGGTATCGATATATCGTATTAGTTTAATCTCATCAATTCGATTTTTAACTATGACGCAATTCACACTTCTCGTTCTGCTGTCGATCTATATTTAGAATCAAAAGCAAGACAGAAAGAGATTTTTCGTGAGTCGTCTCGTAAAGGGAAATTCCCAGAATTATTTTCAATCGTTACTTAGTTGAAGAATGTTTGTAATTGTTGCTAGAAGAAGAACAAGAGACAAGAGATAAAAATAAAAGATTTTGAGCAGGTAGAAAATCCTTAAAGGATGTGCACTTGATTTTGGGTATTTTTCCTTCGTTTTTATATTTTTTACCACACCATAATGAAGCAAAAAAAAGAAGAAGAGCATCGCAGCAGTATTTTTTCTTAAAATTTCTTCTTGAAAAGATCACAAGACGTAAAGACAATAAATTTCATACACTTGACTTTTCTTTTGTTTTGTGCAGGCAAAGATCCCAATCCAAAAGGTTCGTTCAAACTTTCGGCATTTTACCTCATTTTCCTAAAGAAAACGATCTTTTGCTGATTTTGTTTATCATTTTTGAAAAACAATTCTACACAGTAGATTCTGAACTTCGTTGTGATCATAAAAAATATTCAAAAAGCTGTTTCGCAGATACATCATGAATATTCGTCATTTTGCCTTGAGAATCAAATAAAGCTGAACAAGATTTCTTCTTTCCCAAAAGTTAATTAATTCGATACTTAAAATAATAAAAATAGAAGCATTCTGGCTTCTTCTTCATCAACACTAAGATGAAAATGAAACGAATTTTCATGATGTGAACCTTAAATTATCGACGACGACTCGACTTGGGGCTATCCCAAAGTAAATAGATATTCATGCAAAGACGCTGAACGTGTCTATTTTTAAAAGAAAAAAATCATTACGTCTGCACATTGCTCGAAAGGAATTTCTACGAAAGAAAAAACAAAATCTTTTTATACAAACAGAAAGTCAAAGGCGAATTTTTGTAGGAAAGAAATGACGTGACGCTGAAAATTTATAGAATGAAATTAATTATGTTATAACAAACGATATGAAAAAGAAACTCCTGAAATTTCCTTAGAAAATCTTTTAAAAGCACCAAAGAATTTTTGTTAAACTTCCAAATCTGCGAGAAGTTTACAAAAAAGAAAAAAATGTTTATATTCAGATTAAAAATAGTTTAAAGAAAAGTTTTTTTTTTCTAATTCTCATAATTTTGATGATGAAAATGCGAAGTGAAAAGATAGAAAAGTTTTTGAAATGAAATCAAGTTTTAGAACAAGAGCTTTGCGTTTGTTAAATTTTCACGTGCAAAACTATTCATCTTGGCGATCTTTATTAAAAGATCATCTGTTGAAAAACGGAAAATATCTCATCTCCTCTCGCATTTTTTTTTGTTATTGTTAAAATGAAAATATTTGCGGGAAATTCGTATGAATAACATTGAGTTTTGAGAATTTCGTAGGAAAAAGTTACTAACTTTCTTATTTCTTTTTTATTTTTCAGAATCAAATGTCAAAAAACCATCAACAGGTTCAGTGACTGCATCTTCCAAAGTAACAAATCACTCAATAAAAGGTGAGCATTTATAATTATCTGATCACATTGATGATAAATTGAAAACAATAAAATGTGTTTAAATTTGTCAACCAATCGTAGAAGATTCATTGAAATGAAATTTCTTTAAATTTTGCATTAAATAAAGTGAATGAGTGCTTTCGTAAACTGATTATTCAGTGAACTCTGAGCTCGAACAGAAAATATTTTGAACGCATTCACTTATCACAACACACACACGCACATACACACACGCCATTAAATAATTTTTTTACTCTTAACGAAACAAATCTGTCATCAACATCAACATGAAAAAAAGCGAATTCTTTACTTGAGATTCTACACTGGCATGAGTCGCTAACTCGTTAAAGAAAATCAAATAAACGCGCCATTTAAAATCTATTTCGCACACAACCATCCTTAAAAAATTCAATTGAGAACTCGAGTTGGGTATTTTCTGGGCTCCGTCCGATCTTTATTGGAATTTAAAAAGGAAGCAAGAATATTTAATCGGGTTTTGCTGTTGGTGATGACTTCATTCGGTAAGAATTAGTCTATAGAGTAAACAACATCTTGAGAATTGGAAAAGCTTACTCATGTGCAGAGTTATCGCGTCCAATCGTCTGAAGGCAAATTGAATTTATAGAAATATCTACTTAAGTCAATAGACGTTCAATTTTTTTTATTCATTTTCCAACGATATTTTCTAACATTTCAAGGAATATCATAATGTGTCTAAGTTGATTTGGGTATTTCCAATCAGCGATAAAATAACAGCCTAAAATGCGTCACATTTTCTTGATAATATCTTATCATTCAAACAGAGATGGACTAAAATAAACTTCAAAGTTATTAAAGTAATGCCTGATTATGATTTTTAAATTGAAATAATTTAGAATTTTATGATTGATAAGGCATCGTGTAATCATTTTTATCGAAGTTTGCTTCATACTGAATCACTCACAAATGTTGAATCAAAGAGTTTTTCTACGTTATCGATATGTTTATCACTTGAAATATCGACACAAGTACAAGAAAATATATGTCGTGATGTATAGGGTATCACCAACAGAGGTGAATTTGTTAGTTGGGGACTCGATAAAATTATGAGAAAACCAAATAAATCCTATTTCGTTATTTTTTTTCTCTCTTATCTAATACAAGACACGAACAAAAAATTTAATATTATCAACATCAGCACACATTCGTAACAGCCGATGGCGATGCTATATATCAATTTATATATGTTTCTTTTTATTTATTTTACTGCCGTATTTTCTTTATTTTTTTCGCGATTTTTTTTCGCTGTTTTGCGACAATTCAGTGTTAGAACTCCATCAGTTTTGTGTGGTTTAAACTCTGACTATGTAGACATTTTTATTTTTGTCAGTTATAAATTCAAACTAAAGTGAGGGAAAAGGAAGAAGCGATAAAAGAATATACGAAGCATTGTTGATTGTTGAAAGTAGAAGAATCAGTCGTTTCATTTATTTGACTCTCGCATGTGCTTTTCTGCCACGGTTCTCCGCGGCCTTGTTTATTTTAAGTTTATTGTTGCGGAATTCAATCTTTTTTTCTCCTCTGCTCCCTCTCGAATTGGACGGGCACATATGTAAATTTTTGTTTGCAAATTTATTAGCGACATATCACATCATTTGCTTGAAGAAGTCATTTGCTGAGGTGGAATGAATTTTAAAACGAAAAACTGGTCAACAAGTTGGCAGGTAAAAGGAATTTCATTTTGCTTAATTTTTTCTCTCTCTTCCTCCGACTCTTTCTCTCCTCACAACAAACGTTCGTTGATTCATAAAAAAATTGTTAGCTAAATGAAGCACCGCAAACTTTCATTTGTGAGCTTTCAGATAGAATTTCACAAACGATTATTTTTTTTGATTGCGTAATCAAGCATTTACTTAAATCGACTACATTTTTGTTCCACATATTAAACAGTAACAATAAGACGACTAGTCACTAGTTTATATTATGTATAAATATAATTAGCGGAGTTTCTAATGACGTTATCTTCATTTAAAAAAGTATAAAATGTAAAAGCACGTGTAAGCTACTAAATAATATTTTCACAAACCCAAAGTCTTAATCTAGAAAATATTTCATCTTAAGCTTTCATATGCTTCATCAACAGTGTTTCAGATTGTCTTTGTTGACATTTTTTTCTGTTTGTTGCTTCAATTCCTCACCCCCTTAATAGATTACAGGCGACAGCTTTCTCACTGGCGGGAAAATATATAGAAATTTGTTGCTTCCGAGAAAGAAAATTTTACTTTCAATCAACAAAATACTCCGAAAAATATTCCACTTCACTTATTTAAGTGATTCCAGAAGTTACGATGCAAAGTCTAGAGAACATGAATTCAAACGATGATAAGAGTCGAGAACAACAAAAATATCAATTATTGATAACAGCGTTTATTTAATGTGAATTGATGTCAGAAATTTCATAAATTTGAAATCTTAAAGTCAAAAGAAGTGACACGAAATAATCAAAACAACAACATAATCTTGTTGCAGTCAACTTTTAAAAAGTATAATCGAAAGAAAAAAATTAAGACTTGAAAAAGTTAAGAATAAATGTTCGACTTTTGTTATCTAATTATAAACCGATTAGCAGTTGGCATTATCAACAACACCTTCGCATTTGTCATATTTTCTTCTTGATTTTCGATTATCGTCTTGCAAATTCAGGCGCGTACACTTACACACATGACGTACATTGAGCTCTTTATTAAATGTTCAACTTTTCCGTACCATCACGCCACATTTCAAAACGGTAGGGAAAAAACAAAAAGTGCTGATAACGGGAGAAGTCGCTAACACAGCTGTATGAACACAAATGAACGTAGTCACTTCGTATGTGTATAAGTTCATATGTGAATCACGAATTCCCGGGTACTTATTCTGTCAATATTTAACTTGGGAAGGAGCAAAAGTTGTCAAAAGAGAGTGAAATGGAGCGAGAAATAAACAGTTGTGATAAGACTTTGATTACGACCAATAATGAATTTTTTTCGAGTTTTACAAACCACGATGCTCTCAAGGCTGAATCGTCGACTTTTCAACTGATTCATATTTCTTATCAGCACTGAGCGAATCTTGATTTAAATTAGATTTTAATATAATTTCTTTTTTGCAACCTCATGCATCATCCATTTCTTTCCTTCACAAACTGACGTCGTTAAGTCTCGAACTGAACTTTTTATTATTGTTTTCATGAATGTCTGACAATGTAAGGGAAGAGAAGGAGGTTCAGATTCGCTTTCAAAGAAGACTCCAACTACTGTTTATATTATTTTTCTTCTTATTTATTCTTTGTCAGTTTTGTCATTTCGATCATTTGGTGGGCTGATTCGACAATAAATTTCTTTGAAATGTTCTTTAAACGATTCTAAATATTTTTTTTTATTAACTTTCTTGAGACGTTTTCCACCCCCGACTATGATTTCAGATTCAACATACATGAAAAAAAGTTAATGGTACGATATATTGCCAATATTTAGAATTATTTAAATTATTCTAAAAATTTATTTTGACATTTTTTTTATTTACTTAATTTTCAAAGATTTTCCCAATCATTAAACGAAATTCAAGTATAATTTGGTAGATTGTCAACCATACAATCCTTGTTGAGCTTGTTGAAATATCAAGTAAATAACAAACCTTTGCATTCAGAATAATTGAAGCTAA